CGAGGAGGAGCGCCTGCACCTCGAGGAGAAACAACAGGGTAAGGTGGCCCAGGACGCCTTTGTTGACCCAGACGACAACGCCTCTGCCGCTCGTCACGCGGTCGACCCGCACCGCGTCCCGCGCGATGGGCAGGTTTCCGGCATTGGCGCCGTTAAGTCTCTCTTTTCCGTCGCCGCTAGCAGGGCGTCCAGCGAGCAGCACGAAGATGCAGACGAGAAGGTCATCCCCAAGCTTTCCGCTGCCGCTCCCTCTGTCGCTGACGGTGCCAAGCCGCAAGAAGAACAGAAGCCATTCGCCCTGGAAAAAGTCAACCTCGTCGTCCCCAAGGGCGAGCTCGTTGCGATCGTCGGGCCCGTCGGATCCGGCAAATCGAGCTTGCTCGAAGGCTGCATCGGCGAGATGCGACGCCAAGGTGGCCGCATTATTTGGGGCGGTAACCGCATCGGCTACGTCCCGCAGAGCGCTTGGATCCAGTCTGCGACGGTGCGTGACAACATCCTCTTCGGCGAGTCGTTCGAGGAAGAGCGCTACTGGCAAGTCGTGCGCATCGCCGAGCTCGAGAGCGACCTCGAGATGCTTGCGGCAGGCGACATGTCCGAGATCGGCGAAAAGGGCGTGACGCTCTCCGGCGGTCAAAAGCAACGTGTCTCCCTCGCCCGTGCCCTCTACCACCAGGCCGAGATATACTTTTTTGACGATCCGCTCAGCGCACTCGATGCCCACGTCGGCAAGGCGGTCTTCCACAACGCGATCCTGCCCTTGCGCAGAGCAGGAAAGACCGTCGTGCTCGTCACGCATGCCTTGCATTTTTTGCCCTTCTGTGACCGTATCATCACAATGGAGGACGGGCGCATCGTTGAGACGGGTACGTATGAGGAGCTAAGCACTGCCAAGGGACCGTTTAGCCGGCTCATCGAAGAGTTTGGCGGGAGGGAAGAAGAGGAAGAGCGGAAGGAAGACGACATTGACGATTCCCAGGGCAAGAAAAGGTACAGTCGTGCGAACATGACCAACGCCGAGGTGGCCAAAGCCTCCAAGGCAGGTGCGCTCATGGAGGCGGAGGAACGAAACACCGGATCCGTCTCAGCTCACATCTACGCCGCGTACTTCCAAGCGGGCAAGGGTTGGATCATGGTCCCCTTCTGTTTCCTCTCCATCGTCCTCATGCAGACGGCCGGCATTATTAACAGCTACTGGCTCATTTGGTGGCAGGAAGACCAGTTCAAACAGAGCCCAGGCTTCTACATGGGCGTCTACGCTGCCCTCGGGATCGCGCAGACCATTGCGACGTTCGCAATGGGTGCCTCCACCGGTTACCTGTCCTTCTACGCTTGCAAGACGCTGCACCAGCTCGCCATCTCTCGCACCATGTTTGCACCGATGGCTTGGTTCGACGTCACTCCCGCTGGCCGTATCATGAACCGCTTTGCCAAGGACATCGATGTCGTTGACAACCAACTGGTAAGTTGGACTTATGCGTACCTTACTGAGCTCCTCCTGACACGCTGTGCTTGCCCTTGCAGAGCGACTCGTTCCGAATGGCTGCCAACACGATCGCTACCATCATCGGCTCGATCGTTTTGATCACCATTATCACGCACTACTTTGTCGTCATAGCCGTCACACTTCTCGTCTTCTATTGTGAGTGTCAACCTCTCCCTGTGGTCTGATGAGCGAGCTGACAGGCCGTTACATTGTTTCTGGGTTTAGTCGCGGCAAGCGCTTTCTACCGAACATCAGCCCGGGAGATCAAGCGACTTGACAACCTACTTCGGAGTTCTTTGTACAGCCACTTTGCGGAGTCTCTCTCTGGCGTTTCCACACTGCGAGCGTATCAGCACACGACTCTGGCGATGCATGAGAATTTGGCAAGGATGGACAAAGAGAACCGCGCCTATTTCCTGACGATCAGTAATCAGCGATGGCTCGGCGTTCGTCTCGACATGCTTGGTGCGGTGCTCATTCTCCTCGTTGCGCTTCTCACAACTACAGGAGCCAACAGGCTCTCACCTGGTCAAGTCGGTATCACCCTGACATTCGTCGTCACCTCGGTACAGGCATACTCATGGTTCTCGCGACAGGTTGCTGAAGTAGAGAACAACATGTCGAGTGTAGAGCGTTTGCAGCACTACGCCGAAAACCTCCCGCAAGAGGCAGCGCAAGGCTCGCCTCCCAACGCGGTGTCAGAGTCCTGGCCGGAGCGTGGCTCCATGTCGATCCGCAACGTCTTCATGCGTTACCGCCCTGGGCTTCCACAAGTGCTCAAGGGTATTAGCCTGGAAGTAGAAGGAGGACAGAAGATTGGGATCGTTGGCCGGACCGGTGCTGGTAAATCGTCGCTCCTCACTGCGCTCTTGCGCTTGACCGAGCTCGATAGCGGCAGCATTGTGATTGACGGTGTAGACATCTCGCAGATCGGCCTGCGCGATTTGCGCCGCCGCATCGCCGTGCTTCCACAGGACCCACTTCTCTTCAGCGGCACGCTCCGCTCGAACCTTGATCCATTCCAGCAATTCGACGACAATCGGCTGTGGGACGCACTCAAGCGCGCGACGCTGGTCCAAGACGAAGCAACAATTTCCAGCGCCTCAAGCGGCCCCACGCTGGGCAGCGATTCCGTTGCCCTCGCGCATCAGCAGCAGAACAAGCTCACGCTCGACAGCCCAATCGACGAAGGTGGAGCTAATTTGTCCCTCGGTCAACGGTCGCTCGTCTCGCTCGCAAGAGCTCTCGTCAAGAATTGCCAGATTCTGCTTCTCGATGAAGCGACAGCCAGTGCAGACTCCCAGACGGATGCCAAAGTCCAGAAGACCATCCGAGAAGAATTTGCGAGCCGCACGCTCTTGTGCATGTGAGTGATCATCTTGCGATGTCCTTTAACCTTGTTTCATGAGCCTGACCCACTCCCCGCTCCCCAGTGCACATCGCCTCAACACCATCATCGGATACGACCGCATTGCTGTGCTCAGCGACGGTGCAGTGGCAGAGTTTGCCCCTCCTCTCGAACTGTTCGACCAGTGCGGCATCTTCACGGACATGTGCGCCAAAGCCAACATCTCTCGTGACCAAATCATTGCGGCAAGGAACGCACCATGAAACCATGGAATTTCCATATTATAACAACCAAATTGCTCGTGCAGTCCTAGAACACGTAGGACAGCCATGCGCAACTTCATTTGTAGCAATCGCGCGGACCCATTTGCATTGCATTGCGATGCCTGCCATCTTTTCTCCAGTTCTGGCCAGGCCTCCAAATGGCTTCTAAACAAATACCTTCCAAACAAATGCATTACGCTTCATTCATGAACAAAATAACTCGCTTTGTACAAACCACTTTCTTGTGCCAACAATTCAAAGATGATCAGACTTGATCCAATGGGCCGTGATGCGAGCCATCTCAACGCCGTCTGGAGGCAAGGAAGGCATCAGGAGGACGGGATATAAGTTAAAAGTTGGCTGCACAACCCCTATTGATCTCAGAACTCACGATTGAGACAGAAGGCATGCGGAATGCCCATTTCGCAAATTGTGTTGGTCAACACTCCCTTGGCATCCTTAGCCCCTCTCGCCAACGCCCCGGTCTCGCTGGCCTTGGTCAACATTATGGAGCCGCCATCACCGCCTGTATCGCCATCGAGCACAAGCGCCAGTGCCTCGTTCTCCGTCTCGTCGTCATCGGTGAAGTTTGCAGGCGGCTGGATGATGATGGAACCGTCTATCGAACGTGAGGCGGAGGCGGTGCGCATGTGGAACGGTCTGGTGCGCTTGCGCGGCGAGGCTGATGGGAGATGTTGTGCTTGCTGCTGTCGCTGTATGCTGGGATCGCTCGATGTCTTGTTTGACCTTGTCGTCAAGACCGAACCGGCGGAAGATGCAGCGGAGGAGAGAACTTTATGCGCTTGGCTGACACTGAAACTGCGTGCTCGGCTGAGTCGCTTGCCGATCGTTGGAGGTAGTCTCTCCTCTTGTAGTCCAAGCTGCTCGGATACTTCATCGCGCAGCCACGTCGGTGCCCATCCGTCGGTCTCTCCCCAGTAGGTTCTGATAACACCAGGGTCGCTGCGGCGGGTGAAAGTCTGTATGGCTTTTACGGTGTCGGGTTTGATCTCACCCACATCGCGGAACTCTTCGCGGGCCATCTTAATGCAATTCAATACTGCGCCCGGTGTCAGCAACAAATCGGCAGTGGTCCGTGCTGCCATGTGTGATTGGCGCGTGACAATCCGGGTGAGAAAGAAGACAACACAGGCGGGTAGTAGAGAAAGGAATAGTAGAGGTAAAGATAACATCAGTGAAGGCAGAAGGGGGTGAACGAGAAGCTGTGACAGAAATGCAACGGTGAAACATCGTCAGTGCGTGCAATGGAAAGGACCTCATCCATTGCTCTGTCTTACTCTGAGTTTCTTTGCGTTTGGAGTCTTCCCAACGTTGGCGATTGCAGGGAAAAGCATGTGCACGCCGTCTATGCTATCCGGTCGCGCTTTGAGAGTCTCGACGGCAATGTAACAACCAATGGAGTGGCCGAGAAGGATTAATTTAGTGCATGGTTCTTGACCCTCCGGCTTCCCATTTTGAGCCAATAAGCTACTCGTCCCATTTTGCGTCACAGCTGCCTGCCTCTTTGGAAGTATGGTTCGAATTGCGTCGACAACCTGAACCTTGTGTCTGATCTGGTCAGCCAGGCCGGTCCGCTCGCCTCTGGCAGCAGCATTAGCCTGGTTCTCATTCGGGCCGAATATTGTGTTTCCAGCGCCTGATGGCAAGGGGGCATGTCCACGGTGGCCCAGGGCGAGAATCTCGACTTTGCCCTTGAGGGCGTGCGAGTTGTATATGCACGAGAGGTACTGCGTATACCAGGCGCACAGACCAGGATTGCCCGGTATGAAGAGAATGTAGATGCTCGGCGAGGCAGAAGCGCAGGGCCACCAAAGCGCTTGGGCTCCGGCAAATGAGGTGACGAGCGGCGTCGAGAGCGAATTGATCAGCGCCTTGCGCACGCCGTTGCCAGAGGAGGCCAGTGCCGAGCGTGCTGCGCTGGCGGACATGGTCGCTGTCGGTCTGCGCTACTTGGGTGTCTCACGTCGGGGCTTTAGCGCCAAATAATCAGTGGCAATGAAGCAAGAAGTGAAGCTCACACCGCTGTCTTAACTGCGTAGTGTAGTCGGTCATGTATGCAGATGAATGGAATGTGCACATCGTTAAGACGTTGAGGGTAACTCTGTGAACATGCTGTTTTAGGTGGTTCATCGATAGTAGTCCGGCAGATCCGGGTCCTCACCAAAAGTCACTCCCTCTCGATTGCCGTAGCGCGCCGAAACATTACTGATACCTTCCTCCATTCCGGCAAGGATTTGATCACATATCATCTCAGCGCCTTTCGTACTCCTTGGAAAGTCGAACATGTCTATAATTATGGGTATGATTGTACAAGTATGTGCTTTGCATCGAGCGGCACGACAGAAATGATGGGGATGCTTTCGGGTCGTTGACATCTCTACAGTCTACGCCGCGGGCGCATCTGGAGAACGCATACGGAACAGCGTCTGCAAATCATGCTGTCGTTGGTTCCTGCGTTGTTGTGGCGACACCTGTCGTTTCTGACCGACGCTCTCGGCCATCTGCATCTTTCTCGCTTGAAGTTCCAGCTGAAAAGGTTTAAAACAAGCCGAAGGGTTGAGCCAAGTCAGTGTTTGCATTCCTTGCAAGCGGGCACATAGAGGGATCAGAAGGAACACGCACCAGGTTCTCCTCGATTGAATGCGACATGATGAACTTGGTCGTGATCACGGGACGCGTCTGACCTAGTCGATGAATGCGATCGAGACCCTGCATCTCCACTCCCGGATTCCTGTAGGTAGCGAAGGCGAATTGCGAGTCAAATCTAAATGACGTTCTACCATGCCACTTTGTATTCACAACACTCACCAATAAGGATCTACGAGGTATGCTCTGGCTGCTTGGACGAGGTTTAAACCAAAACCACCGGCTTTGAGGGAGATGAGCATGACCTCGATGCCCTCATCACTCTTGAAAGCATTAAGTGTAGCCAGACGATCACCTCTTGTCATCGTGCCATCCAGACGGACGCATCGGATGCCCGTCTTGATCAAGCACTTCTGGACCTTATCCAGCATTCTTGTCCACTGTGAGAACACGATCGATTTGATAGGTCGGTACTGCGTGATGCTGCCGTCTAGATTGACTTTCGGCAGCCATTCTACCACTTTGACAGTCTCCACGGGGGGCATTTTGGGCGCAGGATGGTCACCCTTGTGCACCTCGGTGCCTTTGGGAGCCGCAGCTTCAATTGTACCGCGCACCTGATTTGACGAGCCCGCACTTTGCATGCCGCTTGTGCTAATGTTGAGCGGCCCCTTGTCACTCTTGACGGCTATTGCTGCCTTCGCAGCAGCCATTTCGATAGCAATTTCTTCCTCAGTCAGGGCCCTGTGGTCGAGTCTCGGCGCGTGGGGATCATACAGCTTGGAATGCGGATTGCAGACAGAGAATTGAAGCAAGTCCGTGACGAGCGCGTGGATCTTTGTACTCAAGTCCGGTCGTGCCTTTAGAGCCTCATTCAGCGTCTGTTTCCGGAACTTGGCCGCTTCTTCGGCCAACCTGCCGTGCTTCTTGCGGTCTGGCTTGAAGTCGTCATCGTCATCGAGCTGGCGCGACTCGTCAGGGAGCGAATCAAGGTCTGCGTTGCGATCGAGCTCTTCAAAGTCGGTTCGCTCGAGCTGCACAACTTCCAGCAAAAGCGACAAGGGCTGCGCACATTCCGGACACATGCCTCCGGGCGCGTTCGCACATGGTCGAGGCCAGCCGCTGTCAGCGGGCGCGTAGTTCGCAAAGCACTCAGAGCAGGACAGATGCTGGCACTTGGTGACAACAGCCTTGAGCTCTGCTTCCTCGTCGTCGCCGGTTTTTGGCTGCGCCTTGCCTTTGCCTCTGCCCTTACCTGCGCTTCCACCTCCAAAGTCGTCCAGCTCATCCGGCGCAGCGTCGAGGCCCATGGTGATCTCACGATTGCAAAGGCCGCACTCGCTTGCGCCATTATCGCGCAGAATGCGGAAGAAACGCGTCGCTCGCTCACGCGTGATGCCATCTTCGGCGATGGCTACCTGCACATTGTAGTCGCCATCTTTAGATCTGCGTATGTCCTTGCCCATGTCGACCATGTCTGGATGGTCGCAGGTCATGCGCAAGTAGAGGATTTCGACGAGAATCGTCGCGTAGTTTTGCTGGACCGTGTCTCCACGAAGCATCTCCTCAAAGTCCTCGCGATACATTTGGTGCATGGCATTGTAGCGCGCTTTTTCGACATCGCCAAAGTCCAGGACGACTGTGCGCTGGTACTTAGGGGGAAGCTGCAATATCGGCTTGCCATGAGGATCCTTGGTCTCCTTGGTACGCCGCAAAGTGAGAAATTTCATAATGGTTTGCACGCGTGCAAGAGACACCGTATCGAGCGGCACACTGCCGTGCTTGGCAGTCTTGAGCGTCAAACCTTGACGAGACATATTGCACCAGTAGTTCCAGTTGGCACGGTCCGCGAAGGGATCTAGGCGCAGGAACCGCACAAGGGCATACAGATCGTCGACGCGATTCTGCACCGGCGTACCCGTGAGTGCCGTGCGGCGTTGGGCAGAGAGATTGCAAACTGCTTTAGACTGCCACGTCTTTGAGTCTTTGATTATGTGGGCCTCGTCGAGCACGATTCGGAACCATTCGATGCGTTGCAGCGGGTTGGGTGAATCGCCCGACTTGGAGATGACCTTCTTCTTAGCCCTCTTCTTGCGCTTGCGATGTGTCGTACTTTCGACAGGTTTTCCCTCAGCATCGTACGTGGGCATTTCGTGATCAGACTTGTCCGAGTCGCTGGCGAACCGCTCAAACTCAGAGTCGCTGCAATCGTGCTCCTTGACAGAATGGTCCGCCCAGATCGTCTGGTTAGAGAACTCGATGGCCAGAGTCGAATAAGTTGTGAGGACGACGTCGTGGTTCGCGATGAATCCTGGCTCTTTTGACCGTTGCGCGCCGTGATAGATGTAGATCTTGGGTCGCTTCAGATAACCCCAGTGCTCTTTCACTTGTTCTTCCTACAAACGGTTAAGAGGATGAAAAAAAAACACCGCGAGTTCATTAACCGCGATCGGCCTTGAGTATAGAATTACTTGCAAACTCACCCAATTCGAGATGATAGACATAGGACAAATGATGAGTGTCGCTCGACTGCGGACGTCAAGGTTTGCAAGACGAATGGCCTCCTGCTCCTTGGCCTTCTCCTGTCTTGTTTTCTTGCGCGGCGAGGTGGTGGGAGCAAAGCACAAGGTGTCGTTGAACTTTTTGGCCCCAGCATCGGCGGTGCCATCAATGCCCTTGGCCACCGAGCTCCTCCTCTCCTTGCCCTTTCCCACTGCTGACTTCCCCTTGCCCTTCTTTCCCCTGCGTGGGAGGCCGATGCCGCCAAATTCAGGCTCCGAGTCCGACGAGGTGCTGTCGCTCAGTGCGATCAGCGATACGGCTGATGAGCGTACGAACGGGAGTGCAGGGTCGGACTTGCCTGTTGGGCGTTTGCTGGCAAATGAGATAGCATCTTCGCGCGTGTGTGCGAGGAGCGCGATGATGCTGATCGTCTTGCCAAGGCCCATGTCGTCCGCAAGGATCGCGCCGCGGCACACTTCGGGGCGCTCGCGGACCTGGGAGCGCGTGACGACGTTGAGATACGCCTTGATGCCTCCGACGGTGTTCTTGATCGGCTTCCACAGCGAGACCGTCCCCCCGTCCTCCTCGGCCTTGTCCTCGGCATCAGCAAATCGAATGTCGCGCTGTGGCTCTTTCAGGCACGCTTGCTCCTGAGCTGCAACAGTCTCGTCGTCGGTGACATCTTCTCCGCGCTCCTTGCGCGCTTTGCGCTCCCTCTCGCGCTTGAGTTGCTCCTTGCCCAGTTGTTTAATCTGGTCTTCCTTCTCCCTCATCTTGCGCATCACCGCTTCAAACGAGCGCTCCTTTTCGCGCATCAACAGGAACGCGAGCGCCTTGCGCTGGTGCGGGAATAGCGGCGTCTTGATCAGCGGTGACTGCGCAACTTCCTCGACATCCTCTGCGTGCGTCAGCGACGAGTAGACTGAGTTGACCTGCTCCTTCTTCTCGTCCTCGGTCAGGTCACGGTCGCGCTTGTCAATCGTTCCGAATTCGCCCGCGCTCCCAGTGGCGCCGGGCGCACGGCGGATACCAGTGTTGAAGAGCGTCGGATATGCGAGAGCATGCGGGTTGTCGTACGTCGGTCTGCCAGGGTAGTCCGCGGCGTTGAATGAGTCGACGGGGCTGAGCACGATGCCGCCAAGTATGAACGACGTCGAGATTATGTCCTTGTCCTTGCGAGAGCAGAAGGCGAGCATATCGATCGTATGCATGTAGTTCTGCGAGAGCAATTGCAAAGCCTGAGTTAGTGCTGCATCTATATCTACCTTGCATAGTCAAAACTTACACCAGATCGACTGCGTTGGATCAGTGGGACTCGACTCTCTACTTTGAGCTGCCCGGCACGCAGCAGGGGGTCCAGGATGGAGCAGTATTTTTCTGCAATGACCCCAAAGTTGTGCTCCTTTACGATTACGCCACTGCCTGCCTGTGCCTCAGATCGGAGCGCGGGCGGGACGACGAGTGCGACCTTGATCTCCTGTGCGCGGGCTTTGGAGGCGAGCATGTTGACGCTTCCTCGGGTCTGTTCGTCCTGCAGGATGGCATTGTACGTCGCGTTCGGTACGAGCTCCAGCACGGCTGGGCGGTAGCCCTTTTCGGCCCAGAAGCTCGTCTGGCTTGGCCAACGACTCTTATCATAGATGGGATCGATGTCCTCCAGCTCCTTGTGGCCTTGACCTTCGATCGTTGGTTCGTACTGCAGGGAGGCGGGCACACCCGAGAGGCAGAGGATAGGCACTGAAATCATGCCGATGCAGAGCGGGTCTAACGGAGTTTGCAGCGCCGCAGGTGCTGGTGCTGGCAACAAAGGCGCTGCCAGGGGCTGTCTGCTGCTTCTGGCATCCGCTTGGCCATTCGCAAGCGTTTCTTGTTGCGCAGCAGCTACAGCGCCGTATGCAGATTGTGGTGGCGCTGGTGGGGGAGCAGGAGAGTTGAATTGCGCATTTCTTCCTGGATTCCTGTCACCTTCCTCTCTGTAGGATGGCTTCTCAATCTTTTGCTGCTGACGATCATTGGTCTTAGCCTGCTCGTAACTCTGTTTTTTAGCCTTCTTGCTACTCAATCCCTCATCTGAGTCGCTATCAGACAGCGTGACGATACGCGCTTTGGGGCGATTGAGCAGCTGTGTGGGTACACGTGCACCTCCAGCCCCAACGAGCATGGACACGCCGCCAGACTTTTTGGCTGGACTTGATTCATTGCCACCTCTGCGCTCGCCCAGCTTGCTCAACCTAACGCTTGGACGCTGCACACTGCCACTGCTGCCACTCGACAGGCTGGGGGTTGCAGCAATGACACTCGATCCGCGTTCGCGCGCCTCGCGCACTTTGCGATCCGCAGTTGTCTCAAAGTCATCGTCCAGCGCGTCGACATCGATGACTTGATCGATGGAAGAGAAGATGCCGCCAGGGGCTGTCCTGGACAACTTAACGTTCGCGACGTCGCTTATGGGTGGGATGGACGCAGAATTCCCACTACCGCTGCTGGAAGCACGCAATACTGGTTGAGTACGCAGTCGCGCCCGCTCGGCTAGTGTCTTGTATGAGGGCGAGCTAATGTTTCCGGATGAAGAGGGCTGCTTCTGCGATTTTCGCGGAGACGAAATGCAATTGGCGGCGGCTGACATCTTGAATGGGTACTGAAGAGTGACACGCCAGGTGGCTGCAGCAGCTAGCGCTGCCGAGTCTGATGGTTGCCGCTTGACGACGTCTGCGCCCGCCTCATCTCCCCCTGTGCAGTGCTGGACATGTAACCCCGCAGAGGGGATCGCGTACCACAAAGGTCTACTCTAGCCTGTTATCAAAGCACGCCCCGCGAGGAAAGAAGGTACAGTAAGAATGGTACAATACCATTCGAAGCCACAATGACGTGGGGATGGATATAGAGAGAGAGCCACACGGGGGTAAGGCGCGACGAGGCTGTTTTTGCCAAAAGCGCGCAACCTCTCTGAGCGTGGGCACGTCGGGCGGGAGCTGTGCCTGGACATTACTCATTTGCATGAAGTAGGGTTATGTGCACAGACACCCAATTCCTCGTTTCATTCCCTCGTCGTTGCCATCTGTTCTGACCGTCTGACCTCGATTTTGCACTACCTATGCTATCGTCACAGGCCCATACCACACCCTGCCTTCCGTACAACTGCCTCCTCAGAAAGGCACGCATGTGACCAGCCATCTCATATTCAGCTGCACACAGCACAGCGTCCTGTCTGTATTTAGAAACTATGCTTCTCGTTTGGGGACTGTGAATGCGTGCGTGTACAGGCGTGAATGTCTCTCGGCCGAGAGTGTCCGATGAAGAGCAGAGCTGCTGGGCGCTGTGTGCCCTTGTACATAGTATGGCGGGGCATGCAATGCCCAACTCAACTCGAATTTGACTGGTGAGCCCGCGCTTGGATGGATCCGATTCGTGGACCTGGTTCCTACACAGAGAGGGCACGCCTTGCAGCATCGATTCATGCCATCTGGCTAAAGCGGATTTATGCTGTGAGCTAGATCGTCCAGCCCACTGAAGGTCTGCTTACCCTCTTCGATTCAAAGTGTAACCGATTCGGCCGCTGGAATCGGGACGAGGATCCCCCCTCAAAAGGAAAAGACCTCGCTGAAACAGCCACTTCGATCCCCCGAGCGCCGAGGGAGACCTGTTCTTCCTCCGCATTCCTGCATTGAGCTCGCTACAAAGGTTCTACGGTGCATCCTCACCCGCCTTTTACGCACTCTTTCAATGTCTCCCTGGCCGACTCCAGCGTCATTGACCGACAACTCTATCGGCAGCAGTAGCATCATCAGCACCATGGCGCTTCTATCCAAGCTCGCCTCATACGGCGCGGGCCTGTCCTTCCTGCTCTTGGCTCTGCTGTCGCCGCGCTCGCGCAAAGCCCGCTACTATCTAAACACTCTCCTCTACTTTGGATCGATGGGCATCAGCTCCGTCGTCGGCATCCTCATCTCCGTCGTTGTCTCGCTCATCCCGGGCCAGCGCTTCAACATCCAGTACTTCGTCGCGCGCACCATGTATCTCCTCGCAGGCAACTCTCTGGGCATCCGCTTCCACATCGAGGGGTATGAAAACTTTGCAAAGAACCGACCCGCTGTGCTCGTCGGGAATCACCAGAGCAGCATGGACATCCTCTACCTCGGTGCCGTCTTCCCCAAGCAGACCAGCATCATGGCCAAAAAGGAGCTGCGCTGGGCGCCGCTTTTGGGCCAGTGGAGTAAGTCCATTCCAAATACTACATTCTCTTGGTTACCCAAACTTACTGACAGCCGTGTCGCTTTCGCTGGGGCAGTGTGGCTCGCCGGTGCCGTCTTTGTGGACCGCGCAAGCAAAAAGGATGCATTCAAGACGTTCGACTACGTAGGCGAGCGCATGCGCAAGGACAAGCTCTCCCTCTGGATCTTCCCCGAAGGCACGCGATCGAAGTTGCCAGTCCCTGATCTCTTACCTTTCAAGATGGGCGCCTTCCACCTGGCGCTCCAGGCGAAAGTGCCGATCGTCCCCGTCGTCTGCGAAAACTACTACCGATTCCATGATGGCAAGACGCGCTTCGAGAGCGCTACTATTCGCATCAAAGGTACCTTTTGATTCATGCTAGCGCGGTAAAGACCTTACTCACCGACTCTTTTTCTTCCTTACAGTCCTACCTCCTGTCGACGTCTCCAAGTACAACAAAGAGATGGTGCACGACCTGGCGGATCATGTGCGGGAGCTGATGAAGAAGGAGTTGCAGGCGATGGACGCCGACGCGGACCAGTACGACACCGAGTCGGTCGTCGCAGCGCAGCCGGGCTCATCGCTGACGACTGCATCGAACGCTGTGTCGGCCGTAGCGCCCCGCGGCGCTGGCCTCGGCGGTGTCGCGCGCCTCGCATCGTTCTTCGTCGGTGTGGGCCGCGGGCATGACGCTAGCAAGGATGTCGCGCGCGCCCAGAAGCAGCTTGAAAAGAGGGGCCTTCCCGGTGCCGCAGGCGGCACTGGCCTGCCGAGCGATTTTGGGCTTGTCAGCGAGGAGGCAAAGAGCAAGGAGGCGCAGGGGCAGGCACAAGGGCTAACGCAGCGCATGGCGCGGAGAAGCGGCAGTAATAGCGGCAGCTCGGAAGAAGGCCCAGATGAAGATGCTATCATTGTTAAGCGGCCCGCGGAGGCGTCAACCTAGCAGCCCATAACGACCCCCCTCCCTTTCTTCTCGTCTTATCCATCGCATATCGAAAAAGAAAAGAACGCTTTCGACTCTTCCAAGGCACTCGCCTTGTTGATGTATTTTATCACAGGGCACATTTGTGCGATGCTATCGTCGATTTATGGAATGTTGAGATGGGTGAGAGCCTCAACGTGGGCAAAGACAAGACAATGATCATTCAATCTTCCATCGTGGATTGGCAGAGCGTGCGAAACAAACAAATGTATACTACAGCGGTGGTTGCGAGTGAGGTATGTAGGAGAAGGAGCGACCGAGCACCGAGGCCACTGCTGGTGCCTCACGAGCTCTCTTCGAGCCACCTGTACTCGAACGTGAAGTCACTCTTCTTTCGTTGGCACCACGTCCCTTCAAAGTCCTGGGAAAGTGCAAGGAGGCATGAGTGAAGGGAAACAACAGACAGGGAATTCCCGTCCAGCTCCGCTGTTCGACCGTTCTGAGACGCAAGAGCAAGTGGCGGCACTCACAAAGTAGATGTACGCGCCCCGCTCATAAGCATCGGTGATAACATTCGGTTCGGAATGCCGTTGGAACCAGGCTGTTCAAGCATCAAGAAGAAGGAAGAAAAGGTCAGCTGGTAGCTTTAAAAACACGCAGCCGCTAGCGCACGCACTCAGATACTGCTGGTGGAAGCGCCAACTTTGCTTCTTAAGCTCTTGCGCGGCAAGATATTGTTGGTACGTATGCGGCATAAAGTAGAAAGCGTAGAAGAGCGTGTCGACGTCCAGCTTGGCGAACAGCGCCGGGTTGTCGAGATGCGCCAGAGGCTGCTGCGGGTAGTACGCCGGAGTCGGATACGGGTTCTGTGGGACGTAGTACTTTGGCTTCTCACTGTCCAAGGGCTCTGGCACATTCATGAAGCTCGCCTCGAGCGACTTGTGTACCGCGTCCATGTTGTTCTCTCCCAGCAGAGATTTCTGTTTGGCGCTTTCGAAGCTGCTGACGAGATCGCTTAGCGAGGAAGGCAGGCGTGCGCCATCCGTGCCCTGCCGACGCTGCGCCAACGTGCCTGCTCCGCCGCCGCTCGGCTGCAAAGCGGCCGCTGCGGCCGAGGTCGCCGCGAGCTGCAAGGGCTCGCTGGACGCAATACCCGGTGGGGGTCCAGCAGCAGACGCATGCGATGGCGATGGCGATGCTAGTGACGCGGCGCTGCGGTGCGCAAGGCTTGGCGAACCCCGCGCCGACACAGACGAACCGGACCCATTTGCGAGGCTGCTGATGGCCGAATACTGCGGTAGAGGGCTACTTGCTGCGCCCGTTACGACTGACGCGGCTACTGACATGGGTGTCGAAACACTGGGAGCAGTAGATGTGCCGTTGGCGACTGTGTCAACTGTCTGCGGCGCAGGTGATACGCGTGCGTTAACCGTCATCGCAACAGCAGCAGGGCCTGGAACCTGTTCTGCTTCACCATTGTTCGTCGCCGCTGTCACTGCGGATGATGGCGAAGGCGTTGCCGCCGCGGGTATCGACACAGGCGACGTGGCGGATGGCGTGGATGCTGCATTCGAAAGTGGTGGCAAATTCGGTGGGTTGCTGGGCAAATTGGTCACTGCGCCCGCTGGTGCCACTGGTGCGACTGCAGCAGCTGCGGCTGCAGCGTATCGTATCGGGGGCAATGCGGCTGGCGCACCTGGTTTCGACGGCGATGCTGCGACGGCTGAGGGTGGTAGTGCGTTCGTGCCTTTGCTAAAATTCGCTGGCGGTACGACCGGCTCTTTCCCATCGTCCTTCGCCGATGACTTCGAGTCGACTGATCTTGCAGGCTTCTTGTCAGTACTGGTGACGGAAGCCTTCTTGGCATTCTCTGTAAGCGCTTTGAGCACCGAGCTGTTCCCGTCATCCGAGTCTTTCCGCTTCGTTGGCGTCTTTGGCTCGTCAATCACGGACATGCTGTCGTGAGAAGAGTTGATATCATCGTTGTCTTTAAGGCCGAATTGCTCTTCCTCCTCGTCCAGGTTAAAGTCATCGTAGATACCCTCGTCCTCTTCAAAGTCCTCCTCCTGCGCGGTAAGCAGATCCAGTTGTTCGCTTAGCGGCTCGCAGCCAGGCAGGCCACTTGGTAGCAGATACTCACAGCATTGCTCTCGACAAAGTATGCGACATCGTCCTTGATGTCGCCCACCCGATCTGGCTCGATCTGCCCATTTTCTACAAGGCGTAGCAAGATCTCCAAGCGACTGACGTGCCAATTCCTGCGATCGTTGAGGCTATCCAGTTGCCCTACCCGCTCGTCCTTGCCACCAGTTGCACTTTTTTTGCTTCGCTTCCCACTTGACGCGAGCTGCTCGATCTCTGCTTCGGTCATCTCCACTTGCCGTGCGAGCTCGTCCACTTGTGACGAGATCCAATTAGTTGCTTCCACTTTCGCCCGCTCCGCCGGATCCAACTTGGCCGCGGCAATTAGACCTTCCTTTGAGAACGCCTTGGTCTTCATCTCCTTCTCAACCGCCTTGAAACGTTCCATTTGCTGCCCGCATATCAGAGAGGACAGAGTCAGACCTTTGGAGGCCTACCTCCCAGGCACTGTCTCTCAGAGCCCACTCACTGTCTCAATCAGTTTTCGATTGTCGAGGAGGGCCTTCTTGTCCTTAATGTCGTTGCTCTGCAGCCACGTCTTGATCTGGTCTCGTAGCCGCTGCAGCTTCTTGATCATTGTCTTGAGATCCGACTCCATCTTTTCCTTTTGCGCCTGATTCTGCGACACCTGAAGCTTCTCATAGAGGTTCTCGAACTCCTCGACGCCCTCCTTGACACGCTTTAGCGTGCGGTCAATTTCCGCTGTAAATATACAAAGCAGAAGCATGGTCAGTTCGTTGGATGCTGCTCTGAAAAGGGCAGAGGCGAGCCAGTACGTTGGGTAGGCACTAGACAGCCATCCACCGAACTCGCCCGTCCTGACACTTGCTCCAAGGACAGGCCACCGTACCACAGGGAGGCCCTGGTTGCTGTGACTCTGGGTCCCTCTCGGTACCATCTTCCATACTCACACTGCAGCTTTCTTGCCGCCATGATGGGCTACTACTCGCCTGTGGTGCCAGCCTTGCTTTGTTGGTATGATCTGGAAGGTATGACACGCTGCTGCTTCGATTCTGCGTGTGCACGCGGGCGGACGCTGCTCTGCCCTCGCCAACGAGATGTGCTGACTGCAGATGCGAGTTCTGCCGCTGTCCAGGGATGGTTGCTGCCCAAGGACAAGTGTGCTCCAGGACTTGAATGCTACCAAAGACGCTGCAAATGCGATCCTCTACCTCGGTATATAGATAGAGTTGGATCGCCACTCCAAGTGGTGTGACCGAAGCCGTTCAGTCGCAGCTGTGTTGGTGTCTCTCACTGTCTCCTCAATCCCTTCTGGCGAGGATGAGCGGTTCCGCCCGCCTCCTACACCTCTCCACTCGGCCGATGCACAGGTTCTTGTTCTTCCTCCTTTTCCTGCGGCAGAGATGCTTCTTTGTTTCCATGAGCATTGCGTGGAGAGGCAGAAGCAGGACTGCACCTGTCGGACTCACAATAAAACAGCGCTTCTCATACCGGACACCCGCGATACCCCGAAATGCGAGGCTCCAACTTCTCCCGCCAGCTCGTCCGGCTCATCGCCGATTCCGCATCTGCTTCGTCCTCGAGGCTCCTCAACGGTGCGCCGACACGGGTCACTCAGCGGCTCAGCTCACCCCTGAGCATAGCACCACGCAAGGAAAGCCCCTCTCACCCGTGCGTACACTGCTTTCAGCAGCGGCGATCACTGTATTTCACCTCGAGTGCTCGAGCTGCAGCTCCTTCTGCAGAAGGCGAAACCCCCGATATATCCCAAGCGGCCCACATTCGTGAGTTGCAGGTCAGGCTTGCTGTAGCGGGAGCTGTGACTTATAGATTCGGTACGTTTTACATATTCAGCTGCCTATCCATTTGCAACCCGCGTCATTACCCGTGCGACGCCCCAAGTAGGGGAGGCCTCTCGACCTCATGTTCTTAAGCGGCACTCTGCACGGCGCTCTATCCTGCCGCTCGTCCAGAACGACCTCAAAGGACAGTATGATCCGACGTCGCGCATGACTGCATTCTTTGCACGCAACTCTACCGAGCGGATACCGCCTGGCTCCGTCATCACGGTCGAGACCTGGACATCGGCTACGACCAAGAACTCCTTTTCCTCCTTCTCGGGCGTTCTGCTCGCTATCAAGCGCCGCGGCACGGCCACGTCTTTTCTCGTACGCAACATTGTCAACAAGCTCGGGGTTGAGGTGCGATTCAGCTTGTACAGCCCGCTGCTCAAGGACATCAAAGTCGTCCAGCGGGCCAATGGGAAGAAACGCAACGAGCCGGGCAAACTTCGGCGCGCTCGTCGCGCTAAGCTCTACTATCTGCGTGGCGATGAACGCAAGCTCACGAATATCACGAGTGTCATCAAGCGCCAGAAGGCAGAGGTTGCAGATGCCACAAGAGGCGTCATTCGCAAACGTTGAGGGAAGGACTGAGGGAAACTTTGTATGAAAGCTGGCTTGCCTTGGTCGACCCTGGCATGTCGGAAGAATCAATATTGCCGCTTCGTTGCCATTTTAGACTCTTGCAGCCTTTTCTTGCCCTGGTCTTCAGTCGATTTGATATGTCATTGATGTGAGGTGAAGAAGTATTGATGGCGGATAGAAAGTGTCGATCGACGCAACGGCAGAGAAAATGTCGGATATTCTCTCGGACCTTTGGTTGGGGGAACAAAAGGCACAACAACACTCGGCAATTTGAACGTTTCACTGTCCTCTAGTAGATTGGTGATCCGATCAACACATCCAGGGCTCCAGACCTTTGCTATCGCTCCCGACGAGGGCTTCGAAGCCAAATTTTCAGGGTGCTTGCGGCCCCAATCCAGAGGATGCCTTCGTCCTTCAAGCGGAGACTCCCTTCAGTGGACGCAGTGTCCTCCGTTTCTTTGGATGCCTCATCATTGCGGGCTGGGGAAGGCGCAACAAGCTCGCCTGAAACGCAGGATACCGACAGCAGTGCTGCACATGTTGGCCCTTCTCAAGCACCCTCGCCAGCTTCACTACCGCCCGGCGTCAAGCCCAGCACCTACTCATCCCCCGTGCCTGTCGTGTCAACCGGCATAGCAGCGTTAGATGACATCATCTCCGGCTCCGGTCTTCCGTCTGGATCGCTCCTTCTCTTGATTCCTTCCACAGGCACAAATCCGCTGCCGCCTGTGGCTACAGGCGCACCAGAAGCGCTGGATTCGCTCGCCCTCTCCGCTGCAGAACCATACAATGAGCTTGTGCTGCAATATGGTATTGCTCAAGGGTTGTATGCCGGTCATGCGAACATCGTCATCGGCGAGTGTGCAGAGCAGCTCGCGAACTCTGTGATGGCCAGGATTGGGGAGGAGCAGGGCGCAGAGAAAGAAGCTGAGGCTACCTCATCCCACAAGCAAGAAGATCAGCAGGTGGACCGGCTGGCAGCCATGGCTTTGACGAGCAGCGAAGATGACGAGGATGATCCCTCCGCAACCCCATCCATCTCCTCGTCTTCAGGCCAGCTTAAGATTGCCTTTCGATACGACAGAATGTCTCGTTTTTCTACGTCCATTTCTTCGCATCAGAAAGCTGCAAACCAATCACAAAAGGCAGAGGACGAAGCAAAATTCTGCGCCCAGTTTGATCTCTCGAAACGCGTCAGCCCGAGGGTGTTGGAGAAGGCCAGAGCTCGAGATGGCTTGCATTTCTTCGATGTTGCTTGTGACAGCGGTGAAGCTGACGCATATGAGGAAGCATGGCGTGCTATTGAGGCTCGCGTCAACAGCATTGCGTCTTCATGGTGAGCTGAGCAGATCGTGTCACAACCGTGGCTGTCACAAACCTGACTCCTTCGAGCAATGCACAGCTCGTCAAATTTGGCCGTTCGAATCTCCGTCCGATCGCTAGGCTCAAACGCCTGGATGCGTCGCAAACGGAGGACCCAACTCGGTAGCGTAGCGGAAGAGCTCTCCAGCATCCTGCGTTTCCTTCTCAGGCTGAGGATGCTCTTGCGGTCGTTCGCGCTCTCATCAGGTTCGGCACGCGCGACCCCTATCACAGCTACTGTCAGCGTGTCTTCTTCATTCATCGCGTCGCTAACAAACCAACATAGCAACGGATCAGAGGGGCATACGAACGGGCTGCATCGATTGATACATCTTTCTGACGCTGCCATCTCGCTTTCGTCTTTCGCGGCATCGCCACTGCTGACCACGTCCTTCCCGGACTACACCGGCTCATTGAAAGTGGTCAAGACGCCGGCAATCGGTACACTGCATGATTTGTCTGTGCGTGCTAGTATCCTTCGAGGCATGAGCTCGCTTGGCGTTGGGCAGGTTTCCGTCGCATGTGGTCGGAGCGACGCAAAAGTTGGAGCAGAGCCTGCCATCGTCGCGGGCGGTGCCGGAGGCGGTGAAAACAACCTCGCATTCAAGTTGAAGCGAAAGAGGATCGTTATTGAGACGCTTCACTTGGACATCGAAGGTGGGGTGTCTGAGCGACGCACCAAACCACCCAGGAACGTTGAAACATCTCAGTCCCCGAGCGCGGAGGTCTCCTCTGTCGTGAGGAATCAAATACGAGAGGCAGGGCAACCGGAAGTGGTGGCTACGAGCAATCACGACACCACAGGCTCACGCTCGTCACGGACGCCCTCAAGTAACACAGCCATAGGCAGCATGCCGCCGCCAGCTGCTCCGGCGGCCACTAGCAGGCCCGCTTTCGCGGGGCTCAAGAGTCTACGAGAGCGTGGCATGCAGGTGCAGCGCCATGGGTTAAGTGCCCAAGAGCATGGTCTCCAAGTGGAGATTGAAGACAGTACAAGCAAGCGTTCCGATCCTGCGCAGAGAGCGCTGCTGAAGAAGAAAGTCCCTCCTGTCTTTAGGAGCGCGGCGCAGGACTTGGAATTCTGATTTCGTACGGCTCTCGCAAGCAGAGAAACCGTCGTGTGCTGTGCCTCCATTCGAGCATTCTGTCCTTGAGAGTAGCATTGCACATTCCATGAACGGAAGCTATCAGAACAAGAGCCCGGCAGATCAAGTCCAATGGCTGCTGAGGCCTACAAGCTTCCAAGAGTAGTAGCGAGCGATCTCTTCTGCTGCTCTTGCTATCTCACTTGAGGCGCAACCTTGGCAACGAGCGGCTCAAAACGCTCGCGACATTCCATTCAATGATTGTTTGAGCTGCATTCTATGAGCATTATGGCATGTACTAGGAGGGGTATATACGTATGCATGGCTGCAAGTACCTGCCTCACCCGCGGCTCAGTGCCTTTTGGAGTAGTTCTCTCGAAGCCTCGTCAAGTCCACTCGCGAAAATCGACGCTTGCTGCGACGATGCTTGGCTTCTGAGGAAATCGGGGATGAATGACTGAGAGCAGTTCAATCCGTGTCAGCTGTGCGGCTTTTAAAGCGCCAACGGACTCCCTCACTTTCAAATCGATGTTGTTGATCGGATCGGCCTTCAATTCTTCGGGAGTGAGACCGGTGACGAAGTCGTCCGTGTCGTCAAAGTCTTCCAAGTTAAAGCCGAGCATGTCGGAAAGCTCGATGCCGCCACCCTTCTCCCGAACGTCCTCGTCATCCCACTCATCGTCGTCATCTGCATCGGCAGCATTTGCGGCACCAGCGCCATAGGCGTCGTTGCCAGCATGGCTCCACGCTTCGAGCAGCAGCTTGATGATCTTGCTTCCAATTACCACCTGCGTGTATTTGTCAGGGCGCTGCTTCGCCCTAGAGCGGGTAACAATTCCTGAACACAAGACGAACACCGTGGAGACGATTAGCATAGCACAACACGATTCCCACACACACATAAAGCCTCAGCACTCACGGCCCGAGTCATCAGGTATGATGTCGCCTCGAACAGTAAGTTGCTGCAGGATGGGATGACCTGATTTGACCAATTCACTTAAAGCGACGATGCTGAGGAAAGGATTAACGGTGTCAGTCTTTACAAATGCAGCATCCTGGACAGCGAGCAGCACCCACTTTGCTTTCTCGGCCCAGGCGCCCTGGATTGTATTTGATTCTTCGGCCCATCGCGTTAGGAAGACTTCCAAGCCGCTCCTCTCACCTTCGCTCGTCGAGACGCACGTGCTTTCGAGCAGCTGAATGACGGTCGCACAAGATTCAGTTATCAAATGTGCGATGGGGAGGATGAGACTCTGCGAGAGACTGGTCGTTTGTGCACTGGCTAGCCTCGCGACCATCGCCTGGACGAGTTCTGGGAGATGGGGTCCGAGGAGATCGCCGCCCTTACGGAGGAGCGAGAGGAGCAGACCGCCGAGCACGAGACCACCTGATTCGCCTTCGTCGCTCGGGTCGAGCAGCTTGCCAATGACGACGAGGAATATTTGCATGGCTGACCGGCCGGTAGCGTGGTGCCAACTCAGGACCTGCGCAGGCGTTTTGCTCAGCAGCAGCGTCAGCGCTGTGACGGCACTCTGGAGCAGTTGTCGATCGTCCGAGGCGGTAAGCGAGGCAGTCAGGCCGGGGAGGAGCGTGCTTGCTGCATCGGTCTCGCGCAAAGCCGTGGCATTGGCGCCACGCAGAACGGCAACGATGGTTTGCGCACCTGAAGCCGCGAGAGCCAAGGCATCAAACCCGGCCGCTACGGATGCCTGCGCAACGGATGAAGTTGCATCAAGCGTTCCGACCAGTTGCGGGAGAGATGCTCGGACAACGATTGTCCCAACAGAAGTGGAGACGCGACCGCTCAGTGCTTCGAGTAGGTCCTGTATTACGTCAGTAAGAACAATATCTTTGGGGAGGAGGAAGAGAGATGTTCAGGGCATGCGGGTTGCAGAAGAGAAAAAAGCTGATACTGACCATTTGGCTGCTTAAGGAAGAAAGCCAGGCTGACGTTGGCAATCTCCCCGTAGACTGAATCTGGAATCTCGTTCGAGCCAGCAGCAGCCTCGTCAGAAGCACCTTTGACCACGACAGCCTGTACCGTCTCGAGCAGGAGGACGATGGCGTCGCCTTGCAACACGTTGAACATTGGTCCGATCTTCCCGAGAATCCTCTGCGCGAATCCCTGCGTGATGTGTGCGTTCAGGTGCCGGTGTAAATTCTTGACAGTGCGCACAGCGCAGACGCACACGACTAGGTCCTCGCCGTCGTACGCGTCCGCTTCGAGCGCCGTGACGGCTTCCTCGAGGAACTGTCTTGCGAATTGCGGGGGCAGGAGGCTGCTAAATTGGCTGGCGAAGATGAATGCTTGGCCGCGCAGGAAGGCGGATGGCGTCTCGGGCGCGACGTATGGTATAACGGCGTGCTGGAAGATGGACTCAATGTCGAATGTTCTGCGCACCGCCGCCGCTGCTGATGATGACGATGATTGGCCTTCAAGCAGGTCGGTAATCAGTGGTGCATTCCCGCCAAAGACCGCCAGCGCAGCTTCTAGCGGCTTCCACCAGTCCCCCTTCGCCTCTCCCCGCTGGAGAGCCGCCAGCTGGGCAGCGCTGCTCTGCACGCACTCGTCGAACGCTCGTTGGAAGGCTGCGACGCTCTCGGCAGGAATCAGGTCGAGGAGTTCGGCGAACGCGTCCGTCGCGACGGCGCGCAGGCTCCCTCCGAGCTCCAAGACGGCGCCTGCGCCTGCATCAACATCCTCCTGCTCAGCAATGAACGCGTTGACGTCCGCGCTCCACTCCTCCTGCTCGTCGCTCGTCATCTGTGCCATGCTCAGCAGCGCGTGCGCCAGCTGCGCGAGTAACGACGGCGCGCCGGGCTGATCGGTGCGAAGCATCAGTCCGCGTGCAGAGGCGCTGCCGCTCAGCTGAAGTAACGATGAGATGAGGTCCACCGCTGCGGAGCAGACGGCTGGAAGCGAAGAGGCGATCGACGCATCGCCTTCGGGTGGAAATGCCGAAGGCTGGCTGGCGACGTTGCTGATGTGGAAGACTTGCAGCACCGGTAAGAATGCGTGCAATGTGCGTAAAGTCAGCTGCAGCACTGCTGCCAGATGCGGTCTGAAATGCGACTTAAAATGCGAGGCAAGGGAGAGTGTCTGCAAATAGGCGAAACATCAGTGGTCTGAGCGTTTCTTTTTCAGGCCCTATGGCCTCCACACACCTTGAGCGCTTCGTACCTAATCGCCAGACCTTCCCAAGCCCGTTCGAATTCGTCTTCTGGTACCCCTTTTCCACGAAGGGAAAATATCTCCGCTTCGGAAGGCATGAGAAGCGCTTGAAGCGCATTCAACCAGCTAGGCAGCAGCGAATCGACGCCTTGCTTGGCGGCTTCAGGGTATTGCTCGCGTACCATGTACAGCACCTCGAGCAGCTGTCGGAAGAGGAGAAGCGCACGTGCGCGGACGTGTGGTGTGTGGTTCTTTGTATGTAAATGTAAGATACACGGTCAGCATCCTTTACAAGCACGTCATGCGGGTGTGCAAATCTTTGCCCACGAACCTGTTCGTCGACCAGAATAGCTTCGAGGCTGGGTAAAATCTCCTTGGCGACACTCATGAGTTGGTTCTCGTCGAGTTCAGCCTTTACAAAGTCGGAAAGGAAGACCATGACACCGTGCACCGCATCTGATCGTGCAGAGCCAGCACTTCCATCTTGAGACAAGCACTGTCGTACGAAGGGCAGCAGCTCAGTGAACTCATCTGGGAAATCGGTGCTTGCGACCGCACTGAGCGCCGCGGAAGCTGCGAGCCGGATTTTGCGCTGATCGCATACTAGTGCCTGCAGCAGTCCCTGACGCACGGCACCCTTGATCTCGAGTGGGAGAGCGGCTGCTGAGGGTGGGTATCCATCGAATTTCTCATTCAACGGCGACCACTTGCTCAGAACCAGCGGACGCAGCGAGATTGCTGCAGCCTGCCTCGCTTCAAGCCGTGTCGATGGCGAAAGCAGAAGCTGAACGAGTGCGATAAAGCATGTTGGGTCTGAATGCAGATTCGAGGTCAAGTGCGACTCTGCAGCTTCCCGCTCAGCACGCGATGCAGAGAGCGTTGCGATCAGGGTGTGCTCCAGGTCCGCTTGGCTCACGCCGCCAGTTGGTGTCGCAGCCATGCTCGTGGGACAGGATGGCCTGGCAACCCTTGACTGTGCTTCTGATTGCACTGCAGCCTGCAACAGTTGATTGCCTACCTCTTCCAGAGCGCGGGCCTCGCTGATCGATAAAGACACATCAGAAGAACGATGCGTTGTGCAGCCCTCCAGCATTGAATGGGGGCGGATCTGAGAGCAACACTTTTTTTTTCCCTAGTTCTTTCTTTTTTTGGCTTGTCGCGTGGGCTGTCCTTTCTTTCTTTTTGAGAGAAACGCGAGTCACGACGCGAGCATGCGTAACCCTACTATATGTTGGATTCAAATTCCGGGGCTTTGAGAACATCGAGTCGGCTCATGTCCTCCCCCCATACCACCGATAGGCTGACTAGACGGGCCAAGGTCCTTTCTAGACCATGGCATACAGGCATTCACCAGCCAATAGACTCTCAACTCCTTCTCAAGGACCACCAAATCCGCTGCACTTTCGAGCAAGGCGTTTGCTGTCCCCTCGCACTAGCAGCTTGCACGCTTGGAAGCAATATGGGGAAAAAGGGCGGCGGCCACGTTGCCGCGCGTGTCCGGCGAGCGCAGGCCAACAAGCGCTCGTCGCACGCTACCTTGGAAGGGGCCAGCGGAGGGGCAGGTGTCATTATTAATGGCACAGCAAAACATAGTGCTGCTGCTGCAGCTGCTGTTACTACTAATCACTGCACATGCTGCTCTCCTGACATTAGTGGTGGCGACTATGCCTCCAATTTGCTCAGGCCAGACGGAGACGTAGGGTCGTCCTCGTACGACCCGCGCACGCGTGTGCCCCGTGTCCTCGCCTCGTTGCAACCTGCATCGAGCTGGCCTCCGCGCTCGGCGGACCCCGTCGGACCAGAGCTGGTAACTCGCACGCTGTACGTTATGCGGAGGCTGTACGTCAAGCACCAGGATCCCGCGCTCGAGGGTGCGCACGATGAGCTGAGACTAAGCGTTGAGCGAGAGGCCAGTCCTGCAACCTCCGCTGCTGCCGGGATTGCCGGATCAAAGGGAAGCGGCGCAGGCGCTGCAGGTGCAAGGGCAGCAAAGAGGAAAGGGAAAGGGAAAGCGACTGCGGACGATGCCAAGGCCGATTCGACAGCAGCGGCAACAGCAGCAGCTGCCAATGCGCTGGCAGCGACGCTCGACGGAACGTCCCCAGACGCAGACCTCATCTTTGATGCCTTCAAAAACCGCAATTTCGACAGCTTCATGCAGCACCTCACCACCTCGGTCGTGCTCACTCTCCCTCCGCTCTCGTCCACGCTAGGCGATATGAACACACCACCAGCCGGCAAAGGCGCCAGCAAGGCAAGCAACAGCAAGCTGGATCACCTCCCTGCCCGCGAGCGCGCATCGATTCAACAAATGTCCGTTGTTGCACGCAAGTTCTACAGAGCAGAGATTGAGCCGCTCCTACTCGCCGAGGGCCTGCGCGGTGGCGAGGATGGGTACGAGTCGTTCTTCTCGATTGTATGGGAGGTATTCGGTCCGCAGGATGGAGATGAGTACGAATCGGAGGCCATGGCGATGGTGGGCGAGGACGCTGACAATCATCAGCAGCATGGCAGTGCTGGCGGCAATGACGCCCGGAGGGTGCGCACCCATTCAGAGAGGGCAATTGAAGCTGCGGAGAACACGGTGCTCAAGCGGATCGAAAGGTTGAAGCGGGACAAGGAGTTGCGCAAGCAACAGGCGCTTGAACAACAAGAGACTGTCAACGGCAATGGCAAGGTTTCCAGTCCTTCGGCCGCGGGTACTGCCGGTCCATCCCCCTCGTCCACGTTGGCATCTGCTGCTTGGAGCCAACAGCTTCACTCAACGTCGTCGTCTTCGTCCTTGTCCACTCCTCACTCGTCTCAACCTTTGACGTCAGCTCTTTCCCCATTTTCGCCCGCTCTTGCTGTTATACACTCGGAAAGCCAAGCAACACAGTCATCCTCGTCCTCATCTTCTTCCAAAGGCGCTACTCCGCTTGGCCCCGCTGCCGCCGCTCTCGAAGGCGCCAAGGCGCGCAACGAAGAGAAACCCGCCAACCTGGCTGTGACCGTGCAGCATGCTTCCGAAGTGGTACGGAGGGCGCAAGTTGCCACACCACCAATGAAAATTGCAGCCGCAAGTGCAAGCGCAAAATCGAATACACCGCAGCAGCCGCCCAGCTGCTCGACAGCCACGACTTCGTCGCCAACAGATGATGACGAGTACGATGACGAAGCGTGGGAAGCAGTGCGTAGCCATGCCTCTCCTTTGAGCTCGGTGACTTCGCTTTCGCCTTCACACTCCCTCTTGCACGCGAATTCTCACCCCCAGTCCCGGTCACAGCCGCGATTGCAGAACCGACAGCGGTCTTCACATCAGGCGTCTTCTGATGTCGACGACGAGTCGGACCTTGATTCGTATTACGACGATGAAAATGAGGAGGAGGACGAAGAAGATGAGAGCTTCTCGTCAGCTGAGGATGAGGAAGCTAGAAATGAAGCCGGAGGAGGGCGCGTGCCGAGCTTGACGGCGACCACCTTTCGAACGGTACTCGAGACGTACAAGGATCTAATGCAACTCTATGTAGCATTTGATGCGCCATTCGACGCATTCATCGACGATTTGTGTGTCGTCGGCTCTGGTGAGCTTACACCAAGGGAAGGCGCCCGCGCCGCATCCAAGACTGCCGGCAAAAAGATGGCCCAGAATGGCCCTACTGGAACGCAGCCGAAGGACGCGGAGGACCGAGCTGCACAGAAGCAAGTGCGGCGCGTGAATGCGGCTCGAACCTGCATCGATGTGCGGTTCGAAGACCTGCTCCCTGCTACCGCCCCCGCGACTTCCATATCCCCCGTCGTCCACTTCTTCATCGCCTACTTGCAAGTGTGCTACCAGCCACTTGTGACGCTGTCCAAGCGCCTACGTCTGCATCCACCGTTGCTGGAGGAGGACGAGGATGAGGTGCGGCTGTTAAAGCGTGACTTCCTCGACATGCTTGACAAGCGCGGCACCGACGGCGCTATGCGGCGCTTTGAGAGTGTTGTCAGGCAGAAGGGCGGGGAGGATGGATGGAAGGTGTATGAAAATTATTGGCTCAGCCAGTGGCTCAAGCGGAGTCAAAGCAAGGAGAACCAGAGGCGGAGGACCGTCAAACACGGTGGCGGCACCGGCATGCAGGACTCTTCGGGCACCACGCCAAGGGCAGGAGCTGCAGCCGATGATGCATCAGGCGGTACTGCATCCACGTCTCGCTCGTCGTCATTCTCGTCTGCCCCCGGCTCCACATCGCAATCGGATGTGCGACGCAAGATCGCCGCTTCGCGCCGGCAGCATTCACAGACGAAGGGCGCAGCTGAGCGAATGGACCCGTGGCGCTCGTCGTCTGGTTTGATGCGCAGCTTCAATTGGGCTGCGTCCACGGGCGCCTCGTCGAATCGCTCGCAGCGCAGCAGCAGTCCTGTCGGGTCGCTGCAGGGAACACACACATGCACGGACAGCATCGATGCCCCACCTGCGCTGGCCGATGCTGCCAATTTGTACGAAGTAGACTAATCAGCATGCTTTGTTCTTTGGAGAGACATTATAGTTGCCATGCATCTGCTCTTCACAAAATTACAGTGGATCAGTCGAATAGGGAGCGTGCTGCCAGCTTTCTCACATCCTTTGGGAGCGGGTAGGTTGACGAGCGCGACGATCTCGACAATGTTGTCAATACCCGGCACCAGCTCGACGCGGTAGCGAGAAATGATGGCGAGCAAGAAACCTGCAAGCAATGCGAGATACGAGTGGAGATACCCTCTTCAACGTAAAAGAGGCAGTCGTTTTAAGGAATAATACTGACATGCGCTCACATTTGAGCTCAGAGATCGCCACTCTGTTGTCGAAGTAGTGCAAGTCGTCCAATTGCAGCTCATCCCATGTGAGGTTGTCGGGGTTGCTTCCGCGCCCTTTCCTCGAAGGCGAGAACTTCTTGGTGCAGCTTGGTTTGTACATCCATCTGCGTTACAAGTTCAAGCAAAACCCAAGAGCTGTTGAGAAGCACACGGTGGACAGTGCGCTCGCAAGCGCCAAGCCTGCAAGCTTGTAGCGAAAAAGTGTATTAATCACGATCGCCTAGCTATGCATCCCGCCAAGTGTGCTCCCACCGGCTCGGAACCTGGCATGACCTTTTGATTTATGGCGACAGTTTTCCTTTGAACGGCGATACTATAGATGGCGAACACGAACACGAGCTCAGCGTTCGGCAAGCCAGGACACGGACGGACCACGGGTTGACAGCACGGGCAAAGAGAGCCACCGACGGGCCACGCTCTACCACCGGTTACATTCGGCTGCGAAACGCGACGCCGATGCGCAGCTGCCATCAGCAAACCATGTGGCCTACAAATAAGCAAAGTAACGTGCACAGCAAACGGAGCATTGACCGCACCATCCTCGGCCAAGACGACGATGAAGCGGTGCGGCGCTTATATGAGCACCGTCTGCTATCTGTTGCGTACATAAAGGTTGCTCGCTCAACCCCAAGTTGGGCACTCCGCGGAGTCCCGGCCAGCCACAACCGAGTGAGAATGACGGCGGTCGCAAACAATTTGCAGTTGGCTGCCATGTCTAACCCTACTTGATGACCACATTGCACAAAATGTGTGAAATCGAACAATGCGAACTCGAGAATTTCTCTTTGCCTTTGGAAGGCGGCTGGAGCACGTTGCCTGCCGCTCCTTGCTTCTGCACAATGAACTCAATCTATTCATGTTTCTTTGGTACCAACTGTGGCAACCCTCCTTGAAACATACGCACAGCACACAACCCGTGACTCCGCCGCTTAGAAGTACGCCAATATGCCCGGAAACCTCGACCTCGTCGCCCTCGGCAACCCGCTGCTGGACATGCAGATCCGCAACGGTGAGTCGGTCCTCGAAAAGTACAACCTCAAAGCAAACGATGCCATCCTGGCCGAGGAGTCGCACATGCCCATCTACTCGCACATCGTCGAAAACTTTGACGTCGTCTATGTTGCGGGAGGTGCGGCGCAAAATGCAGCTCGCTGTGCGCAGTACATCCTCCCCGGCAACTCTACCGTTTACCTCGGATGCGTCGGCAAGGACGACCTCGCCGAGCAGCTGCGAAAGGCAAACGAGAAGGAGGGCCTCAAGAGTTGCTACCAGGTTGTCGAGTCCGAACCGACAGGTAGCTGCGCTGTCGTCATCACTGGGCACAACCGGTGAGCTTGTTCGCCTCTTCACTCCATTTTCGAATTTTTCCCTAAACCTTCGCAAATTGCTCTGTTAGTTCCCTCGTCACTCGTCTCGGTGCAGCGGAGAAATTCTCACCCTCGCACCTTGCCACTGCGGAAGTACAGAAGCTGGTTGAGGGCGCCAAGATGTTCTACCTCGGCGGCTTCTTCCTCACGCACGGTATCGAGAGCGCGCTCATCATTGCCAAGGCGGCTTCGAAGCAGGGTGTTCCCTTCACGATGAACCTTTCTGCGCCGTTCATCCCGCAGTTTTTCAAGGACCAGGTCGACCAGGTACTACCATACGCATCTGTAGTCGTTGGCAACGAGAGCGAGTTTGAAGCGTACGCAGCGTCGCACTCGCTCGCGGACCCGAAGGACCTGAAGGCGATCGCCCAGCACATCGCCGACCTGCCGGCAACCTTTGGCAGCCTCCAGCAGAAGCGTTACGTCGTCTGCACGAACGGCGCCCAGCCCACCATTCTCGCTGTGCAGGGCGAGAGTAGCCAAAAGGAGATCCCAACCGCCCAGGTGCCCGACAGCGAGATTGTTGACACGAACGGCGCTGGTGACGCTTTCGCGGGCGGTGTCCTCGGCGCCCTGCTGCTCGGCAAGACCATCGAGCAGGCTGTCGAGGTCGGTCAGAAGCTCGGCCGCATGTGCATCGGTCAGGTCGGTCCGATGCTCAAGTTCCCCAAGGAGCAGATCGTCTAAACATACGATGCACCATGTTCCTTTAATCATCATCATCATCACCATCATCCTTTCCCCTCCGGCATTCCATCTTGTAAAAGGGTTCAACCTCCATACCCATCATTCGGTCCGTTCCTTCTCTCACTCAAACATTAGCAGCCAGTAACACTTGTCGTAGCATACACCTTACGCAGATCACTAGTATTTAGACCAGGGCCGCGCCAGGAGAAGGAGATGGGCGCAAAGCTAAGGCATACACTTTCAACAAGCATGCATCCAAGTTTTTGTTTCTAACTTGACGGGTCAAGCTTGAGCGAGAAATCAACGTGCTTGGTCGATTGGTGAATTGAGCTAGTGCTGATAATGTCGATCGCTGTGAGCGAACGGGAGGGGGTTACTTGTGAGCTGACATGGAACAAATGTGCCAGGGTTCCGTGTCGAACGTACCATTCACAAGATGCCCGCCACTCTGAACGTTGTCAATGTCGATACCGCCGCTACTCTCTAACAGGAATCGCCTCCGTCCACTCTCCGCCGCATTCCCCGCCTCCCCGTACTTGGCCTTGAGCCTCTCCGCACACGCGCCGAGCTCGTCGCCACTGAGGTTGTCGAGCATGATGACGTCCGCGCCGGCCTCGATGGCCTCTACCGCCTCGCTCTCATTCTGCACTTCAACGTCAATTCGCAGACTGAACCCTGCGACGCTGCGCGCCTGCTGTACGGCGCGCGCGATGTTGCCAGACGACCAGATGTGGTTGTCCTTCAGCATGACCATCGAGCTCAGGTCGTAACGGTGCGCGTCAACGCCGCCGACAAGCATCCCGTACTTTTCCACCAGTCGGAAGCCCGGTGTCGTCTTGCGTGTCCCCGCGACGATGCCGCAGTAGCCGGCGGAGCGCGCGGTTTGCAGAAAGGAGTGCGACGCTGTCGCGATGCCCGAACAGCGGGCGAGAGTGTTCAATGCCACGCGCTCGCCGAGCAGCAGTTTGCGAGCTGGGCCGCGCACGGTAGCGACTTTGAGCTTGAGTTTGCTTTCAGTGGTGTTGGTGGTGGAGTTTGCACTCGGGGAGATCGCGCCGAGCACTGCGCCCTCAGCGTAGTGCCACTGCACCTCGCAATCCCCAATCTGCCGGAAGACCTCCTCGAAGAACGGCACGCCCGCCAGCACACCTGCCGACTTGCAGTACAGGTGCGCCGTCTTGATCTCCTCGCCGACTACGTAGCCGCCCCAGTCGAACGACGAGCAGTCTTCTGCCAGCCAATGCGTGATCGTCGACGTCCACGAAGGCGGAAGCAGATGTGCATAGGAGAGCTTCCGCGCAGGTGTCGACGCGCTTGAGCTCGACATTCCAGTCGTCGGTGCGCTGGCCATGATGGCGTTACCACGGGTCAGGAGCACTGCTTCAGCCGCCATGAGCTCGGCCGCGCTGTCTTCCAAATGATTCTTATTATGCAAGTCCAGGTCTCCGACTCTCAAGGACCCCATCCAGTAGGGTGTGAAGGTAAGTTCGACACTTAAACTTCCCACTCCTGGAAATGACGTCTTCGCCGTTCCGCCCCAACGATCGATCATAGATGGAGAGGTTACGCAGCCTTTGGCATGATGCTGCTCGTGTGGATGCTCATCGGTAGCATTCAATGCCGCACCTCTTTGCCACACCCTCCACCCTTCCAGGAACAAGGCAGCTGCTTACGGCGTCCCAAAAAGCTTGAAGCGACGCAAACGAGCTTTTGATTGGTGTGCAGCTCGTCTCGGGTCTGATGCGAGAGTAGGCCCGACAGCCAACATGCCGATCGTGAGTACACCTCATCCATGCCTGCCGCCGCACACCATGCGACGCTGGGTGTGGGCCATATAGGTTTCGCATTCGGTCAGAGCTAGTACATGCTTATGATAAGGGTGTATCGTTCCCCCGCCCGCCAACGTCTGTTGAGCATGGCGAGTCCAAGGAGGCAGGACTGACGCGTCTTTTTGCCACGCTCCAACAGCTCATCCGAGTACGGTCCAAAGATGGACTCTTTCGCTGCAATGTGGAGCCGAGCGACGATATTTCCAAGTTGCTTGAGCAGGTGAGCGCTTGATCCCCTTGATTCATCTGCTGGCCTCGGCACTGACCGCTTTTGTGACTTCGTGGCCCCTGCAGCTACAACTTAACATCCCCAATGCCGACTTGTCGACTATCACGCTAGGTAATCAGCCAAGAGGCGGGCCTGAGATGAAGGCGACAGAGATCGTAGGGAATAGCATCGGGGATCTAGGGCTCAAGTAGGTCGATTAAGTGGGCAAGCGTCGGTGTCTGTCAGATTGCTGACAAGTTCCCTTCCGTTCGAATCGCAGACATGGGCATCTTCTGTACGCCAACTACACAGACAAAGTCGGCGCAGAAGAACCAGAAGCGCAACCCTCGGCTGCGTCTTCTTCCTCCACGAGAAAATCTGCGGGTGGGAGCACCCCTGCTGCCACGGCAGGCCCGAAAAAGCCGTGGGAGCTGGCTGAGGAGGAGCCGATTGATGCGTACTGGGCTTCGCGCGATGGCAAAATTCCGCGCCAGCGAGATACCAAGTTCTGCCGACATGGCGTGCAGGGGATGTGCGACTATTGCATGCCACTAGAACCATACGACGCGCGATACCAGACGGAAAAGAACATCAAGCATCTTTCATATCATGCTCATCTGCGCAAGCTCAATGCTGGCTCAAACAAAGGCCAAGGTACGAGTTGGATTCCGCCGCTGGAAGAGGCCGACTACACGGTCAAGGTACCGTGTCCATCTGGTCAGCATCCTGAATGGCCCGCAGGAATCTGCACAAAGTGCCAGCCATCCGCCATCACTTTGCAGCGGCAGACATATCGCATGGTTGACCACGTAGAGTTCAGCCAGCCTGATTTGATCGAGAACCTGCTCAAGTTTTGGCGCAGCACTGCGTCGCAGCGCTTTGGCTTTTTGCTCGGCAGATACGAGCCGTATGCGGACGTGCCTATGGGTATCAAGGCTGTTGTCGAGGCGATCCATGAGCCGCCGCAGGAGGGCGAGCTGGACGGCGTCACGATCGGCGTGCCATGGGAGGACCAGCCGCGCATCGATGCGTTAGCCAAGCAGTGCGGGTTGCAGTTTGTCGGTATGATCTACAGCGATCTCACGGCCGACACAAAGGCCGATGAAAAGGACAGCAGCAAGGTGACTTCGACGGGAAAGGTCCTCTGCAAGCGACACAAGGACAGCTTCTTTCTCTCTGGCAACGAGGTGCTCTTTGCTGGCGCACTGCAGAATGCCAATTCAACGTCTTCACGCATGTCCGCGAGCGGGCGGTACAACTCGCGCTTTGTCACGTGCGTCCTGACGGGCAACCTGGAAGGGGAGGTCGGCGTCGAGGCATATCAGGTCAGTGAACAGGCAATGAGCATGGTGAAGGCCGACATGATCGAGGCCAGTGTCAGTCCGAGCATCATCCGTATCAAACCGAGCGACTCGAAGCGATATGTGCCGGAGGTCTTTTTCAGGTACAAGAACGAGTATGGGCTGGATGTCAAGGAGAGCGCAAAGCCCACCTTCCCGGTCGAATATCTCATCGTCAACGTGAGGAGCCTCGGAAGTGGTATTAGATATGCGCTCTGAACCCCTACTGATGCTTCTCTGTGATAACAGGTGACAAACGGCTTCCCAACGAGCGCCTCGCCGCGCTTCCTGTCAAGCAAGTTCCCCATCGAGAACCGACAGGGCTTGACGGACCAAGGCGCGCAAAACTTCTTCCATGAATTGACGCGCATCCTCGGTGGCAAGGAGCTCCTTCCGCTCGGCTCCTCGGGCGGTGGCGACTCTGGCAAGGGCAAAGGCAAAGCCCGCGATGCGATGGGCGGTGAGACGATGGATGTGCGCAAAGAGCTGACGAGGTACCTGAGCGACTGGCACCTGCTCAGCTTTGTGCAGACGCTAGACCTGCTGGGCGGTGAGGATATCGCTGCGCTATGCAAGCTCGCAACTTCCCACGACGAGCAAGGCGCGCTGGACGAGCTCATCACCAAGCCTGGATGGCAGACCCTCGTCACCGTCGCGAAAGAAAGTGCGCCGGCTGCAGAGAGTACGGCAGATGCAAGGGGCGGCACAGGAGGCGGATTTGGAGGCTCATTTGGGGAGGCTCTCGATGATGAGCTGACCGCAGAGGAGATTGCCGCAATTATCGCGAGCACAGAGGGTGATTTTGGTGGCGGTGGCGGAGGAGCGAGTGCAAAGGCCGATCTATTAGATAATGAGGCTGCCGTGTCTCCGACAATCTCCGACTTTCAATCAGCGCCCACGAGCCGAAGGTCTTCGAATCATGCACAGCCACAGGCACCGCCGCTCGGCTCGACCACATACGCAGCTCGCAGCTCCTCTGCGGCGCATCCCGTTGGTGCAAGACCGCGGCGCGCAGGCGATCTTTTCGAGTTTACCGGCGAGGAGGATGACCCGATCGAAATCGGCGATGACGAAGACGATGATGACTTTCAAGACGTTGCATCGGAGGAGGAGGACAACGAAGATGTCACCATGACCTCCGCGCCGCCTGCGAGTAGCAGGGGTGCCAGGGCCGCACCAGCAGCAGCTGCTGCGACAAGGCACGAGGTGATGGACCTGACGGACACGGAAGAGGGTGACGAGGGTGACCAGCGAGCCTGTCCCACGTGCACGGTTCTCAACCGTGCCACTGCTATCGAGTGTCATTTGTGCGGTTTACCCATGAGCCTCAGCTAGCTCGCAAGCGGGCTTCCTTGTATCTCTTTGCTTGGGCATGCGCCTTGCAATACAATGCGCTTCGGTGCAGACAGTGCAATGGGTCTTCCTCCATCAGTTCTTTTCTTCCTTTCCAATATGTCGGTTTCATACCCTTCATCCTCGACTTCATTTCCCAGTTCAGGTTCGATGCGTGGTTCTAGCTTTCATACAATCGTACCTCGATGATCCGTTGATAGCATTTTGTTTCTTTTGGCTGTGCTCTCGATGACGTGAGTGGGCGGAATGAGGGAGAATCAGCTCCGCAATCTAACTGCTGGACAGCTCGTCTCCTTTCTCGCCTGGCTTGACCAACATCCAGCTCTTGGTATGGCTGGATAGAACTTCAAAGGGTTGATCCTTGGCGCGATTGATTCAGGTCTTGGAAGTGTTCAGAGGCGCAGCACACTGGTATGTAGCCGCTCTTGGGTGAGCCTACCAACAGCTAGGTTACAAGCTCGACGGCACGCCCGAACGCTGCCTTGCTTGCAGCGTCAGTGATCCTGCTCGTTGTCACCTGTCAGCGGACAGACTGTCAACATGAGCTCTTTGGATCAAGCTTCCTCATCGGGCAAGCTGCAAGACGACACTTCGCGTGAAGCGGATCTGCTGCAGCCCACTACAGACAAGGTTATGCCCAATCCTAAGCCGATTAGCACATCTGGCTCCAAGATGCGCAACAGGAGCACCACCATTTCAGTAATCACAAACAATGGCCAGCACTGCAGCAGACGCAAAGATGGAGGATCTTCAATTCAATTCGACGAGGAGGCGTTGCTGAACAGTCCCTCGATACTGGCCGCGCGACGCGGCAACGGTGGGCCGAGCACCGCCTCGCCACGAGTTTCCGCCACCATTGTCGGCCGCGACGGGCGAGCGTCTCTTGCCTCACCCGTTAGCTTGGCTGAGAGGCGGGTGGGTCGGAGGAACAATGCGTCCGAAAGTGCATTTTCGACTGGGGCCGCCTCGTTTGCAAGCTCCTCGGGGAGCAAAAAAACCCCCCGAGCGTCTGTCATTACGGTCCCCGCTTGGGCTCGAAATGAGCCGCCTAGTCCGCCAGATTCTCCTCAGTTGCAAGCCCAGGCTCGGTCTTCCCCGCAGTCGGTGCACGGAAGAAGGAAGGAAGAGAATTCCAAGGCGGGAGGCCCATCATCAGCAGTACAACATGCAACCAATTCTCACAGGCAGCGCCGGTCCAAGCATCACGATCAACTGCACCCCTTTGCGGAGAACTCCAAGCGCAAGGCTCGGAAGCAGGAAGATGAGGAGATTCCTCAGCAATGCGCATCAATTCCTCCTGCACATTATGGCGACAATGATGAATACGAGGACATATCGGACGACGAACCCGCCCCTGAAAACCGACTAGGAGGTACCTCTGGGGCCACCACAACAGGAACAGTAGCCGCAGCACCGCAGGGTCGTAGCGAAGCACGAAGAGGCTACAAGACAGGCTTTTGGAATCGGCGAAAGTTACGGCGGAAGATGAGGAAAGAAAACGATTTTCGCGACGGAGGCGATGGCTTTGCGGGGTTCGTAGCTGCCAACGATGCAGCGCGGCGGTTTGGCAGCGCCAACTTCCTCAGCGAGATAAATATGCGGCAAGGAATACAAGGAGCAGCATCAGGGAGCAGCAGTGCTATCCTCAATGCTACTCCATCATCAGAAGCACTTCGGCGAGACTCCTCCAAGCCGCAGCAAGGAAATGTATATGATGAAGATGATGATGGGCCAGGTGAGGACGAGGAGCAAGGACAGGGTACGGCCGACCTGCCCACGATCGTTATGCGCACATATCTCAAAGCGAAGGACAAGGACGGAGAAGACTTGGTGTTCAATCAGCAGGACGGCCGGGGTCGCTCCACCGAGCTCGCTGAATCTTGGACGCGCCATCAGCCGCTGAGTCCGGGCTGGGATTCGCCCTGGCAGCCCGAGATGCTCAGCGAGCGGCAGTCGATTGAGGTGGGCCGCTACCGTTTTCATGCAGGCACGGACGGATATTTCCCGCACACCAAGACGAACAAGCCATTGACTTCTGAGAAGAAGAATCGAAAAAAGAAGACCGGCTGGGCTGTCATGTTCGACTGGGCGTGGCATCGCGACTTTTTGCTGCACAACCCGTTCGTACCACTTCTATTACGCTTCATCAATATCGCTTTCACCGCCGCGACGCTCGCCGTCGCCATTCGGGTCCACATCGCCCTGCTGCAGGAGGATGCCGCTGGCGTCGTTGGATCCTCGCCCGTCGTTGGGATCAGTATGTCACGCCTTATTCTCTCCCGGGTTAAAGAGTTGTGCTGACGAACGAACGCGCACCTCCTCAGTCTTCGCGTGCCCCACTTTGATCCACGTCGCCTTCCAAATCTGGCTCGAGTACTTTGGCCGGCCCGTCGGTCTGTGGTCTGTGCGCTCCAAGCTGCTCGGGACGCTGATCGAGATCATCTTGGTCGCATTCTGGTCCGCCGAGCTGGCGCTCGCATTCGATAACTACTACACTTCGCCCTTGGTCTGCTCGACGTACAACAGCCCCTTTGCGAGCGGACGTCAGATCTGCATCGCGGATCCCAACAGCCCGACGCAGCAGGCCGAGAGCCCGTTGAATGACAATTCGCGCAAACCACACATCTGCCGCTTGCAAGGCGCCCTCATCGGCCTGTGCTTTGTCAGCCTTCTCGCGTACACCTTTGCCCTTACTGTGAGCCACCTTGCCCGGCATTGATGCGCCATGCTGAGCTGACCACTGATGCCCATGTTATTCCTCTCCTAGCTCTCCTTGTTCCGCATCTTTGTCCGCGTCTCAGCCCGCTCCGCCACCCGCAACTAGCAAAAGCCCATCTTCCCATGCAGCACACCTTCCGACCGCATCGAGCGACCATTAATGCTCCGGACATCTAGAGACATCCGGCATTTCATAGTACCTTAATACATGCATAGTATTCTATTCGCATTTGCTGCTGCGTCTTTTTGCGTACAATAATATCCGATTAGCCGTTTTCCGTTATGTATCACCCATTCGCAATGATGATTGCATTTTTATGGTCCAGATGCTGCTGCTATTGTGCTGGTTGCGGCTGCAATCTCTTCCGATGCAACAGAAGCTCGGCGAAAGGCGGTCTCCAGAGAATACTCAATGTCCGTGAGGTACGTGCGATTGCTTGCGGTGCTGTTCATAGGTACGGAGTTGGTGAGGGTGCTATCTCCGATCCCATCAATGGAATGGCGTGATGGGGGAGAATCAGCGTGGGAAGAAGAGGAGGAAGCGTCCTTCAAGCGCGAGGGACAAAATGTGCTCGTGGAGCCGCTGCGCGAGCGAGCTTCCGATTGCGCTGCTGCTTGCAGCCTCTCGGCACGAGCTGGTGACCGTGGAGGAGAGATCAGCGGCGCTTTCGGGCCTTTACGTGGTGTTGTCGGCGTCGAGGAACGGCTCGTTGTAAAAAACTGCTGTTGTTCTTGCTGTTGCTGCTGATGCTGCTCCTGCTCCTGAGGAGACTGAACCTTGCTCACGCTGGCCCTCTTCACAGGACGAGGGGGACAGGGCAGCGAGCGCTCAACGCCGGTGAATGCGCCATTGCTGAGATTCGATATGGGCGCGAGCGGCGAGCGCTCGATCATCGACATGGGCCGGCATTTTTCGCTGTGCGTGAAGTGTTCGTGGCTGCTGACGCTATGATCGGAGGGCAGCAGGAGCAGGTCGGCACTCTTTCGCAGCGAGGAGCCGGTCTGGCTGAATGCTTCGAACGTCGTCGATGAGAACGCCCCTGATGCAGCAGCAGCTGTTGAGGCTAGCTGCGGCGTTCCCTCTGCGCTCCTCCCACTGCGCGGAGTCGAGAGGTCTAGACTCCTCTTCTCGAGCAGGGGGCTACCTCCATTCGCTGATAGACGCTCGAGATCGTCGCGTGCAGCTGCAGCCGACAAGGGATCCAACCGCCGGATCTCGTCCAATGTGGCGATGAGCTGATCGGGCGGCAAGATGCGTTGCATCCTCACCTCTCTCGACCCCTGCATGCTCACCTTCTCCCCAATTGGATGCGTTGCTGCTGATGACCCCACGCCATGTGGGGCCACCGGCGGCAGCTCCTCAAGCTCCTCCCGTGGCGAAGACAGTGGGGAGGGGATCCTGGATTTGCGGCGCGACACAAGCGAGAATCCCGCGGACAGCCTGTCGGAGCAAGACACGTGAGCGGTGGAGGAAAGAGCAGCGATGCGGTCGATGGCGGTGAGAGATGCGGAGTGTGAAAGCGTCAGCGTAGGGCTCACGGTCGGCGACGCCTTCGCTGAGCTACATGTGTATGTGGATGCGAACACTAAGCTTGCGCTGCTGCTGATCTCGGATGCGTCGCTCGCTTTGTGTTGGTGGCGCGAGCGACCGAAGCTGAATGCACCACTGCCATAGCCGGTGGGAGGGAGGGGCGAGGGGAATGATGTCGTCGTTGTTGGGGACGTGGAACGCTCGTTGCCTCGGCGCAGGGAGTTAAGCGAAGCGCGTGAGCTGCGCAGGCGCAGGATGTTGCCTGCAAAGCGGCCTGCTGAGCCTCTGCCGCCGCCGCTGACACTGCTGCTACTGCTGAGCGATGCTGCATCTTGGTGCGAGGATGTGGATGAGGAGGATGAAATGGTCGCCTGGCGATCTTCTCTGTCAAGTGCGACACCGAGTTCTAAGCCGAGGCCCAACGAGCTTGCGCTGGACGTGCTACAGTGCTCGTCGAGCAAGCCTCCGGCTGCCACCGGCGGTGCTATGTCGGACGCGCTCCAGTTGAGCAGTGAGCTGCTTCGGCGCAATTTGAGCAGCGCGAGCGCCGAGATGGGCTTGCCTCCCTCGCATATGCGCTGGTAGCGAGTGGCAGCGCTCGAGTCATCGTCGTCGTCTAAAACCTCCATCGGCGAGCTGGCCGGAGAGGACACAGCTATGCCAGCAGAAGTGCCTTTTTGCCCGCTGCGACCGCTCCTGATGCTGCCTGCACTACTGCCACCGCCGCCCCCGCCGCTCGTACAGATGCTGAAGTGCGACGTGGCAGTTGCCATGCCGCTGCTAAAACTGGTGCAGCAGTAGCAGTTGCTGCTGCTGCAGCTGGTGGCGTGAAAAGGCGGCGAGAGGCTGCCAACGCACACGGAGCTGCTCACGGCCTCAGTACAATGCACGAGCGACGTGGCATTCGATGCGGGGCTGGGGCTGGGGCTGCTGCTGTTCATGCCAAAATCGTACGAGTTGAGGCTGGGCTGCTGCGAGGACATCGAGGCGCCGCTGCCGCTGCGGGATGAGGCAACCAGGAGGCTGCTGGACAACCCGAGATGCGGCATCGCGGGCATGCGCGGTGAAGCGGTGGCCGAGTGTGTGTGTCCTGTTGGGCGCGAGGATGCCATAGGAGCAGCAATGGACGTAGCGCACGCGGCGGAAGCGTTGCCAGAGCCTGCTAGGTGTGACTGTGAGACGAGCGCAAGGTCTGACATGGACGAAGGCCTGCTACGCAGCAAACAGCTTCCGAGCAATGCCGATGTCGTTGCTGATGCCAATGCAGACGCGGGGGAGGACGCGGGGGAGGAGCTCGATGCGTCTGCTCGGTGGCGCGTGTGCGCCTGCCGGCCGACAGGCACAAGCAGTGAGAAGGAGCCAGACGATGCGGAGTGCTGCAGCGAGCCGGAGCGTGGCAGGAAGTTGCTGCTTGTGCTCCTACTCATAAGCGCCGGCGTCGGCGCAGGAGACGCAGACGCAGACGCGGCCAACTCGACCGGAACGACAGCCGCCGCGGCTGGCCCGCGCGCCGTAGAGCCGGCGAGGTGCGGCGAGAGCGCTTCGGCCCACAGCTGCATCATGAGTGAGGACGGGACGCGGAAGGTGAATGTGGGTGGGTGATAATGATAACGATGTTCGGGATGGTGCGCTATATGTCGTGCGTGTTGCTGGTGCTGATGATGCGTTGGCGACGACGATGTCGGCGCAGCAGCTCGTAGCAGGCTCGACCAGCGCCTGAGGCCGCTTAAACTCGGTTTCTGCTTGATGTGCCTTCTTGGTGGCTGACCGGTGGTAGCATCTGGCGGGGACGACTTCAAGTCGTGGCTGCTGTTGTTGGTGGTGATGGAGCGAGCATCGCACTCCGGCTCGGTGCGCTTCTGGGTGAGGCGGCCGGCAGAGCTGCCAGGTCGCTGTGGCTTTTTCTGTGGCGCGATGCTGCCCGCGACGCGCTGCGCGAGGCTCGGCTTGTGTTTGAGCGCGCCTGCACCTGCACTTAGTGCCGGTGCATCGTCGGCGACACAGGTGTCATGCGTATGCTGCGCGGCACGCGCACCATGGTTCGCTCGTGACGCGCTGCCGCTGCTGCTGCTAGGCCTGCCAACACCGGCCCTCGTGCGCGCGTACAGCTGCCGGCTGCGCATCGCGAGCGCGAGCGGTGAGCGGGTCCATATGCTCGACGTGTGCTGCTGCTGCTGTTGGTTCGCCTGCGTACATGCTGTTACTACGTCGCCTCCGCCTTGGCCCTCTGGCACAGCTGCGACAGCGGCGTGAGATACAGAGGAAGAGAAAACGAGCGGATGCGAGTACGACGCGGAGCGTGGGATGCTCCTGCTGCCGCCAAAGTGGAATTGGCGCCACGAGGAAGGCGGCAGGCGCGCGGCAACAGGGACAGCTGGTGTTTCGGGCTCTGGCTCTGGCTTTGCGTCTGCTGCCGCTAGCGAGAACGAAGCGGGAAAGATGGAAAAGTCGGAGCGGCAGGGCGCCGCTCCTTCTGTGTGGTGGCTGACCAGATACGACTCCGAGGGCACCAGGATCGTCGCCGGCGCCGCTGCTGCGGACGACGGGGACGGGGACGGGGACTGGGATGGGGAAAGGGAAAGCGTGACATACCAGTCTCCTTCCTGCGCGTCTTCCTGTGCCTCTGGCGTCGCCTGCGCCGCTGCAGCTTCTACTGCTGCTGCTACTGATGAAGAGAGGGCACCGCTGGGCGTAGGCGAGGACGGGGGCGTGGGCGTGGTGCGCAGCACGTCGTATGCTGTGAGGTCGACGACGCGAAGCGGTGCGACGCAGTGCTTGTGCTTCTTATTCTTGTGCTGGCGGTTGTCGTCGGCGCGCGATGACTCCGGCGTGAGTGGTCTACAGGATGCGTGCGCGAAGCAGTGTCAGTCATACAGGGGGGTTAGTTAATCCGTCAATCTGTCAGGCCAGGCTAGCGCAGTGCAGCGCCTCTTTCTCGCCCGGCCGGGGGGCTGAAGTCCGTCAAAGAGGGACAGGGGCGTACGCACCTCGGTTCCTCGTCCTCATCGTTCTCGTTCTCATGCTTGTACAGCAGCAGCGAACATGTGTCGGATTGCAAGACGGCCCAGACGTTCGTCCATCTGGGTGCGGGTGCCAGTGCGGCTTTGTTTTCCGCACGCCCCCCGACGGGGGCGGCGTCACACGCAAGGTCGACGTAGATGTGTCCCTGCATGTTTGCGTAGGGATGCGTACTTTCCTGTTCTTTCAAATGGCCGTGCGTTGAAGCGGCAAGGCGCGCTGTGGCAGCAGAACCGCGAAGTCGTTCTGCCCTTGCTGCCTTTATGGCTGCCGTGTCACGCGTCCTCGCTCTGTCGCAAGGCGAGGCGAGACGACGCGTGCAGATGGGTGTCGTGTGTCTACCTTGGGGGACAGACGAGGCTCGGCAACGACCCGGCGTGCTCGGTAATGAGAGCGAGGAGCGCTAGTGCTCCCCGCGGTCAACCGGTCATCGTGGGTGATGGGTTGGCTGGCAGGATCGTAAAGCAGCGCTCGTGTCGTGGGGAGTACGATGCTCGAGGATCTTTAGGCTACACGTGAACTGGCGGCGACGTTGACGACGACGAGGAGCGATGGCAACATCCAAGGATTGCTTTAGCATGCTCTGTCCCATCTTCTTGTCTCCATCCCATCGAGCGATCGATCAATCGATTGCTGTTCGATTCGATGTTTCATTGGCTCACTCATATCTGTTCGTCTGTCCGTGTCATAGCACGGCACTGGACCAGTCTGTTTCAACTTTTTTTTCCTGTGTGTTTGTTTACTCTCACTTTTCTGTCCACAGCCACGCACGCACGCACCGGCAGCTACGTCCCACGGACACACCTGACGCGGGCTACCAAGTCCAGCTCTTCTCGCTACCTACTCAGCCTCGATGACAATGTGAATGGCCCTCATTCTCTCTCCCCTCGAATGCACCCAGCTACCCCGCAGAGGAGGCGGGAAGCGATCAGCAAGAGAGATCGGTCTGTAGCTGCATGTACATTGCCTGCCAGGCGAGCGGAAGAAGATTCTTTTGGACTTATCCTGCCAGTTCCAGCCCAGCATGTGTAAAATTCACCCAGGGGCCTCTGAGAGGCTGTCTGCTGTTCGGCACTCTCTTGCATAAGAGGATTTCGTCTCGGACTCGCGCTGGCCGGCGTGTATATAATAAATACATACGCAATGCATACGTAGCAAGCATCGGTGTTATGGCTAAAAGAGGGGGTACACCGCCACAAGGCACAGTGGCGCTGGGCTGGCACGGAGCCAATGGCTGTTCCTTGCTCCGATTAGATGGACGAAAGGATCCGGACGCATTGCATTGCCACCCTTGCCGATCTCGCTGCTAGCTTCATGACGAGCTGCAGGCTTGCATGCTCACTGATCTGCCACCTCAGCCTGGCGCTATCGCTGTCACCGGCCGACTGCCCGTGGTCACCAGGAGCGGCCATCCGTCGCGCTTGGCCGCAGCAGCGGAAAGTGTTGACCAACACAGCCCGGGGGCTCAGTCTCGATTGATCATCGAGCATCGCTGTTTGACATTCCACAGCGCATTTTGTGGGAGAGAGCGCAACCCTATTTTGCGCCGCATAAATTGCAGTCGCCACATGTATCTCACTCATTACATTCCTCAATGCATATATATCTAGTCTCCCACGCATTCCCTGCCCGTCATTCTCTGCCCAGAACGTGACTGTCATCCGGTTTCTCTGCTTCCGACACTATAGCTTTCCGATGTTCCCAGCCTGCGTGCCCAAAAGTGAGCGATGATAACACAGCGCTTGCACCAATGGCGTGTGCTGTTCCAGAGCCAATGCGATGCGAGTGTGGAAGAATGCCCGTCCTGTATCGTGATCAGCGGCCCAGCGTGCACCACCCTACTCGCCAACGTCAACACAAATGGTGAAAATTTTGGGGACGGGGCGGCGGGTTAAACATACCAGTTCTATATAACTGCCATGTAGAGCCTCAAGAGCTCAGTAGTTCATAACCCTATTTATTATAATCACTTGAGGCGTCTGAGGCCCAACTTGAAAGCACACGCGGGGGCATAAGAACCTGCCCTTGTCATACAACGATCACGCCACGTGGGCCCTGTAGTGTACAGCTCACAAGGAGTCACGAATCAGGCGACGGCTCCTGGCTGTCGTTGCTGCGTGTAGAGTGCGGACTAGCAAGAAATTACAGCCAGTTGAGCAGCAGGGCTAAATGTTACCGTCGATCCTCGAGGCGAAGATGCGTGGTCGTCTCTGTCGGGCGGCATGGTAGCACTGACACCAAGGTGGTCAGCGGTACCCAGCTCTCGCAGGTTGGTGCCCAATGGGCACGAGCGGCAAGGTTATTAAATGAGATGCGTGGAGTGCGGAGAACCTGGCGATCTGCATGTTCATGCCTTCAAAGCCTACTCGGCGACACTTATTCTGCGTACTGCGGAGCCCCGCTGAGTAGATGCAGATGAATTAAGTCGTCGAATTTATTCCACTGAGCTGGTCGATGGGAGGCCGTTCCCAAAGACTCGGTCTGTAACCTTGAATGCTTTTCGCAACAGGCAGTGTTTGCTGATTGCAGACGGTGGCGAGCCAGGTGAGGCGCGCGAGGAGTTCATCGGTACAAGCCTTACAGCTTCCCATTGACCCATTTCCCAGGTTTGACACCACCCCGGCACCCCACAGCACCCCTACATTGAACATCAGCGCGTCGGCTTCCAGCGCCACTCCAAAGCCCCTTTCTTGTTAACGTCGAGATGTACATCAGTTGATGAGCGTGCTGTGCATTTGCCTTTTGTGATGCTGGTATTTTGCATGCAAATGCGACGGACAGGCTTGATACAATCTGGAAGGAAGCCGGTGCCAATCATTGCTGTTGAATACGACGGTGAGAAATGGGCTTGCTTCTATCTTCTTACAATGCAGCACGCTCACATCACTCCTCCTTTTCGGTCGCATGACCAAAACTCGAAAAAACAGCTTGCACTTCTCTCTCGCCATGTTGCCGTGCTTTCAAGCTTAACATCATCGCATCTCCACACCTCTATCGCCGTGCCGATACAAGCAGAACCTGGTAGGCCAGTTGCAGGGCCATACGGCATGCAGACCAATGCCTCCTTCAATTTGCGCACTTTCCGATCCTCTTCTGTTCAGTATTCCGGTTAAAGATTCGAATGAGAGTGCCGTTGCCCAATCACGCGTCAAGGATCGCTTGCTCACTTGCATCAGGCCGATATTGGTCACGATCTATCATGAAATACTCGCTGATTGAGACCTACGATCGTTTCCCCGCTCGAACTTTCTTCTCTGGCGGCAGCCATGCATGGAAGCCATGGTGAGAAGAGGCACATCAGCAGCACATGCTGACAGACTATGATTTAGTTCAGCAGTTTTTTACCATATCCCATGGCATTGTTCAGCTACGACCCGCTTCCACTGTCCTCAGTGACTCGGCTTCTTCAAATGCTTAAAGCTGAAGCGCACAATGAATTCGAAAATGCCCATTCCTGATCCTAGCAAGCTGCATGCCATGTACCTCTCAAATTACTGGTCAGAGTTACAAGTCTACGCCGGAGTATGTACCTTGAGGTCCACTTGTTCCCAATCTGCTCAAAAGCGATCACTGCGTGTCTCTACACCGGCATCGGCGTTGCACTTCGAAACAGATCTAAATGTCCTTTCAAGGCAGCTCGCAGAAGGGCAAACTTCGGCAATTGCAAAGAAGCTTCTCGTTGTGGAGGTTTGAAAGATTGAGTTAGCTCGATTAGAGTGCTTCGCCTGCTTTTTCTCACTCGTGCAACATCCCTTGCAGCATCGCGTCTCACAGCTGCTACTCGCAAAGCGAGCCCGGGGACATCTACTTCCTAACCGGCCTACCTGCCTCGAGGATGACAAACATGACTCTTGCTTGAACTCTTCGTATATATTCAGCTGATCGGCACTACTTATGCGTTCCCTTTCTTACTCCCTCTCCATCATCCATTGATTTCGCTTCTTCATCTCGCATCCCTTGCCTCCATTTTCCTGCTCCTTCCAAGCTTTCTCTTTCGTCAACATCGACAATGAGGTCCGTCAATTACGCCGTCACGCTGGCCCTCACCACCGCCGCCCTGCGCTCCGCCACGCTCGTCTCTGCTCTTTCGATTGCCGAGCATGTCACGTACAAGGCGAAGGATGTCTCTTCGTACGATGACCTTAGCTTCCTACCCATCCTTGCGGTCACCAAAAAGGTCCACCTATGTTCTCACCATCTCCAACTTTTACGGCGTCAACACTCAGATCGGCGGTGCGGATCTAAACTTTATCTACCTTTACACCCCTCGGGAATCACTCCGGGGCGTCTGACATATCACTTGATCTCAGCTATCACCCCTGCTCACTTGCGCTTGTCTAGCTAAAGTCATCGCGACTGGCTGGGAGAAGAGGCTTTGCAAGGCAGTGACGCCAACATCAGCACGCTGTACGAAAGCGCCTTCCACTCGATCTTCAATTTCACGGGTTCATCTTCTTGTGCTTCTTCAACACCCTAGTTAGGTCTACCGCGGGCACGCTGCACTGGTGCAACATCACCGTCGACACATTCTTCCAGGGCGAGAAGGACAGGAAAGTGATCGAGTTCAAGATCAGTGGCTCGACTTTCTACAACATCGACACGGCCGTGTTCAAGGTTAACTCGAATATGTTTCTCCGGAGGCTTCTTAGCATCCCCAATCCTTCTCCGGAGCTCTTTATGGTCCTCACATTGACAACATCGAGAACACTCCACTGTTGATCTCGTTGCACAATTGCGGGCACACCTCTAGCTCTGCTCTCGAGAGCTGTCAGTCGGTCGGGTGCTCGTCCAATCCGTCCATCCGTCTGTCCGTTCGCTACGCTCGCTTTCATCTGCAACTCAAGTGCTGGCCAACTGTTATACCTCGCCGATCTTGCGCTACTCCGGTAATTCGGTCCAGATTGGCTCTCTGTCATCTTTCTCCGGCATACTAGACCCATTTCTCGGCATCACACTATTTTTCTGTTCCGCTTGCTGCTGCAAAGTTCTGTATTGTCATGGTCCTTCGTATTTCATGCAATGATGCATCATGCTTGCCCGAAAGGAAGAGTCAGTTGTGAACGCAAGAGTGAAACGTGAAGCTCAAGTCATTGTCAATGGATGGTCCTTGTCAACGTATAGAGATTTGATGTGCTTGCGGGAGCTCCGGCTCAGCCGACAGAAGATGACTTCAGGCGTGCCTGATTCTCGGCACTGGGCCAGTGTCGATTTTTGGCGTGTTAGCCATGCAACGCGACGCGACTCGCTTCGCCACCCACTATATGTGTAAAGTACCCACGCCGGACCTCATCTTCCACCCTTCCTTCTGCTTGATCTAATCTAAAGGCCAAGGGCGGCGGGAAGTTGATTGTGTGCTCCCAAGACGGCGTCTTCCGCAGCTCAAAATGAATGAGCAGGCGACGCCAGAGATTGGCGCTGCCTATGCGCAGCCACCACCCCCCGACCGCGACTTCTTCGACTCCTCGCCGAGACCATCTCCTCGACGCGTTTTCCAAGAGAACCAGCTGGACTCGGGAGCGGGGTCATTGGCGTCTCGTGCATTGGATCAATCTGGGCTGAACTCATCCTCGCCTCAGCCGCATAATGACGAATATTCCCATGTCATGGAAAGTGGCGGCGGCGATGCGGACGACGACGATGACTGCGACACGATGCAGACCGCTCCGACTGAAATCTCTTCCCCGATCAAGGGAAACGAGCCCAAGTTGAAGCCAGAGCCAGTCAAGCAGGAAGAATATAACGGGATCCTTCACATCAAGGAGGGGTCAGACTTCCGGGATCAGGCTGACACGTCCCTCTTCCGAGGCATGGCCGAAGACGATGACGAGGTCGAGCTGCCGAAAGCCAAGAAGGAAGAATCGCATGACGCCGAAATGTCCTTCTTTCATCCGAGTCCCCCCTTAGCCGAGGCTTATCTCACAACATCCACATTCTCGCAAAGCGAGGATGTCAAGCTTAATGACATTTCTTCCACGAGCACGGACAAGAAGCGGTCGTATACCATCACCATCGACGACTCGCCGACCAAGCCGACGTTTGGTAATCGCACACCCGAGACTGCAAGGGAACGGCATCAGCGCAAGCTCACAGCCGCGCGTGAGGCAAATAATTGGACGCGAAGATACATTGGCACTTTTATCGTCCAGGGTTGGAGTACAGTTAAAGGCAGGGACTACATCAGGGAGGGAGATTGCGTGCAGATTGTTCGAGTGAATCCCAACAAAAAGCCGCAAGGGAGCAACGGTACCGCCACCTCGTCAGATAAGAAGCAGACTAAACTCAATTTTGGCCCGAAAAAGAAGCCGCAAAAGGAGAAAGACAATTTCCTAATCCGCTTCACCAATAAAAAGGGTGGGTCAGCTCTTCATTTGCGTCCTACATCGATATCATCTTACGTTCTTTTCCGCGTCAAAAAAGGCTTCGAGGTGGGAAGAATCCACCAAGAGTATGCAAGATCGCTTTCTCGCCTGATAGACCAAGAGATCGCCACGTTCGAAGCATCTGTCGTCATCTGTCCTGAAGTGTTGACGACCGGAGTGGACATGGTCCTGCAAGTCAAGGCCTATCTGCGCGCGGATCTCTTCACCTACGATTCTGCGCTCAAGGCAAGGGGTATCGACCCGGATGGCGATGAGCCAGTGTTCGCCGGCTGGAGCGAAGGTAAGGAGACGCCCATGGAGAAACGGCTGCGCGAGCGCAAAGTCTCGCTGCTTAGGCTGTTCAACAGGTGTGACCTCAAGCCAGTGCGTTCGAGCAACGTGCTGGAGAAACAATACAAGTCCAAAGGCGACTTGCTTGGCAGCGAGAACGCGATCAAACTCGATGGTGGTAGCGTCGAAGCAAAGGTCGCGCCCAGGAAGAAGAGCATCTCGCCTCCCAACTCTGTCACGCAAAATGCGGCCAATCTTCGCGCCGGGGAGCAACAAACGCAGAGCAGCAGCCAGACCGTTGACTTGACAGAGGATGACGACGTCAGCAGCTCCACAGTGAAGACAGAGCGCTATGCTAAGCTCAAGACCAACCTTGCTGACAGCAAGACGAGCAGCCTCGCTGGCGGCGGAAGAGTCAAATTTGAAGAGATGATGTGTGCAAAAGAGGAGACGGCTGAGGGTGACGCCCCGGCGGATGGCACCGAGATCGAAGAAGGCGAGCTGGATCGTGTCTACAAGAAAGCGCAGGCGTTCGACCGTGATCTGCTTGAAGTCGACCCTCCCGACACGTTCGCGCTCAGCCTACGGCCATATCAAAAACAAGCGCTCGGCTGGATGCAGAGCATGGAACGTAAAGACGAAGGAGAAGGAGACGACGCGCGTGAGCTCTCTCTTCATCCTCTATGGGAAGAGTACGTTTTTCCAGTAGACGATACGGATCCGATCGCCACATCGGCTCTGCTCGAGTCTACCCAGCGCAGCTTCTACTTCAACCCTTACACTGGCGATCTCAGTTTCGAGTTCCAGCGCGCTAGCAAGGGCGCCCGTGGTGGCATTCTCGCTGACGAGATGGGTCTCGGCAAGACGATCATGGTCGCCAGTCTGATTCATGCCAACCGCCCTTCGGCAGATGAAGCCGATAGCTGCGCAGACGAGCAGGACGAAGAAGAGGACGTGAAGCGTGACTCCAAGAAGGCTAAGCTGGAGCATGACGCTGGCGACGCGCACGTTGCGAACGGCAAAGTGGCATCGGAGGCCGTGCGCCGACGCATCACTAAAAGCTCTGGTATTCAGCGCGGCAGAGCGACGCTGGTTGTTGCGCCCATGACGCTTATTGGGCAATGGAGTGACGAGCTGCAGCGCGCGAGCAAGGCGGGCACGCTCAACGTCATGCTGTACTATGCCGACTCCAAGGGCAACCTCGTGCATCAACTGCAGTCTGGCGATGTCGACGTCGTCATCACCTCGTACGGCACGCTTGCTCGGGAGTATGCAAAATTCAAAGATCTCGTCGCCAAGGGCGTAAAGGAGGACACCATTGCGTATTCTGCGACGCTCTTCGTGGTGGACTGGCAGCGCATCATTCTCGACGAAGCGCATAACATCAAGAATCGCGCCTCGCAGAATGCCCGCGCGTGCTGCGACCTCATCGGGGAGCGCCGTTGGTGCATTACCGGCACGCCGATCGTCAATCGCCTTAGCGACCTGTATAGCTTGCTTGCCTTCCTCAAAGTCGAGCCGTGGGGCGACTACAGCTTCTTCAATTCGTTCATTTCGAAACCATTTGCGGACAAGAATCCCAAGGCACTTGACGTCGTCGCAGTCGTGCTCGAGTCGGTGTTGTTGCGAAGGGAGAAGCGGATGAAGGACAAGAACGGCCGGCCAATCGTCGAGTTGTCGCAGAAGACCTTTGACATCCAGTACCTCGACTTTTCGGAAAAGGAGCGTGAGATCTACAACAATGTCTACCACCGCGCACGCGTCCAGTACGATCGCCTCAGTGCTGCAGGTCAGCTCGGCCGCAATTTCAGTCTGATTTTTTCAGTGTTGATGCGTCTTCGACAGGCCGTCTGCCACCCTCTTCTGGTGCTCGGCAAGGACAAAGGACCGACAGGCGATGCTCACGATGACGAGGTGCCGGCTGACGAAGTCAACAGTCAGTTGCGTAAGCTCGTCGCAGGTTTCCAATCCGGCAGCACGAGCTCGTCGGAGGAGGGTGAAAAATACGCCGCCAAAGTCCTGCAGGACCTGGTCAGCGACAAATGTGACGCAGATGATGACGGTACATGCCCGCTCTGCTTTGAAGAGATGACGATCCGCTGCCTCCTACCCAAGTGCATGCACAGCGCTTGCAAGGACTGCGTCATGGGCTTCCTCCAATCGTGTGAGGATAAGGGGAAGGAACCGACCTGCCCAACCTGCCGCCAAGGACCTGTCTCTGCTGAGGATCTGATCGAGGTCATCCGCACTCGTCCGCGTCGCAACAAGATCGCCGAGGCTGTTCAAGCGGCCGACGAAGTCGAGGACGAGGGCAGTGAAGTAGACGGGAAGCCGCCAGGAACGCAAGAGTCTGCGCACTCGCAACCCGCTGTCTTTCTACGTCGCAACAACTTCCGCAGCAGCACCAAGCTTGAAGCGCTCGTCAGTCAGCTGAATGAACTGCGCATGGGTGATTCCAAGTTGAAGGCGGTCGTCTTTTCGCAGTTTACCAGCTTCTTGGACCTGGTGGAGGTTGTACTGAAGCGCAACAAGTTCGCCTTTGTGCGTTTGGATGGGTCAAGCACCCAGCGTGAGAGGGAAGATGTCCTTCGGGAATTCCGCGACGCTCCGCGACAGATGATCATGCTCATCTCGTTGCGTGCCGGTGGTGTTGGCCTGAACCGTGGGTTTTAGAAGATGACTCGCACTGCACAATTCGGAACTGACCCTGTTTCTTACACACCCTCAGTAACTTCGGCCAATCACGTTTTCCTGCTCGACTGTTGGTGGAACTCATCAATAGAAGACCAGGCCGTCGATCGTATCCACCGCATCGGGCAGACGCGACCTGTCACCGTGCATCGCTACCTGATCAACAACTCTATAGAGGAGCGCATCATGGCTATTCAACGCCGCAAGACGGCGCTTATCAACAACGCTCTCAGTGGCAGCGGTAAGAGCGATACTCTCGAGAACCTCGAGCTTCTTTTTGGCGATTAAAAGCATCAACTTCGCCAGGTATACAATCTTCGCCAACTAAACAATTGTGCATATGTGCATTTCATCACACTCGTGCTTTATATTCAACTCGATACCAGCTTAGGCTCAACGCTTGCGTTCTCTGCTCCATTTGAATACTTTGAGTTTGGATTTGCCCTTGCCCCCCTCTGTATCCACTGCGTCGTCTTCGTCTTCGTTTCCGGGTAAAGCAAGCCCGTTGCTTGTCATTTTGCCATTGGCGACGAGGTCAACCATCTGTGCCTTCTTCGCAGTGTTCTTGTCCGTCACATTTCGGGCCGAGTTGCCACGCGAGGACATCAGGTTGCGCACTAGCGCCAATTTTGACGCCGCTTCTGATAAGGCCTCTTGTCGCTCTTGTCGCGCAGAGAGGAGGAGCAGGAGATGCGAGAGATACTTTTCGTCTTGTCCTGCCCCGCTAGAGTTGCTGTGATGGCTGCTAGATGCATCATCATCGTCATCATCGAGAGCAGATGCATCTAGGTCGGACATGTCGTCCCAATCGGCCGCGTTGTGTCCATCGCTGCCGGGTCTTGCATCTGTTACCTCTGGCCCAGTGTGGTGCGAGGAAGATGCGAAGCCGATGCTCGCATAGTTTCGGACTGCCACGATGAAGGAGAGAGTGGGTCAGGTGAAACGTGTGTATCGCTTAGGATGCGTTTGCAACTTACGTTCATCAGTGCTGTCACACCAGATGGTCTTTTTCCCTGCCAGACCCACGACCTTTTGGCCGCCATCACGCTCTTCTTCTTCATCAAAAGCGTGCTCCGCCGCCTTTGCCTTGCCTTTCCCCTTTCCCTTGACCTGCTCCTTGACAAGCAGCCCAGCATCCTGCAGCACCTCTTTCCTATTCCTTTCCTTGTAGTCTTTCTTGATCGGCACCTCGAGCCATGCGAGGCGCATGCCGGGCACAGCAGGTGCGACACGAGCGATGAGCTTCTCGAGACGCTTTTGCTCTTGTCGCAGTTGATGGCGGATCAGTGAGGCGTCTTGCGTTTTCAGCAGCTGGACGAGCGGCGTCGACAGCGCGACGGATGAGGGTCGAGAGGCGATGTGCACTCCTTTCTAATGGCGCACACACGCATCCGAATGTGAAATGAGCACAGTATCGTCAGCTTTCTCATGCTCCTGCAAGAGGCTTGCGAAAGCCGAACTGTTGAGTTACGCAGATGGACACGTACCTGTGTCCTTGAGTTCACCATGCCAAAGTAAAATTCATCTTTGTTCCTCATCCCCGCTTTTTCTCTCAGCCGCTTGATCCTCTCACGCTTTGAGTGATGGTCTGCTGCACGCTGGACATAATCTTTGTGCTTCTCGAGGAGGCCGAGATGCTTGCGAGAGGCAAGCTGGGATCGCTCCTTGTGGTTGCGGCGGTGGACCGCATTGCGCAGCGCCATCTTTCCTAGCTTGTGCAAGGATGAAGAATGGTCTTTTTTTTCGTCGATTGCCCGTGCAAAGAAACGAGCTCACTGCCGTGGGTTGCTCGTCTAATTAGCAAGGATGGCGGGAGTTGAAGGTCGCTGCAAACGAGCGAGGTCGTCAACTCTAGGTCAAGGATTTGAAAATAGAAGTGCGAAGTGAATCAAACTCAGCATATCGTGGAATGTAAAACAGCATTTTTCAATTGCACCGAAAAAAGCGAACAGACATCATATCCCCCTGATTTTGCATTCTCCTCGCTTTTTACTTTTCAATACTAAGCAGGTCCAGCAACGGCTTTGCTGCAAAATGCGCTCTTATCTTGCCCAGACGATGATAGATTACGCTCGAGATCTACACGAAATTCTTGACTTCGGCGGAACTACAGGCCTTTGAGCCGCTGCTTTCCGCAGTCTACTGTCATTTTTCCATCATTGTCATTGACGAGATTCAAGATGAAGACATGCGATCCCAATCTAGAATGGGGACTAGTTTTCAGGCGCCAATCTGTCAATCCCGTTTGCTAATACCCTCGACAGGCCCAGAGGTTCAGGATGTAAAGGAGGTTTCAAAAAATGTGCGGGAAAAGACGGGCAACTTCGAGCTCTAACCCCAGGATCCTTGACTAAGAAACCCGGATTTGCATGGTCTTACTGGTGATGAGATGCGTATTACCCCGATTTGCGCATGTTGGGTTAGTTGAGGCCAAAATAGTTGAGACGGCTTCTAGTTGAAAATACAGCTTACTACCGGAGACAATTCGAACACGCTTCACCATCGTCAGGCCATCGACATTCATTCGTACTTCGCACTGCTGCTTCTACGACTTCGCACACAGAGCCTGCTTCGGCTCTGAGCAGAACTTTCTGGAAGGGTATTATGCCTCGTGTGTCTCCCTGCTGTTGAAAGTAGTTGCAAAAAGGATCAAATGTGCGGCATCACCCTCGTACTGCGGCGCCTGCAAGGCAATTGCGGCGATGTCCCACCTGATCCTCAGCTTGAATGGGAAGATGATCTTGTAGCATGTAATGCTCTCAGAGGTGCGTCTTTACTACGTGCCGTACTTCTACCATCTCAATGCATATTCTCACGTGCCATTGCGGTTGTACACTCCTCGATGAATTCCAGGCCCGGACATTACTGAGACAGTCACTGTGTCAATTCCAACACCCGCTTCATCTGCGTCCTCGTCCACAACTGCTGTGTGGCAAGCTCGGCTGAGCGCATCAGTCCTGGCCCTGCGTGGACCAAGTAAGACCGCACAACCATTCTTTTCGCCAGAACACAATCTATATTTCGCCTGGAACGGTCAAATTTTCGAACAGCGCAAGCAATATCAGCCATGTTCGATCGCCAAGAACTCGAAAAAGGGTGCAAATTTCATCGAGCGCCGGATTAAGGAGCTTTTTGAACGAGTTTGGAACGGTGAAAATGACGGGAAAGCTATCTTCGAAGCGCTCACGGATATTCTCGAAGAGTGCGAGAAGCAGGTATCGGTAACAGGGCCAAGTCCCATGGCCCATGAAGTGCTAGCCTCTATCCTCGATGAGGTCGAAGGCCCATTCGCATTCGTGCTAATCGAAGTGAGTGCCCAAAGAAAGCTCTATATATCAGAAAACCCGATACTCATACATACACTTCACTGCCAGCCTAGCAGAGCCCGCATTTTTTACGGTCGTGACATGCTCGGTCGACGGTCACTGCTTCACACACCTCGAGTCTCTCTCAATTCTTCATCCTTCGCTGGCGATCATGGTTTTCTCTTGTGCTCTTGCTCCACGGAAGCAGTAGTAAGGACCTTCGCTAGGATTGATTCTGAAGGCTCGCACGGTGTGCGTGAACCTGCTGCGGTCGAAAGTACTGATGGAGAATCGACGGCTCCTAATACTGCAGACATACAGCTCACAAATCGATTGGAAGAAGTCCCAACCAGCTCCTACTTCCTTCTCACCCTTCATTCAGAACCCGAATCGAAGCCTTGGCCACGAATAAGGCCGGATTGGCGCTGCGTGCAATCCGCCGGCCCCAGCGAAGACCCCGTTAGCATGCAACAACAACGGTCAGACAAGAGGAAACAAAATGCGGAGAATCTTTTGACTGAGCTCAAAACGGCTGTCGCAAGTCGTTTGCCACCCATTCAGTGTCGCACCGCTTCTTCTGTTTCTGGGTCACATTCTTCGTCGACATGCTCTACAGCGCTGCTATTCTCCGGCGGCTTGGATTGCACCGTACTTGCATTGCTCGCGCATGCTCATCTCCCACCTGAAGAACAAATCGACTTAATCAATGTAGCTTTCGAGAACCCTAGAAGCTTAAAGGCGCAAGAGACGGAGCTGTCGAGGCGCAGTACGATCAATCAGTCGAAGAGAGGAAAGGTTAATAGTACGAAAGACGATAAAATTGCTGGCTGCTGCAAATCAAGTTTGACTTCCGTCGCACAGCTGAAGAGAGGGCCATACGACACACCTGACCGCCTGACGGGTCTTGAAGCACTCGCAGAACTGCAGAGACTGGCACCCAGCCGGGAGTGGGTGTTCGTACAAGTGAATGTACCGTCACAGGAGTACAAGAGCAGAAAAGGTGGCATCGTGGAAAAGATGTGGCCCAATGCGACCGTCGTGAGTTGCGCACACGCTGCCTCGAAGAGGCATTATTTGGTGCATATTTTTACAGTCTTCTTTAATGATGCACAGATGGACTTGAGCATTGCTGCGGCCTTGCATTTCGCAGCCCATGGGCGAGGCGTGTCCTACTCTCCTTTGACTACAGCCAGTGACTCTGCGGCAAACCCCGGCGCGGCAGTATATGAGACTCCAGCTCGCGTCCTTCTCAGTGGCCTCGGAGCCGACGAGCTGTTTGGAGGGTACGCCAGGCATAGGACGGCTTATTCCAAGGAAGGATGGTCTGGCCTCACCAAAGAAGTATGTCTTATTTACGCCATCCTCATTCTCTTGTCATGCTCCAGTAAACCTGACTTTATTTGATGCGGGACGCGCTCTGCTCCGCAGCTGCAACTCGATTTGGATCGCCTTCCCGAAAGAAATCTAGGTCGAGACGATCGCATGATCGCGTGCACTGGCCGAGAAGCGCGGTACCCATTCCTTGCGACCAACGTCGTGACTTTCGCTTGCAGCCTTCCTGCTGCCGAAAAGGCCAATATCCCCTTGGGAGAAGGAATAGGTGACAAGATGGTCTTGCGAGATGTAGCGCGCTTGCTCGGCTTGCAGGATACCGCCGAGCGCAGGAAAAGGGCAATTCAGTTTGGTGCGAGGAGTGCAAAAATGAATGAAGGAGACGGAAAGGTCAAGGGACAGGCACTTCTCTCTCGCGATTGAGCAACTTTTTATTTCGTAGGAACAGGATATGTACGCAAGCATTAAAATGGAAATGTGCGCTGTCACACGGAAGGATATGCCTCTTCGCGCATCTGGTCCTCCCAGATGCTCTCAATTTCATAAAGCTGTCTCGCTTGCGGAGTCATGACATGCACGACGCACCAACCGGCATCTACCATGCACCAATTACCTTCGCCTTGCGAACGAGTAGCACGCCGCGCAGCTGCGCCGCCAACGTTTGTTGCGGAGTGAGGCATGCCCTCGTATCGCACAGGGTGCTTGTACAAGTTTTTACTGTTCGCGCTCTGCCCGTCCTGATGGGCGTATGCATCCTCAACCAGTTCTTCTTCTTGGCGTGCCCGCGTTGGTGAATCATCCTTCAAAGTGTCAGTATCCATCAGGCCGCTTCTCACTTTCCGGCGAAGCTCCTCGATCTGCTGCTCCTCGCCTTCCATCCACACGCGCCGCTTCTCTTCCCGCCTCTCGAGCGCCCTACGTAGCTGTCTTTCCTCTGCCGCCACGTCCGGCGTCCACTTGCTCTGAGCAGCGACAGCGTGCGCTTCGGCGCCGGGGATCTTCCGTCCACTCTTGAGAATCCGCCGCACGCTCTCGCGGCTGATCTTGAACTCGGCAGCGAGGCGAGGCAGGGAGAATCCCTCCGGGTCCGACGCGTGCAGCACACGCAAGGCGGACTGTGCTTCCCGCGTCAGGATGCGGCGCGGTCGCCATGCCGTGCCCGCTACTTCGGCTGGGACATGCTTGCAAGTCTCTGATATCGTTGACGCGGTCGAGGCTGCAGCGGAAGTAGTGGACACGAGGCTGGCAACGAAAGAGGCTGCAGGGTCTAATGTATGCGGGGGCCGAGTGCTTCGTAGCTGCAGGTCAGAGATATTACACAGAGAGAGAAGATACGGCCACGATCAGTAAGGCCTCTCAGAGATAGTAGGATTTGGGAAATCAACTCACATAGTCGCCAACTTCAAGGGCGAGCTTTCTCACAAGACCGACCGTATTACCTCTCGTCTCCAGGACAACGATCCAGTCGCACCATGCATCGTGCTGGGAGATAGCTTTGGCATGGATGAATTGAATGGGCGACCTTATCGGTCCCGACGCATCACCGATTTCTTTAGAGTCTTCCAGCTCGTATTCGGAAGAAGAGAAAGAGTACGGCAGAGAAGAAGCGGTGTGCGGCCTTGCGACGAGAGCAGCGGCACTGCCATGTGTGAGCAGCTCGTACAGGTGTTCAAGTTGAATGGGTAGTGTGCTTGATTCTGGTCTTGGGCTGATAATGGACAATGACGCTTCTGCATCGTCTGCAATAGCGTCTTCTGCATCTATCGACGGCGGTGACACGACTTCATCTTCCATGAACCATGGGACTGCCGACTGGCTGCTGCTGCTCTCCGGCTTTTCGGCGGAAGCAACTCTATGACTTGTTGACAGCGACCTGAACGAGGACACTGCTGCGGAGCGACACCGTCCATTCCATTCTACGCAAAGCGCTGCTTGTCGCTGCTTGCCTTTGGCGTCGCAGAAGGATGTGAACGAGGCAGCGGCCTTGTAAGGGATAGAGGCGGTGGTGAGCCCGCGCTGGCCCAGCACTTGTTGACGACACAGTTGGCACACGGCCGAGCGAGAGCCTCGAGTCGTCATCATTTCTACAGAACGTTCGTGCACCCGAGCGAGAGACGATCGGCTCTTCCTGCAGTTGCTTGAGCTCGACCAAGACCAAGGTCATCTGGGTGTGATTTGTGTAGCATGAAGCGCAGAGCAAGAAAAGAAGAATGTGATGGAGTAGAATCACATTGAACCGGATTTGTACTGCGAAGACTCTTCTTGGCCATCACAACATTCAAAAGCATCTTCGTCGACACTCTGCAACTCGTATATAACACATCTTTCAGGCTCCTTCGCAGGGCTCATCATCCAAGTCAAAGCAAAACTCACATTTTGTACAGCACAAGCATCAAGCCGCGATCTGCGAAAATGTCTGGCACCGAATTTACCAAGCAGAAGCTCTGGGGCGGCCGCTTCACGGGGAAGACGGACCCACTTATGCACGAGTACAACCAGTCGCTCTCATACGACCGGCGTATGTGGGCGCAAGACATTCGCGGCTCGCAGGCATACGCGCGGGCGCTGGTCGGCTGCAAGATCCTCACTCCGGACGAGCGGGACCAGATCATTGCCGGTCTCGACGCCGTCGGCAAGGAGTGGAAGGAGGACAAGTTCGTCATCGCAGAGGACGACGAGGACATTCACACGGCCAACGAGAGGCGATTGAAGGAGCTCATCGGCCCTGTCGCCGGTAAACTGCACACTGGACGCTCCCGGAATGACCAAGTAGCGACCGACATGCGCCTGTGGATGATGGACGTTGTACACGGCATCGAAACCTCCCTGAGAGGTTTGCTTGACGTCATGATCAAGCGCGCCGAATCAGAGGTGGACCACCTGATGCCTGGATACACACATCTGCAGCGCGCCCAGCCGATCCGATGGTCTCACTTCCTCCTGTCGCACGCGACCTACTTCTCACAAGACCTCCTCCGTCTGCGCGACCTCATTCCGCGCATCTCAGTTTTACCCCTCGGCTCCGGACCACTCGCAGGCAACCCATTCGCCGGCCTTGACAGGGACACCATCGCCAAAGACCTCGGTTTCCACTCTGTCGGCACGAACAGCATGCACAGCGTCAGTGACCGAGACTTTGTTGCCGAATTTCTCATGTGGGCCTCCCTTGCAATGGTGCACATGAGCAAGATGGCAGAGGATCTCATCATTTACTCAAGCTCAGAGTTTGGTTTTGTCCAGCTCAGCGATGCTTACTCGTGCGTACCCCAGCAATGCTGACCCTTGTCACACCTATCCTTACCGAATCTCTCTTTCATCTCTCGATAGGACCGGCTCCTCGATCATGCCGCAAAAGAAGAACCCAGACTCGCTAGAACTGCTGCGCGGCAAGTCGGGCAGGGTCTTCGGCCAGATGTCTGGGTTCATGATGACGCTCAAGGGTATTCCCTCAACGTATAACAAGGACCTGCAAGAGGACAAGGAGCCGCTCTTTGATGCTGTCGAAACGGTCGATCGCAGTCTCAAAATTGCTACGGGGGTCTTGTCCACGATGACAGTGAGTAAGGAGCAGCAACAGCAGTGCCATTTTTCTGCACGAGTCATGTCCTGTGACATCGCGAGCCTTACAAATGCCATCCTTGTGCTCTGCAGATCTTCCCGCAAAAGATGCGCGCGGCGCTGACCCCGGACATGCTCGCAACGGACCTAGCCGAATACCTCGTGCGCAAGGGCATCCCCTTCCGCGAGACACACCACATCTCGGGCTCAGCCGTGCGCATATCGGAGGAGCGCAAGTGCCAACTGACGGACCTGACGCTGGCCGACCTGCAGGGCCTCAGCGATAAGTTTGAGCAGGATGTCATGCAGGTGTGGAGCTTTGACGAGAGCGTCGAGCGCAGAGACGCGGTGGGCGGCACGAGCCGGCGCGCGGTGCTCGAGCAGTGCGAGAGGCTCCAAAAGGTAGTCGCATGACATGCCGGCTTCCTTTCAAATCACTTTGCGACTGTAAAATAGAGCACGCAGGGCAAGACACGACGGTGTAAAGCAAATGAATGGATGACTGCATTGGCTGTCGTAGTGATGCAATGCACTAATATACTTGCAATGATCAGCAGATTGCCCACTGAGTATTGGATACGTTGCAGTGGGCGTGACTGCCTGAATGTCCTGGTACATGTTGGCCATATGCCTCAATATCTTCAATCAATCCCATACGAGATGGCCCTGCTGATTGACACTAGCCTTCTGACCCCCACTAGCGCTTCCTGCACCCCCACGACCCACACCAGCACCTTTGCTGAAGAAGTCCTTGATCCGCTCCGCTTCCAGCTGGCGCTTGTGCTGAGCGAGCGCCTGCAAGCGCGCTGCTTCCACATCCGCCTTGGCCGCTTTCTGCGCCTCGCGCCGCGCCGCGTTCTGCCGCTGCTTCTTGGACATTGCACTGCTACCGCTGCTGGCGTTGGAGGCAGCGCCGGCGCCGGCGCGCGAATTCGAAGTGCTAGAAGTCGGCCGGGAGGCCGAGGAGCTGCTGCTGCTGGTTGCTGGAATGCTGAGAACCTTCGCAGTGTTGCCGCCTGATAAAGTCGAATTCGAGGTCGCATCAAGCAACTGTTCCTTCAGCAGAGCAAATGGGTTCTTCGATGCGAACTTCCCAGGTGCAGAGCTGCCGCCGGCACCAAGGCTGTTGCCAAGCTGGACCGACGCGACCGACCCGCCGGAAGATGAGGGTGGACGTGCGGCCTTCTTGCTGTAGGAAGAAACGCTTTCCCATTCCGCTTCTTTTGGCGCTGCAGATACTGGAGCATATTCTACTTGCGAGTTCTCGCTAGATGAAGCCGCAACGTCCGGCCATGCTCCCGCGTGCTCTTGCACTGCAGATGGATCGTCATGGGAAGGCGGGTTTGATGCATCATTGCCATGGCCGTTCGATTGAGAGGATGCTGAGGTGATTTGCACATTATGCACTCTCACTGCTGCCGTCTGCGCATAGCTCTGTGATTCTCGGGCTGCCTGAGCCTCTCGTTGCTGTTCTTGAACTGCTTGCTTGCTTCCCTTGTTTGCAGACTGCTTGCCGCCCTTGCCCTGCTTTTTCTTCGAGATGCTCGTCTCCCCTTCAGCAGTGCATATATCTGATCCTGCATCGGAAGTGAAGCCACCAGGCAGGCTTGTGCCCTTGAGCTTGCTCGCGAGACCGCTGTCTTCCGCTGCGGCCCCGACAGTCGACGAGCTCGGCTTCTTACTTTTCTTCTTCTTGGACTTGCCCGATGATAACGACTGCGCAGCGCTGCTGGCCTGAGCCTGACCAGCAGGCAAAGAAGAGGGACGAGTGCCCGGCGCTGCGGTCTTGAAGAAGAGCGCCGCTGACAGGGCGACGACCAGGCCAGATAGCCCGAGGACAAGGGGGTCTGTGAACGCCATGCTCGGCGTTCGTTCTCTCTTTCTTTCTCTCTTTCGTTCTCGCTCGCACGTCTGCCGTCCCCCTCTGCAGTCTGCGCTCCGGCCGTCTGAGCAGCGCTTCAAGGATCTAAAGACCCGTGTATGGTCGCTTCTCAAAGAAGCCTTGCGATGCTATCCAAGGATGAGATGCGCATCCTACATAGGAACAGTTGCGTTCAGTCACGGCGAGGTCTTCTCATCAGCCGTTCCGCTCCCTCTCGAATTTCCTTCCCGTCGTTCTGCCATCGTACAGCATACACTATGCATGCGCTTGGATACTTCCACCCAGGCATCGGCCTTTTTGCGCCTCAAAACTAGTACAGGGTGCGAAGCGTGCTGGCCATCCTACGCTCTGGCCCATCATGCACTCGCAGCAGGGCTTGCTGCTCTTCCGCGTCGGTGGCACAAGCCGCGGCGTGCGTGCTAGCCGCTCGACGACATCTCCCCTCGTCGCCGCGCGCTCCGCCAGCCGCAAGATGCAGCGTTCCTACATCTCCTCTCGGTCAACTTCCAAACGCGCACTCTCATCGATGGCACATATACCAGCAGCTCCAGGGGCAGCGGCTCTTGCCGGAGCAGTGTTCAACTCTTTCGACTCACTCCCGCCTGCTCCCCGGCCACCGCAGCTTCGAGCGAGACTTCAAGCGCAGGCGATCCAGAGGCAGCAGCAACAGTTGAAAGCGTCGGTGCAGCTTCCTTCCAGCATGATGCTGGAAGCAGCAGCTAGATCTTCTTCCCATTCAGCAGTGCCGTCGAGCACCGTAAAGTATGCCGGATCGACTTTGCCGGCACGAGGTCGGCCATTGCTACCGCGTCGCGAACGTCGACTCGTTTCCAAGCAGCACCGAAAAGATGCGCGAAAAAAGGCTGCCTCTTCCACACTTGCTGCTCAGCTGGGCGTCGCAACAAGCAAGACGTCGCCTTTCGTACGCATCGATCGTCAGTTCAAGACGTTTAAGCCACTTACGCCGTCTCTTCGCTGGGTGCGCTTCACGCTCAACCCGCATCTTAACAAGGAAGGTCCCGAGCGCGCGCTCACCATCGCAAAGCGCCGTACCGGCGGACGCAACCATCACGGGCGCATCACCGTCCGTGGGCGTGGAGGTGGGCACCGACGACGCTTGAGGCTGGTCGACTTCTACCGCTGGGAAGCTGGCGAGCAAGAAGTGAAGCAGATCGAGTACGATCCGGGCAGGACAGCGCACATCGCCCTCCTCGAGCACAAAGTCAGTCGGCGCAGGAGTTACATCCTAGCACCAGATGGTCTGCGTGCCGGCGACACAGTCCGCAGCTACCGCACGGATGGCATGGGCAAGTCCTCGTCCACTTCTGCCGGTGCCGATGCAGCGACCACCTCGCTCAACTTTGGTGTCTTCCGAACACAAGCTGTTCGCCCCGGAAATGTCCTTCCGCTCAACTTGATCCCGATCGGTACGATGATCCATGCCATCTCGCTCCTACCGCAAGGTCCCGCCAAGCTCGTTCGCTCGGCAGGAACGAGCGGCCAGCTCATCGCCTTCAGCCATCGCAAAGCGGCAAGCGGTCTGGGTGCTGGCTTATCGAAGGACGGGCAGCAGCTGCAAGCCAGCCAGATGGATGCCACTGCGACCCTTCCAAGTGCTGACGCCGAAACTATCGCTTCTGAATCGGTATCCCTGTCTCCCTCATCCCCGCCTACACACGCGCAGATCAAGTTGCAATCCGGGGAAGTCCGCCTCGTGCCCGCAGCCTGCTGCGCAACCATCGGCCGCGTGTCCAACATCGACCACGAGCACAGGCGTCTCGGCAAGGCCGGACGCTCGCGCTGGCTCGGCCGCAAGCCCAAGGTGCGCGGTGTTGCCATGAACAAGACCGATCACCCCAATGGCGGTGGACGCGGTAAGAGTAAGAGTAATATGCAGTCCAAGAGCATCTACGGCCATCTCGCCAAGTTTGCGCGTACCCGCAAGCCCGGAACGCGCGGTGGTAACACTATGGTCATTCGCGAACGACCCAGGAGGAATGGAAAGCGCCTTGGCAAGCCTTAAGCTCCCAGGCGCATATGGAACAGACTTTCCTCATGCCTGCTTGTATCTTATAGACTATGCATCCATCTTCTCATCTACTTGTATCGAATGCTGCTCAAGGTCTGACAGCGCACTGTCACAGCATTCGTACGTATAGGCAGGGTATTAATGCACAAGATGTTTTACAATAGGCCAGGATCTTTTGTGACGGAGCGCAAAGGGGAACTTTACGGGTTGCTCAAGAGCGTGATTGCGATGGAATCAAAAGCCTGCGATGCAAAATCGACTTGCGCCAGTTATTATTTTTAGTGCTTAGGGTCATCGGGGATTTTGACAAAGTCGGCCGGATCGTCGCCGTACTCCTCGACGTATTCTATGATGATCAGAGAAGATAGAACAAAAAAGTTGAGTAAACGGTCAGAGATACAAGAGCAATAGACACCACCCACTCTCATGCCAGCGTTTCTTAGCTTCGTAGTGCGCATTCAATTCGGTAGCAACATGACCCGCAGACGGATGGTTGTGCAGCAGCGACAAAGCCTCTTGAGAAACGCTGTAACGATCGACGCCGTTGCCACGTAGCATCGTCCAAGGCGTTGTCGTGGTTCCCTCTTCACGGTAGCCGAGAAAGCGGACGCGGCCCGGTCCGTCATAGCCCATGCGACCCGCAACGAGTCCCTTTAGAGCGGTAGGGTAGCCGTGGAAGTTGAAGACGATCGGCTTGTCGACGGTGAAAAGTGCACTAAACATTTCCTGGGAGAGAGCATGGGGATGGCTTTGCGGTCCGCCAGGCGCAGCGAGGATGAGTAAGTCTGTGACATTGACGACGCGCACTCGAATCTCGGGCACATCCTTGCGAAGAATGCTGGCGGCCGCGATGACCTCGGCTGTGGTTTGGACACCGATTCCAACGAGAACGACATCCGGACGCTTGCCGTCATCGGTTGAGTACTTCCGCCAGACAGAACCGCCAGCAATGCAGTGCTTCTGGGCTTCATCTGCATCGAGCCACGAGTGCATGGTCGCCTCCTTGGATGCGACAATGACGTTCAGATGATGCAGCGAGCGCAGCGCGTGGTGCATTGTTGTCAGCGCACAGTTTGCATCCGGAGGCAAATAGATGCGTGCAATGTCATGCGGCAAATCGATCATCGTGTTGATGAAGCCAGGGTTCTGGTGGCTAAACCCGTTGTGCTCCTGGCGCCACAGCGTGCTAGACGCGATGTACGTCAGACTAGGGTAAGGTTCACGGAAGCTTCTCTGCTTGCTGTCCTTGATGAACTTTGCAAATTGTACTGCCATGGTCGCGATGATCGGCAAGAAGCCTTCGTAGCTTGGGAAGACGGACACACGGCCTGTGATCGAGTACCCTTGCGCGAAGCCTTCGAGCAAATGTTCAGACAAGACCTCCACAACACGACCGCCGCTGGCGCGTGACTCTTCGGCAACTTGGAAGTTGCGACCACCAACTTCGGAATCGGAAATGAGTGCTCCGAGATGGTTTGACTCGAGCTCGTCCGGAGAAAAGACACGGAAAGTGTGCTTGTTGAGCCGTGCCACTTCGAGTAAGAATTTGGCCAGCACGTCCATAGCGCCGGCAGGCTTCGCTACTGCTACAGTGAATTGTCTCCAGTCGGGCAGCACAGTGTCGGGCTTGCCACCGTACGCTTCAGCGGTGCGGCCCATCCTGAGAAGCTGGTTCTTGGGAAAGATACGCAGGGCTGTATGCGAAATGTCGAGATGACCGTCATGCTCGGCGAACCAAGTGTGTGGCTCGTATGAGCTGAAGCACCAAGCGGGCGGGTTCCATTTAGAGAATGTCAGTCAAAGGTTATTTTGGAAGCCGCCCTTCCCCACTAGTCGACCCACCGCAACCAATCCTCAAGAACGCTGAGATGTTCTTCGGTTACCGAGATGGGCACCTGATGCGAGCGGAAGCTGTTCTCAAGCGTCTTGCCATCCAGCATGGGCGGTAGGCCCCATCCTTTTGGGCTGAGCAGAATGATCATTGGCCAGCGGGGCTTGATGATCGGTATGCCAGTGCGGGCAGCTTGCTGAATAGCGAGTATCTCAAAAACGGCCCTGTGCAGAAAGCGTGGACCAACAAAGTTCACTCCATTGCTTGTTCCCGTCTGCCACTCCCCGACTTACCATTCGAGACTGGCAGCCATGTCACGGTCGAAATCCATAATTTCTTTGTCGCCAGGGATGGTATGCGCACATGTGTGATTCCAGTAGCTGACGATGCGGGGCTGCACAGCATAATCGCATTATACCAAGCCTAAGCAGGTACGTTGTCACATGCGCCTTTTGGAAATGGCTCACCTGGTAGCCGTACCCGCTAAAAAAGGTGAGCAGCTCATACTCATCCATCGAGCCGTATATCGTCTTTTCGGATATTTTGAAGCGATTCACGTGCAAGATGGGCAACACTGCACCGGACTCTTTGGGATCGATGAACTGCACGAGCGCCGAAAATTTCAGAGGACATATCCAGCGTCTAAGCGGCGAACCTGTTTGCACACCTTGTGCCCGTGCCAAGCGGCATGCGCAGGCCCTGGAGCGCACATGAGAAAATGACCAGAATTAGCAGTGAAACATTAAGAATACAATTGGTTTCATAAACATACCTGTCTCGTTCTCGCCGTCTCCCACAACGCAAGGAACGATCAGATCAGGCTTGTCCATGGCCGCCCCGTAGGAAACTGACAGCGCATATCCAAGCTCTAAAGCAGATTTAAAAGCATTGAAACATGACTCAGTGCTCTCTCGCGCTATCTCTTCGCACCATTCAACAGGAGAAGCATCTTCGACGTACCTCCACCCTCATGGATTGCCCCAGGTGTACTCGCATTGATATGTGATGGATGAGTCGAGTTGGGCCAGCTGAATGCTTTGATGAATCGTTTGAGACCATCAGGCGTCATGCTCTCTTGCGGATAGCAGTGAGAGATAGTGCCTTCGAGGCTACGCGACATCAACGTATGATCAGCGGACGAAAAGCAAGAATAAGTTTTGAAGAAAAGGTTACGCAGCTAGCTCAACAGCAAGGTGAATTGTCAGAACGTACTAGAGACAGGCAAGAGGACCAGGAGCACCGTGGCCGGGGCCAGCGACGAAGACCATTCTGCGCTGCGCATCTTGGCTCTCCTGCCTACATTCCTGCCTCCTCAGCAGGGCAGACACGTGGGCGTAGACGAAGATCAGTCCCGGACAGGTGCCGAAATGTCCTAGCAAACGGGGCTTAACGTGCTTGTGGATGTCGAGCTTCTCGTCGCGCAGTAATACGTCATCCTTCAGGTAGATCTGTGCTGCAGCTAGGTAGTTGGCGGCTTTTTGAAAAGCGGCGAGGCCTTCCAGATCGAGCTCATGCGGTGCGGGTACGTGCGCTTCGACGTTGGCGTTGAGCGATTCAAGCACAGTTCCATGTTTCAACTGTGAGGGAAGAGCAAGCTGTAACTGTGAGCCAGCATTGTTCCTCAAGATGCCTGCATCGATAGGTGCCATCTTAGGATGTCTTTGCATGAGTGCGATACGTGACACGCTTCGCAAGGTAATCATTCAATAGAATGCTTCGAAAAAGATGTCACCAAACGATACGCTTTTATAGGTCTGCATTGAAGCCGTATACGAGCAGTGGTGACGTTGGCCTGGAGCTTGAGACGCGGGAAACAATGCGATGGCAGCGCTCGCCTTACATTGGCGTCACATGTGGCCTGTGCTGAGATACGACTCAGCTTCGATTATCACAAAACTGTAATGAAAAGATGTCCCGGGTCAACCTGGACACCATGTACGATAGGCTGACACTGTGTGCAAAGCAATTGACGGCTTTACAAAGCAAAGTATCCCACCTTCGAGGGTCCAGCCAGACGGGAGCGCCGAAGTCCCCGAGGTATGCGAACCGTCGTCGGGGCCTTCTGCCATTCTAAAGGAGAAAGAGAGCAAGTAGTAAGGCAGCAAAAGTGAGGACCTGCATGCTTGCACGACACGACCTTGGTGGTGCTCCGAGCTCTGACAGAGGACGTTTACGTCAGCTTGGAAATTCTTCGGAAACCGGTCACGGTTGCGGTTTTGGGATCAGAAAACTTGTTCAATGCGGGAACTTTTCAAGTGTATACGGTGAAATACGAGAAAAAGTTACCGTAGAAAAGCCCAGATCCACAATGAGTTGCAAGTTACGAACCATCACACCGTGGGCATGGCGTCATCACTTCCTCGCTTTCTCGATCAACACGATGATTGTTGGCTTGTTCAGCACGACCGCAACGGGTGGACCTGGGTTTGCACGGTGGCGTTCAAAGTCGAGAATGATAAAGACGATGACGAATCGTCGAAAAAGCTTCTCGCCCGCGTGCGTGCTCGACCCTGCTTAATGGTCTTTCCTGTTAACAACGTCATGAGCTCAGAGCCGTTTTGCTGATTGCCCAAATCCTTTCGATACCGTGCCATCAAGCAGTCCGATGAATACTCTTTTTAGGATATGGCCAGTCAGCTCCTACGGGGGGTTTCCTCTTGGCCGCTAGCCTAGTTGACAAGGATGTCTGTCGATTGCTGTCGAGGATGGTTTAATGATTGCAGCTCATGGTATTGACCGCAGGCACAACAGGCCACAGATCCAAGGTTGTTCAAAAATCAAGAATGGAGTCACCATCGCTTCTGCTTTGCCTTAATGTGTGAGTGAAACATTTCAGTTGCCCTCCGACGCTTCGATAACTCAACATGATTGACGGGGCATATGATTCTCTCAGCGGCTCGACCAGCTTGAAATTCAGCGTCTACCGTTTGCAAGATGACCTGCCCGTGCTTCTCGCCGGGTCTTTGCAGCCGCAGAAGGATTCTTTCGCAGTGGGAGTGAGAATCACCAAGGGCTATGAAGGCGCCAAAGCGAAGTGGGACGCAAATGACCACGAGCTGGTGTTGAACGAGTACGACTTTAACTCGCCCTCTGACCAATTCGCTGCCCTCATACATCTGATGCGCATCTGTCCTGCCGCTGACAAAGACAAAGACTTGGACTTGTCTCCGGACAAACTTTCCCTCGTCGTGCATCGTGTTGTGCACGGTGCAAACATGCAGAATCCGATCCACATTCGAGCAGGCCACCGGGGAAGGCTTGAGCAACTGGAGAAGTTGAATGACTTCGCGCCGCTACACAACAAGCCCGCGACGACGATCATCGAGGCCGCTCTCGAGCAGCTTCCGGAGCACACCTGGCAGCTCGTGTACACCGACACGGAATTCCACTATTGCTCCATCCCGCCACATATCTACACGCTTCCAATTCCTCAACATAGCGCTCTGCCTGGCGGTCAGCCTCCGCGAAAGTGGGGGTTTCATGGCCTCGCATACTCCTTTGTCGTAAGACAGGCCGCCGCGTTCATCGGTCAGTCGGTCGATCAAACAAACCTCATCGCGTGCCACCTCGGTGGCGGATGCTCCGTTTGCGCCATTCGAGATGGTAGGAGTCTCGATACATCCATGAGCTTCACACCACTCGATGGTCTGCCAGGAGCCACCCGTTCTGGTTCGGTCGATCCATGCCTTGGATTCCACTTGACGACAACGCACGCGCCGAAACGCGAACAAATCTACCAGCGACCCGATGGAAAGCAGCCTGTGACTGAGATCTATGGTGTCAGCATCTCCACACCCGAATATATCTTAAACAAGGAGAGCGGATTCAAAGCGCTGGCTCATACGACTGCTTTTAACGAAATCGTGTTGCAAATGAGTAGCAGTCAAGGCAAGGAGCGTGAGCAAGCAAAGCTTGCATTTGCTCTCTTTGTCGGTGAGCAAAACCAGCATCACCATAGTAGCGCCCGACGTTCCCGAGTCTGAAAATATCGAAAACTATCATCTCTTTCTCCCAGACCGTCTAGCTGACTATATCGGTGCTTACTGGTTCAAATTGGTCGCAACTGGGGCTAAAGTGAACGCGCTCGTCTTTAGCGGCGGTATCGGCCAGAATTCAGACGCGTTGCATGCGGCGCTGGCCGACCGCTTCAAGTCCACACCGATGGCTCCCATGTTTGTGTCCGGATCAGAGCGAGGACATACAGACAACGCCTCAGCCATTGTCGACCTGGTGGGCGACATACATTCAGATCATGTGCGAAAGAACTGTGCGAAGAAAAGGAACGGTGTCCGCTGGCTCGTGTGTCATGTGCGTACTCATGTCCTGAACATTGCCTGCGTCTTGCGAGCGGTTGTTCTTACCGGGGATGCCTTGAGTTTCTTTAGGTTGACGAACAACTCGAATGCGCTCAAAGAGCCAAAGCCGAATGGCAGCGAATGAGGCCGGAGTTTTCTGCTGCCGAACAATGAAGGGAAACCGCTTGCGTCAAGGCAGATGGATTGGAAATACGTCACATGGATGTGATGACACTAGTGACTGAACATGATTATGATTGGAATGCTTCTTCCAATACTCTTGATTGAGCACGTTTCAGTGATTACAGACTACATTGCCTTCGTGGACTGCGCAATTGCGCTGACTTCAATGTCTCACCATCCCAGCCATCCGCCCGAACTACCGTTGGGTCCTGATGGTAGGCTAGGAATGGGCTTGGATCCTGTCAGAACAGCATCGTTTCCAAGGGAGGCAAGTGCAGTCGGGCAAGTCTTGACCTCAATCGTAGGGTCCGGGCCGCCGTACGCGACAATGTTCATATGGGGATGGAACGCCACTCCTCCCCACGCCGGACTGAATGCAGAGGGCCGTAGTTGAACCGGTGCCCCGCTGTCGAACGCAGCACTGGGATTCCCCGACGATGCTGGGGTGGTGGTAAAGGGGCGGATAGTAGGCTGCGAGTTGCCGATGGTGTGCATTGTGTCGATGTTGAAGATTGCGAAGCGTTGTGGTAACAGTCCTGCCTTGGTCATGCGTGGGGCAGATGCTCTGCGAAAATGAACACACTTCAGCCGTCATTCAAATGGTTGCAAGGACTGCGAAGCACTTACGCGGCATATAGAGGCAACCTTTCATGCACTGCAAAGCAGGACACTCGTCCTCTCAGAGCCGGCATCAAGTCTGCCTTGGACAACGATGAGCGGCCACGGATGTCCCAGATCCTGACTTCACCATCCACGCTACATGATACCAGTTCCCGATTTCCTCGCTTCTGCAACTGCACCTTAGAAATCCAGCTTTGATGCTCCTCCCATAAGCGAACGAGACCCGCATCTGGCGGATTGCGACGGTCATACACCCCCACAGTACCATCTCCAAAGCCGGCGACAAAAATGTGACCCATGTCGACCTCCGCGGACAATGAAGTGACCGGACTTGAAGCCCTAGTAGGAATGTCCTGTTTCCGTGCGCATTCGAGTCAATCAATTGGCGCGCGTCTCGCGTCTTGTGAGGAAGTCACACGATGCACTCACACAGACACAGAGCTCGCGATGCGCATCCCACACTCTCACTGTTCGACTGTCGCCGGCAGCTAGCAAATTGCCGGTAACCTGCTGCCAGTCGACAATGAGCCCGCTTGGCCTTGAGCTCTTGAGCAGTTCAGGCAATGCGCGGAAACCGCTCACGACCTCCGGACGCAGATCCCGCTCCATGCTCTTGTCATAATAACGATAAAGACGGACATTGCCATCCGCCGATGCAACCAGCAACAGCGTGTCGGCATCTTCGTTGACAAAAAGAGTCGAAGTGATGTGCGTGCCAGGCGGGTTGCCATTACTGAACTTGCTCAGAAGTCGCCCTTTCTTCCAGTCCCAAACGCTGCGATACAATGTAAGCTGAGTGAGTGAAGCCTCGAGATGCGCAATATGTGCTGGCACTTACTTGACCACATCGGTGTCCGTGGCGGTGACAAAGTGGTCTTCAAATTGATGGAACAGCATTAAATATGGATTTGAGGAAGATCGAAGCTGGCTGACCGTCTCGGTCCATGCGTTGTGGGCTACGTGGCCCGGCATGCAAAGGCAAGTAATGAGGGATCGGCATAAAGGCAAAAGCGAATCGCGAGGGCAACTCACATGCGTAGTCTGTCTGTGCTTGGGCCTCTTCAATAATGCGCTCATTGCGTTGTCTCTTCCAAGTCTGCACGTTGTATCGAATGCTGCCTGGCTCATTGGCCTCCGCATTCTTCATCTGCGGTTCCGTGTAACATTCACTGCACCACACGAAAAGTCGACTGCTGAGCGGCAGCACGTTCTGGACCTCGCTCGTGTGGCTGGTGTCCAGTTGCGTAATGTTCGGACGACCGGACCTCAAGAGCATTGGCGAAGCGGCAGGGGTGTGGCCGGCATTTGAAATGCCATTTTCATCTTCAGTACCCAGGTGACGGTGACGGAATCGGTGCAGGTCTGCCCCAACCAGCGCGGCGAACGTATCTGCAACCCGTGCGTTTGTTAAGACTTCGTCCTGCTGGACTGGTGGTGAAGGAAAGACAGGCGGAGACGGAGTCGCCATCCCAGACGTGTAGCCAGTGCGTTTCCGCTCTGGTCTGCTGGTAATGTGCGCGAGCGACTCGGCGCTTGCTGAGCGCGAGACCACATTTGAGTGAGTTGCAAGACCCGGACTGTTCTGCCGAGGGCTGTTCTGCCCGGAACTCAGCGTATTGGCGCTTGGGAATGGACTGGCGATTCTCGAATACGGCGAGACATATTGAGCTGCATTCGAGGCAGCAGGTGCAGGATGCTGAAGCTGCTCATAGGCAGAGCTTCTCATATTGGGGCGCTCCACATAGCTGGATATTGAATCGTGATCTGACGAGCCGGTCGGAGAAGATGGCCGAGAGTACCCCAGAGTGGCGATGGACTTCATGGTCTGAGCCAATGACATGCTCCGTCGTACAGAGTGAGCCGGAGATTTGAATGGATGCTGGCCATTGACGGCGGGATAGCATGGGGCGTTAAGGTCAACAGCTGAGGAATTCAGCACCCTGACTTGAGCAGAGAAATAGTCGTCCATCGGGGTCGTAGTCGTCGGTGTCATGTGACGCAGTATTCCATCGGCATTTCCTGTTTGAGCAAGGCCGTACGGTGCGCGAGAAAGGTTGCACTCGAGCAAGACGGCAATGATCTGATCCAGAACCGTGCAAGCCAGGCTGGATACCTCCGAATGGGCGTCTGCGCTCAAGTCGAGAATGGCGACAAAGAGAGTTGTAAATGATGAAATGTTTGCGATGTCGAGCTCGTCAAGCTCGGCTTCTATCGCAAGCTTCGACAGCATGTGCCCCAGAATACTCTCCTCCTCCCGTTGCCACTCGGGAATCTCAGCATCCGCCTGCGATGGCAGCTTGCTGGAAGAGAATGAGAGCCCACTTTGCGCGAACCGCTCCTCGCGTTGATAATAGAAGTAAGCGGCCATGGCAAAGAAACCTTTGTAATCTTTGACGACAGCGCTAAGGGCAATAACAAGCTCCTTCCGCACCATGGGGCTGCAATCGTTCTTGGCAGCAACAATGGCGATAGCGATGCCAATTTCGACGCCACGCTGTCGACTCTCTTCTAATCCGGTTGAGGAGCCGGTGCCAGGAACTCTTCGTCTCGCTTGTGATTTGTGCTGAGATGAAGATGATGGAGAGGCGGAGTGTGATGGCGGATTCGAGGAGGGAAGATCATCGCCCTGATTTGTGCACCCGAGCAATGTGCCGAGCGCATAGAGCACTGCCGATCGAACTTCCGGACTGACATCATTCAGCATGCAGCAAAGCTTCCCATGACCGTCCCTCTCAAGTCCTTTGGCTTTCCCAAGTTCCGAGTTGTCCCACAATCTTGCGAGGCACAACGCGCTCCACTGACGAAGCAGAAAGTCATCGTCTTCCAGATGCTCAAGGCAGGCCTCGAGTACATCGGTCTGCTCAAGACAGATTTGCTGACCCGCTGGGAAATCGTAGCAAAAGACTGAAAGAATAAACGCGCACATGGCCCGGTGCTCCGAGACGTTGGGGATGGAGAGCCCTGCGCCCATTGCACCACCCACACCACCTGCCCCGCCGTTCTCCTGCTGAAAGGGAGAAAGGACGCTGGCAAAGTATGCAAAGCCGTTGTCGCGAAGGAGGTCGTTCTGGCAGCTCCTGTCCACCGCGAGGATTCTGGCCCAAATGTAGATCAGAACCGGCTTGAGGTCCACCGCTGGGCTTTGTAAAAGCTTCAGGACATACGGAAAGATTCCGATGCTGAGCGCGAGATTGACAGCCCATGGACCAAGATCAAGAAACTGGCTGAGCAGGATGAGGGCACGGAGTCGATGCACTTGGGAGAGCAAGACCTGCAAAACGATCGGCAGTTGCTCTGGCGGATCGCGCACAGGCTCGGCTTCTTCTTCTTCTGCCAACTCTTCCATTTTCTGTGTCGCGGTACTCAGCGCATTGACCCGACGTCTCCTGCCCGTGCGACTGACCCCGCCTTGACTCAGCCAGATTTCGAATGCCTGCAGCTGCTCAGAGAAGAACGTCGAGTGGCGATACTCGACTGCCAAAAGGTGGGGAGGAGCCGGCGGGCCGCCATTGGCAGCTTCAACTTGCGCGCGTTCTTTCTCCAGCAATTGTGGTAGCTGCGCGAGGCACTGGTCGATTGCTAGGTCCCAGCTGTCCCACAATGGATGGTTATGCGTTTCTGGCAGGGCTGGATGTGACATAGGTGTGCAGTGGTAGAAGCGCATGATTCTCTCCGCAAGAAGAAAGTTGCGCATCAAAGCTGCCACCATGAGGTCGTCTCGGAAGAGCCTGCGGAAGATTGCGCGCGGCAACACGGTCCAAGCGATGGTGTCGGTGATGGCTGTGAAGATCCAGTTGAGCTCGCCGAGAGGTGTGCGACGATCTTGAAGGCGACCGGGGATGTTCATGACCATGTCGACATTCAACTTGGACGGAAGAGGGTTCTGTAACACGAACCACCGCAGCGAAATCTCAATGGGAGAGGTGAGACAGCAAGTGAAGAGGTCGGCGGGCAGGTCCGGGTTCATCGGAAGAATCTCGTCGGGACCACAGGCGGCGAGATGGATAGATTCGCGCAGGGGGAAATGCGCGTCACCGCTGCTGCCATTTGTCCCTGTGCCACGCGCCGAATCCCGGTCTCGGTCGCGATCTCGATTTCGGTCTTGATCTCGCCCTTCTTCTGCATGCTTTCTCTCCTGTAGCCGCTTAAAATTGACGACAACGTTGCCCGCGGCGGATGCGTCCCACACATAGATGCATGGACTGCCCAACCAGGTCTGCAGATCATACAGCGTCACCGGGATGTATTGCGTGTATGCCTTGTTGAAGACCCAGATCTCCCCGCCTGGCGTGGGTTTAGGGACGCCGTAGCCGCTGTAGTAGAACAACACCCTCTCATCCTTGGCTGAGCGCCTTTGAGACGTGCAGCTGCGCTTCATCTCCTCCACGATCGGGTCAAGATACTGCTTGTAGCGAGTTTTCATGCTGAGGGTCTCGAATTGCGCTTGTAGATTTTTGCCGATGGCAGGAAGCGCCTTGGAGACTTCTAGCGACGAAGGATCCATCCAGCAGATGAGTTTTGAGCACGGGTTCGTCTTGGATACGTCTGGAGGATCAACGCCGATGTTGAGGCACATGACAAGGGATGCTGTAATGGTACGAAGACGCTCCTTCATTCGCCAGTCTGGCAAGTCGCGTGGATCAACTGGCTTAGGATTGCCGCCGGTGCGATGCCGCTTGTGATTCCAATGGGTCATGTAAGGACTCTACAACGGCAGTAAGTCAAAGGGGTACAAGTATAAGTTTTAGCAAGGCGTTTTTCTAAGCACTGTACGGAACTCACATTAAAAAGAAGGTAGTCTTCCGGTTCAGGCAAAAGTAGTGCACCGTGTCGCCTGCCACTGGTTGTGCTCAAGTCATCGTCAACGTCATTGTCGTTGCCGAGCTGAGCACTTTCGTCATCTTGCGAGTCTGCGCCGCCCACGTCTTCAAAGCGACCATGAGATGGCTCAACGTGGTCGGGGTAATACGCTGATTGCCTAGTTGCCAAATGAGACCCCGCGGCGGTCGGGTGGTTGACGGCAGCGACGTGAATGGGATGGCCTTGAGAATTCAGGGCCGCCATGGAAGAAATCGCGCCGAGTCCTCGAGGATTGCCATGGGCGACGTGTCCGCTGCTGCTGGCGCCAGCATGAAGGCCATGAGTGTGTGGATGAGCATGAGAAGACATTAAGGGCAGAGGGGCCGCAGTGGACCCATGGCCCATGAGGACACTGGTCGCAGTAGTCATCTGCCGATTATTTGAGTTCATGCTTCATGGCCCAACAAGACCTGCCGAGGTCCGAGGCAGCAGGTGACGCAACTACTTAAGGAGCCAGATCCCAGCTGTACTACAGCCGTGGCTACCATCTGCCGCTGCCCTGCGAGTGCGACAAGACGCTAATACGAGAGCGTCAAGGTCAACGGAGGTATTACGACATTCAATCTCCGCAAGAGACGCGAGCTGGAGTTGGAGACGTTCCGCGTTCGCTCATGCTGTGTAGTATCTAAGTGCCAGCCACCGCACACACATCTTACATCTTCCCTTGCCCGTGGCATCCCCAGTAAATCCTCTACAACGCAACCACCCCTTCATAGAACCCACATGTGATAATTTGCAAGGTTGGTCTCATTCTAGTAATCGACTACATGCCGTCTACATCACTTTCCAGGTCAGGCAGAAAAGGGCACAAGCAGTCCCGGATAATCCATCTGAGTTGTTTCTCGGAGAGACGGTAGCTGCATATCTCTCAGTGCGTGCTGCATCAGGTGGCTTTCTCGATACTCGCTCGTGCAGATTGGAAAAGCGCCGCCAGAAGCGGCTGGCTGAACGCGAATGAGCGGAGGGACGCTTTGCATATACCTTACCAGCTGCATAGCTGCGATCGGCACAAGGGTTGCTCGCGGTGGAGCGCACTTTTCCGCGATAGATGATACTATGTATTATACATTACAAAAGCAGTGCTGAAAGCGCTAGAGAAAGAGAGCATGCAGAGTAGAAGAGCGCTCGCTCGGCAACACGAGGATCCAGGCTCGAACCCTCACTGAACCGCCTGCTTGATAATAATCTTCAGATCCTTCTGTGCTTGCCTTTCGGGAGCTTTTTTCGCTTGCTTCAAAGCCTTGAGCTCTGACAATCGCTTCTGCATCGCCTTCTTGCCTTGCTTGACGATTGAACACCATTCTGGGACATGATACGGCTCGTCACTGCAGATCCCGCACAACGCAAGCTTTTTTCTGGGCGTAAGCGTCGACTCCTCCTGTGTTTCGTCTCCATCATCCTTTTCTTCATGAGAAGACTGATCTGCGATGCTAGGAGCAGTGCCCTTGCCTTTAGCGCTGGCAGTCTGCTTCGGGGCAATGCTGCTGTCACTGCTGCTACCACTCTCTGTCCCTTCCGCCGCCCCGGAGTTATCATCCCTGCCCATGAGTGTAGCAGCACTAGATATGCCTCCTGTCTTTTTGGCTGCTTGCTCCGCTCTGAATGCTTGCATCTCTGCCTTTGTGCGACGCCTTCGTTTGACTTTCTCTGCTCGTTCTCCCTCTCCTTCTATAGCCGAAACGTCAGATGTGGCTCTAGATCCTCCATCGTCTCCAAGAGTCGTATCAGCAGCCATATTTGCAGCGCTTTTTCGTTTCTTAGTGTTGCTAGGCTGGGCCATAGTACCTGGGACTGATATGTCAAGAGGTGCGTCCGCATAGCTCTTTCTTTTCTTGTTCATAGCCTCCGCAGTGGGAGCCAGCGCAGCTCTGCTGAACGCAGACTTGTGTGTGTACGTCGCGGGTGGCACCGCGTAGACATCAATCTCGTCTGCCAGCTTCATTTGGCTCGTCCTGCGCTCGAAGGCGGCAAAATCACCCTCTGGACGAAAGAGTAGGTGAGCATGTGCCCTCTTGATGAGGAACTATAAGCCGGTAACAAAGCAATAAAACGCACCGTCTTCGAGCTCGATCATGGCGCCATGACTGGCGTAAGCAAGATGGAGCTTCGAGTCCAACGGAAGTCCGAGTTTGCGGCAGATGATCTCGCGAATGCTTGCAGTGTCGCTCACGTCTGAAGGTATAAGTCAAAAGTGTGCGTCAGACCGAAGGGATCTCGCCCTAAGAAATAGACACGTCCATCTACCTTCCGTGAGCCTTGAGAAGACCGGACCATTGTCGATATGGAAGTTGATCGTGCCGGATCTGAGCTGCAGCGGTTGCGCTGGTGCATCTGCGAGCGAGGAGGCATCGCTATTTGCCGCCGACTTTTTCTTGGACTTGGACTTGGACTTGCCCTTTTTCTTGCTAATGACCTTTGTGGCGTCAACCTCATCCGCAGCGGACGAAGTAGCGTCCATTGGTAGCGAAGCATCCATCCCGGTAGGAAGCGCACTCAGAGATGCATCCACTTCGCAGGCCTGCCTAGTCGGAGATGGACTGGTTGGATGCTTGACCTGGCTATTGTCACTTCGAAGCACCCTTGGCGGACCAAGCTCAGGACTTGTCTGAAGCTGATCAAACTCGTCTTCACTTTCCAGCGTGTGTCCGATGCCGGGAGGCGAATGCGGACGATAGATGTATGGTACGAATCGGGCAACAGCCGCTGGGATCATCGGCGGGCCAGCTCGTGTTCAGCTGGAGACGGCTTGCCCATCCACCGGGCCGTGAATGGTAGCATGTGTAATGCGCCTGGAAAAGGGAAACTACCCTTAGAAGGGTTAAGGAAAGGAGACTGAAGTGAAACCAGGTCTTCGGCAGATCCGCGAATCCGCATGCATGTTGGGCCCATCCCACATCTCTAAAAGCTTGATTGCATTCAACAAATCAGTAACATCGTCTATGGAAGCACTAGCAGAAGATATCCAACCGCACGATAGCAAGACGGATCAGAACTCAGAGGGGAAGCAGCCTGCATATCACTCGGAAGCTTGTGCCTGCGAGACCGCAACGCCCAAGTCGATTGCAAGTGTGCCTGCCAGTCTCGATGCGCGTACAGCGACGCCAACAGGGTGCTGCTCGTTAAAGTCAGGCGTTCTGCGACCTGAACACTGAAGCCGAGTCTTGGCTGTCTGTGCGCTGTAGTGGATCTTGACGCTTTCGCAATTGCGTCCGTCTCTCAGTCGCCCCATCGGTGTCTGTGAGCGGGTGCAGCGTCAAAGTCGCTACCACGTCGCGGACGTCGACACCCAACATTTCCCGGCGGACATCTCCCCGGCCAGCGGTGGCCTCCAGCACCATGTCTGGCCCCCAAGCAGGTCAGTCCGCTTCCGTCGGGACAGGAAGGGTGTATGACTCCAGCGCTTTCAGCGACAACGCGGAAGCGACACCTCCGCCTGAAGGCTCCATCTGCCTCAATATGCCGATGGGCATCTCTTCTTCAATGCCTTCACGTTCGCATTACTTTCTGTCAAGATCCGAGATCATGAAAGGAGCAGCGAACAGATTTGTACATTCAACAGCCTACCTTTATCTCTACGCCGGGATGGCGTTGGCCTCCTTCGCGACCGTCATGCTCTCGCTTGCGCAAGATTGCCCCGGGCCTTTGTTTTACAGCCTTGAGCTGGTGATCAACATCGTGCTTATTGCCGAGGTCAGCATGCGATGCTTTGCATTTGGGAATGTATGTACTGGCCCAAACGATCACATCCTCAACCTGTCTTTTCATGCTAACCCCATCATTTTACTACCAGCAATTCTGGAAGTCCACCTTCAATATTGTCGATCTCTGCTTGGTCTTACTATGCGCCATCACGCTGGTCATCATTTTCTTCAACCACGATTGTTCGCATCGACGTCCGCCTTTTCGGGGAGGGGCCGATGATGATGGGGAACATCGTTCAGGTAGGGGAGAAGAGCTGCTCGACTCGCTGCTCTTAATCGTACGGAACGTCGCACAGTGCGTGCGCCTGCTCTCTGTCGTGCGGCGATCAGGCAGCAACGTGACCAGTCGCGTCCCCGCAATCGACCTCAATGCCGCCCGTGGGTATAGCATCGATTTCGACCTGGAGGACGAGGGAAATCGTGCGAGGGAGCGCATGGCCTTTGGCGGCGATCGTGCGGCGCAAGAGCGCGTGGTCATTTCTGGCAAGCCCGGGCGACCCACCGAGGATGAAAGGGCTGCGTTGTTTGACATGGACGATGATGAATTATAGCCATAAATCCTTTTATGCAGCTCATTGAATCTCTCTGCTCGATGATAGCGCAGCAGAAGTGTACGGAAAGCTACGCGGGTCAGGCGATCAAAATGAGGATCTATGATACATTGGTTGTTTGTTAAAAATGCAATGGAGCAACTGTAACCACTGTGGAAGGTGCCGGCATCCGGCCTCACCCAAATTCCATCATACCACTACGGCTCTCTGCCTGCAGCACATCGCCGCCGCCGTAGCCTCTGGCAGCCTTGGAGGTGATACTCCCACTGACAGTGTCGATGGACGCCAGCCACGACGCCAGCGCCGCATATCGTTTGGTGTTGATGTGGCGTGCAGAGCGGTCCAGCTCGAGCTTCTGGTTGACCTGGTCAATTTTACCTGAGATCCGCCCTTCGAGGATAAGTGAACGTAGCAACGATTCTACCGCAAATGTGGTCGTGTTTAGTTGCTAGATGAAAATATCCAGATAGCGTGAGCTGAGTTGGAGCTGCTTACTCCTAAGCGTGTGGCAACTCACCTTTGCCAAAAAGCGCAAATCCAACCGGTTGTAAGGTTTGATTATGTCCATCAAATACTGCGTACGAAGCGTGTTGAGCAACTCATCGATATATCCCTTGATGAAGTTATCCTCCATGATCGTTCGCTGGTTCTCCAGGATCTTTTCCGCCTCATGTACCTCTCTGCGCTGATAGGCCGAGACAAGGTCGGTCATGGCGACAATTTCGGGATCATTCTTGTAAGGCTTGGTTTCTTGGCTGTCGAAAGGGTTGATATCGCTACCCATGAGCATTACAGCGAGAACGAGATACTTGAGTACCTGAATGCGCTGAGGAGACCCAGCCTCGTCGTAGCTATTAAACGCTTGGAAGAAGTCTTGTTGAGCTGCTGTCCAGTTTTCTAATTTCCCAACAGGGACCACAAACGTATGTTAGTGAGGGGAGTTCTTTTCGAACCATCATTTGCGAGCGGGTTGCACACACTCTCTGACATATGCATCTTGCCACCGCATTCGCGAATGATACCCATGATGCGCGGGTGCGGGATGGCGTTCTTAACTTGGAGGGTGGCATTATAAACCTCCTTGAGCCGTTTGAAGTGGCCCATCTCGCCGTACATCTGAATTTCCGTGGCAAACACCTCCATGAGGATGGTCCCCTTGCTCTGGTCAGAGCCAACCCCTTCTCCTTCGGCGCCGAGACAGTATTCTTTCAGTCCTTTAATGGTCTTTTCTAAACGCGGCCACTCTTGCCGGGCGAGCCAAAGACGAGCAAGCTTGAGGTCTGTCTTGACAGAGAGACGCTCATTGCGAGCCTCTTCCAGTGCTGATACGGTCACGCTGTAAAACCTCTCCATGGTCGAAAGGTCGAGGGCATTAGAGTTTGACACGTAGTCCAGGATGTTGTTGATTGATTTTTCACTGAACCAGAGAATTGAGTATTAGCCTCAACTACGTTCGAAGTCATCCGTCAACTTCTCACCTGTAATTGCGAGTCACTGCAGATTTCGTATACCCAAGCAGCTCCGTGTACGTCTTCAGCGCCTCTTCGTAACTTCCAGTTCTGAAGTGTGCTTTTGTGATCTGTTTCAGCGCTTTGAAGCCCCTTCATATGCGATGGTGGTGGAAAGAGGATGGTTCGAAAGAGTCAGCGTGCACCTTTGGGCTGTTCTTGCGCCACCCAGCTTGCTTACCAGTCTCCTTTGGTCTCCTCTTTATCAACGACGGATCTGAACACTCTGAGCGCTTCATTGGGGTTGTCTTCCTTTAGCGCTGTATAATGAGTGATGAGACTTTTGTGAGTATCTCGACAATCGTCGGAACGATGGGACAAGGATAGAGGGCCTTGCTCACCCTTTGCATTGTAGTACAAGTTCTCAATGTCTGCGTGCTCTTCGTCACCTTCGTCATCCTCTTCAAATTCAAAGTCATACTCCTCGTCCGCCCCATCGTCCATCATAAACTGATAGAAACACCCAGTTTCAGTCTAGAGGGCGATGGTTGACTTGATGCCATTCTTGACTCACCTCATCGTCTGACATGCTGGGTTGGGTAAATTTAGGTTCACACACGGTGTGGGCTTGAATCGGGGGGCTCCCATGCACCGCTGCGGACCAGTGCGCTTCGCGTTGTCCTTGCTAACATTAAACTTGTAGCATTTCGTTGGGTCGAGGCTGCAAGCACGTTCCCTATGGCGCCCGAACAGCTTACCGCGGATACCGTCATACTTCGTAGAAGCAGCAATCAACTCGGCCAATGTGCATGGGTCGCATCTCCCTCGATCAGGCGTGTTGGTCATGTGGTGCACATCTCGCCCGCCACACGCCCGCGAACGTAGACAACCCGAGATCCGAATTCCAGGTTCCGGATCAATTTTTAATGGGCATGGAGATTCTCGGTCGCAGATTCGCTCACACGTCACCGAACAATAATATACAGATGGGAGAAGTGATCAATGATCAGAGGGAAATGATACTTAACGCATTGGCCGAGGTTGGGCACTTTTTGAGAAGCACTCCGAAGTCTGTACGACCACATCGTCTGGCACGAACTTTGTATGTCCCCATCTTCAAGATCCAAAGCCCTCGCACTGGAAGCTCAGCTTGCTGTGGTGGCTTGCCCGAGTGCATCTGTTAATGATGCCCGGCGCTCATGACCCAGTGCCTGCGCGCAAACGGCGGCGAGTCAGCAACTCGGCCGTCGAGCAGCATGCGCAACCTGCACAGAGGAGAAAGTTACTTGATACGCCTCCCAATGCCGCCTCCGACGTCCCTCCACTAGAAAGGGGAAAGCACCCAGCCAAGCGTCGAGCGAGGCCAGCAGGATCGCATTTTAAATCGAAGCATAGCCATGATCTGGAAAACGAAGATACAGACAGCGAGTCGAGCGTGTCCTCAATCGCTTCGGAGGTAGGTCAACATGATACCATAGGTACGACTCCCAATATCGAAACAAAGCTACTCGCACATCTTCTGGTGAGTGTTGTATCTTCCAAAGTGAAATGATGTATGAACATACATTCATCTGTTCTTGCGCTTGAATTTACAGTGTAAGACCGAGCGACGCGTACATGCTGCAGTGAAGAAGGCGCGAAACTTCGAAGCGTTGAGGATCATCAAAAGGCTCAAGAATTCCGGCTCGCTCAAGGACTCTGGGTCGGGAAAGAAGACCCCTCTACAGTCTTCGGGGGAGCTCGAGGAGGAGCTGCAACACACCAAGACAGCAGATATCGATGCCATGACTGCAAGAGTCATCTGTGCCAAGATGATCAAGATGAAAATGCTACCGCGATCTGCCGAGGTCAAAAGACATCAATTTAACGACCAAGCGGTCTCGTCTGCCGACGGCATGGTCGCATGGCCAAACGCAATCCTCGAGGCATACCCGGTGCTCACTTCCTTGTCTGCCGTGCCAAGCCTTGCTATGGAGCACTCTCGTACTTGTGGACTCTCTCCTGCAGCCGATATCTCAATGCGCTCACCGTTGGAAAGACGCGCGATGGATCGTCTAGCAAGCTCGACGATCGTATCAGAAAGATGTTGCGATCTACTGAACAAGGTCTCAAACAATATTCAAAAGCAGCGCGGCTGCTCAACAATCGCAATTGTCAACGATGTTGCACAAGATGGCGTAAATGCAAAAGCCGCAAGCACTCCCGCACAGAGTGAGCCTGTCCAAAAGGGCCTTGATTACCTGCTGTCCCGCGAATGGAGCGGCAGCGAGTGTGCGGATGGCGACAGTCTTCTAGAAGGTGGAGAGGAAGGAGATGATGAAAGCAAAAGCGAAGAGGGCGGACTGATCGCGGGTGATAGGGAGGAGGCTGGGGATGGAAATGCGTTCGATCCTTCCGTGCTTGATGACACGCGGTGGGATGCCCTTGTTGCCAGCGGGTCCGAATCCGGCTCTGGTGATGAGGTTGGCGAAGTCCATGCCGAGAGGAAGAAAGCGCATGGGGCACGGACTGATAATGGCGACGATGAAACTTCTAATGCATCAGACGGCTCGAGCAGCGAAGAGGACGAAGGTGGAGCGAAGAGCTCGGCTTTCTTGCCTTCCTTAGCGGCGGGTTACGTTGGTAAACCCATGCGTCTGGGCGTTCGCAACTCTGATTCCGAATGGAGCGATGCCGAAGAAGAGCTAATGAACGCTGGAAGCGACATTGAGGTGGACGCATCGGGCAAGAAGAGGAAAGTATCAAAAGAGCGGAAGAATCGCATGGGCCAGCGGGCTCGTAAAGCGTGAGTGCTCAAAACCACGAAGTCATGCTGAGGCTCAGTTTTGAGAGCCACACTGAAACGTGGCCTTCTCTCGGCTTGTTGCAGTCTGTGGGAGAAGAAGTACGGACGGGGTGCTCACCACATCCAGCTGCAGCACAAGGAGCAGCGCATCGACGAGAAGCTTAAGGAGCGCAGGGAAAAATGGGCTTCTGGCGGCAACACAACGGAGAATGGTGTTCAGCAGCGCGCTTGGGGCAAGCAAAAGGCAGGAAGCAAGTCTCGAACTGAACGCCGCCCTTTCCACCAGAGGGATGCCGGAAGCGACGGCGCGATGGCGAAGCGCGGCCCATATCCTGGTACACAGAAAACATCGGCGCAACCGGTTGTTTCCAAACCTATCGATGGCAATTCAAAGGCGAAACAGCAGGATATGCATCCTAGTTGGGTGGCAAAGCAAAAGCAGAAGGAGATGTTGGCATTGGCTTCTAGGCCGCAGGGCAAGAAGATTACATTTGACTAGGCGCTTCTGTAATGCTCTTCGTTATCGCTGCTCCTCGTGTCGCCCGCCGGACAAGCATGACTAGTTGTACATGGAACCTTTCCTGTTTGCAAGCTCTGCGTGCTTAGGGTGTACTCTTTGAAACCACGCCGTTTGCCAGATATATGGACATGCCATTCCCTTAAATCGAATATTTCATGATTGGCTTTGGCTGTTCACCAGCAGCTGGCTGAGGCATCGTGGCCTAAAGCGCGCAAAAATCCCGCCTGAAAAATGAGAAGGTTGTAGAATCATCTGTATGGTGCCTTGAGCACATAGGCGATGGACCCCAAGACTCAAAGAGTTTGCTCGGTTGTGGCACCTGCGCCTTGTGGCTGCCCAACGTATTTCAATGTGCTGTGTGTCGAACAGCATTCGCACGCTCACAGCTTTTGAAAGTGCTGCGAAAGCATGAAACCAAGCAGCGTATAGCTAAGTTAAGTAACCGCAATGGCATCCAGGCGTTAATTGCGAGCGATCGCTAGATTGCATCATGATGGGACGCGGGTAATATGGAGTCGTGTACGGTCTTGCCTAGTACGAGCGCTTATCGATTCTTTCTGTTGCTTCTGACGAGCATAAAACCATCCTCGTCAATATTGGGTTGAATTAGTGGAGCATCATCGACGTCCATCTCGCCTGCAATTTTCTCGGCTGGTGGTTGATGCCCATTTGCTTCGCCAGTTTCGCTACCATCTTCGCTGTCGCTGTCGCTTTCCAGGTCTTGGTCTTGTGCTTGCCGTTGAGCCGCAACTTTGCTCCCTCGAAGCTTTGTGTAAGCTTCTTCAAGATCTTGAAGCGCTGCACCTCCTGCGCCTGGGCCTTCTAGAAAGATCGTCTTCCACAGTGCGACAAGCCTCTTGGCAACATATTGGACCGAGCCGTCTTCCAGGCGGACGTTAAATTCATACGACACGTATGACTCGAGCACCTCTTCCAGGTCGTCCTCATCTGGTGCTGCTTGTGCGCCTGCAGAAGGATTGGCTGCTAGAGCGGCGGCAGACTCATCGCACATATCACACACTGCGCTAGCGAGGTACTCTGCCTTGTCGCGGCTCTCTGGGCCACCCCATTCTTCGTCGACAGCCAGGCGCATAGCAGGCCAGAGGTCCAAAGTGAGTATGACAGCCCTTGCGAACTGGAGCTGTTGAGGAGATGGGACTGGCTCTAAGAGACTATAGTTGCTCTGAATGGTGGAGGGAGCGACTGCGGCATCCTGGACATGGTTTGTGTTCGCGTGCGCCTGGGCAGGCGGTGCAGGCGCGGTGCTCAAAGAGGCTGCGATGTTCGAGTAGCTGAGTGACGGCATGGTGAGTCCAATGCGCTTCCCCTCTCACTGTGCCTTTCCTGTCGAGGGCAGACTTGTGCGCGGGTACGAGGAATGAATGATGACCAGGGGGAGGAACAAGCACAAGAAGCGATACAAGTGTGTCTGCCTCACGAGGTTGGACCTGCGCCTGGCTATATGTAGTTGGCCTTGGATCCCCCAACTTGGAGTCCTAAATTGACGAACCTCCAAAACAAAAATTGGATCGATGGATGATTTTTTTGTGCGGAACTGAAGCAGTTAGCGGCTTGGTTACATAAGCAACACTGCTCCCCATACTACATCCATGACCACACCAGCTACGCACAGCAGCGACGTCAATACTCAACCTGCAGAGTCTCTCGAGGTTAGTGGCCAATCTCGTTAGGCATCAGGCTTCGGCCAGAGTTCAGCCGTTGTTGCCCGCGGGTCATCCCTTCTGAGACAATATTGCCACGTACTGAAGTGGCTCTATCATCGGTCTAAAGAAGCCGTCATTTCAGCGGTTAAGACTAGCACTGGTCGGTCAAGAGTGCATTTCTGGCGGGTGACGCAAGCATCGATGGAGTTCCGAATACAACGTGATCCTGATTATGAACATGTCGGGTTCGTCGGCTGATTCTCATGCACCAACGTGCTCTTCCCTTCATGCTGGTGCAGGGTCGGGAATAGAAGCGATGGCAGGCGCAAGTGACGATGGTACCGCGGCCGGCAATGATCCTCAGGCAGAGCTTAAGCGGTTCCGTCTGCAGTGGCAACGCGATTTACACGACCAGCAACGGCGTCGGAGACAACATTCTCCCGAGGTACGCAAGGCTGAGTCATCAGCTCCCCGAGATGCACTTGGAAAATCAAGCAGCCGCTTGAACGAATTGATTTTAAGGTCGTCGCAATCCATATCGGCTGCGGTCGCGGTCCCATCTGAGGGTGCGGCGGATCAAGAGGACCCCGCAGTGGTGCAACTCACCCGGATGATGGTGAATTGCTTCTCTACAAATGTGCAGCAGTATTCAGAGGCAGTTCTTAAAGAGAGGGTACACGCGTTTGACGAAGGTGAGGGAAGCTTAACTGGCTTGCAATATTCATCTGCACGGACTGAGACTTTCAACGATTTCCACTAATGCTTTCCTGCTCGCAGCCCTCGAACTTTACCGGAAAAGTTTTCGTACTGATGCCAATGTCGATCACACCTTCCAGAATGCTGCCATGCTCTTGGAGGAGCCCCAAGTGCAGCACTATCTCTCTGAGCACGAAAGTCTTCGGACCGTAGCCGCAAAGGTTGCAGAAGCTACAGAGGGCCTCGCATCGCAAGCCCGCATGCAGCCCGCTACAAAATCACGATCGCTTTCAAATACTCGGATCACGCAGGAAGCAGCTGCAGAAACAGCGCAAGCGAGTACGGAAAGCATGGAAGCACCACCTTCTCCGGAGGGAGCTGCGAATATACAACACTTGCTGACGCGGGCTCGAGCATTGCGCCGAAAACTAACAGAGACACTTGCTCATGACAAAGAAAAGGCAGAAAAAGCAGCACGGCTGGGCAATGTGGATGCCTTTGTCCAGGCGAACGAAGACACACTGTGCATGATAGCCAAGCTACCCGATGAGGTCGTCCTTCTCATCCTACGACACCTGATCTCTATGCCCCATGGTCGCACCACTCTTTCTAGAGCGATGGGCATTGTGCATGCAGCAGACACATTGGCCCAACACGCGGAACGTGCTCCTGATGAAGTGCAGCAGCAGCCGGACTGTGTGCCAAAGATCCGGAAGAAAGACCAGTCGATACTGAATGACCCTCGACGCAAAGCCATCTCGCACCTCATGCAGGGTATGGATCACACCTCACTTGAACTTCTCGGGCGCGTCTCGTGGAAATTCAGGGTGTTGAGTCTCGACCCTGATCTGTGGCGGTGAGTAAACCAATGTCTTACCTTTCCCGGGCCTGCCGGGGTTCTGACTTGCTTGATGGAACAGTCGCCTCGTCGAACACGTGTATAAAACTCCTCAACTACTCCCTGAAACCAAGCCTGCAGTGTGGCACCGACAAGTTGCACCGCGCTGGCGAGAAGCATACATCAAGCACCCTCGTGTGCGCTTCAACGGCGTCTATATTGCTTCTTGCCAATACACGAGGCCGGGGGTGAACGAAGAAAATGTTTGGATCAAGGTCATTCACGTAGGTGCTCTGCTCTCGTTCTGCATAGCAGCAACGGAATCTCATTTCTTATTGATCATGCATGCCCACCCAGGTCATCGAATTTTATCGTTATTTCCGCTTCCTTCCAGATGGACGGTGCCTCTCTCTGCGAACAACGGATCCCCCGACGGAGGTAGTTCGCAAGATTGATCCATCCCTCCGTGTGAATGGGTTTGCTATCGGATCCTGGCAACTGTACCCGGATGGACTGGAGGACGACAAATTGTTCGGGCGGCCGCCCGGCCCAAAATTGCAAATCACGCACTTGTATGGTATGTGTGAGCCGTCTTCCACTGCGGAAAAAATTGTGGAAGATCCCGGTTGACGTTTTTGCTCAATGACATACAGACGAGACGATGCCGAGCATCCGTTTCCGTCTGATCCTACTCCTTCGTAACGGAGGGCCAATTGGCAGGTGGAACAAGATGGACTTGCTAGAGTACCGCTCGGTCAACCTCCATACAGGCGAGGACGAACCTTTGTTGCAGAAACACTCCAAACCTTTCTTCTTCAGCGCCGTTCGATCCTTCATAACATAGCCAATGCTACCACTCGTACCAAACCATCTTCACACTGTTGAATCTTTGACCGTCTCAGCGGATTGACTCTGGAGTGGCTGAACGACGCTGTTGCACACAGGAGCCAGCAGGACATGTGCCAATGCGCCAATACGCTGTTCAAAAGCTAGCACATTCCCCTCCTTCACAGCAGCGACAGGATAATATGAAGTCTCGTACTGCGCAATGCAATCGAGACTCTTGATGAAACAGTCGATTTTGTGTTGCTGCGTTGGCGATGACGAGAAAGCGAACGCAAGTAGTGATGCAATCGCTGTTGCACCGATGGTGGCGCTGGTTTAATACCGTCCGAAACGCGGATTTGCCCAAATGGATCCCGCACGGGGATGAAGCCTGTGTCCCGCAAACCTGCAAACTCCACTTGGACCCATAACAAAGTAGAATAAGGCGCAGCTTGGGCTCCTCAAGGCTGGCGCTATAACAGAATACGATGTGCCAATACTATGTTACCAGAAGAGAATATAAAAAGTAGTAGCTTGTGCCACATACACCATTGAGGGCTACGATTGTGTTGAAGACTTTCAACCATATTCGGGGAACACGACAGTTCAACCAAACTGTACAAGCCAGATTAACGCCGAAGGTGCTTGAGTACAAGACCATCGAAGATGATCACATATCTTTGCACCGCCTGCGGTGCCGAGAAACAGAGTGTATCCTCATCAAAGCCCCAACACTTAGCTGTCAGTCAGTCCCAGCCCCCAACATCTCGCTCCGATCAATGCTGGGCCAATCAACATCGAAGACACCAAGGATAGAATTGATGCTTACCGTGGAGCTCCATAAGTTCATCAAGTTCGCCTGGTACTCTTGTACGTGGGAAGATAAATGCCATGTAGAAATGGCTCACTTCCAAGTCTGGCTTGAATGCTCACAAGACTTGACGCAATGACCAAAATGTTAGAAAATGTGACCTCGACAGAGGCCACAGTCAGCATCAAGAAGCTATATGGCGGCAACTACGACGCATGGGCCCTCAAAGCCATATGTATTTAAGGAATAGCACATTACGATCAAGGCAGAATGCTCTGACCTTTGTTGTTTCATGATGCCATACGAACTATGGTCCCTTTGTGTGGTGGCTCTTTATATCAACAAGGTGCTGGATTTCACGTTCAGTTACTATAGCTTGCTGCTTGGGTACACGCCTTCTATGAGGTCCTATGGTGTTCTTTGAGTTGTGCTTCTTTGCTCCCTTCGCTTATACGTGCGCGCTACCGCTGCTCCTGCGTTACAGGCAACATCTCCAGTGTGCCTGAGCAGTATTACATCACCGAAGACAGTCGCGTGCCTGAACAAGGTCAACTCTAGAACCCGACGACCTTGAGCCACAGCTGGGACAAGTTAGCTTGGCCCGAGCGAATCCGGGAGTATGAGTTTAGGATCGGTGATCTGCAGTGGATAGCTGAGGGCACATTACCTAATTTCAGCTTCGCAGTCGGACAGTACGCGCGCTACGGTGTTAACCCCTCGCTGTACCATTTTAGGGCCGTGCGCCAGATGTTGCTGTTCCTGGAAGGTATATTCGACCATCTACTACATGTTCACGGTGATAAGCAAGCAGATTTTGGCTGGCCTCAACAACTTCAACTGCGCTTGTTGCACCACCACTGGTTGCCCGACCACTGGCTATGTATTTTATTTAAGTCTTTGGGAACCCAGTCAGCTGAGGCTCACGTCTGCAACCGGCATGTACACTTCAAGTGTTGAAACAAAGTACATTGCCAATAGTTGCCTTTGGCCGGAGATGATCTGGATTAAGCAATGTTAGAGCAAGCCTGGTCGGTCAGCATGCGTCAACGTCAGTCGTTATCAATTCTCCTACGTTCGCCTTGCGCTGCAGAAATGGTGACATCCACCCCGACCCGCCGCAGCACCCACCTTAACCAGCGACTCAACCGGAGCAATAGCCATTGCTAACGATCCCATACACCATAAGAGGACGAAGCAAACAATGTACATCATCACTTGGTTCGCGATCAAGTGCAGAAAGGAAACCTTCATCGACACCGTTCGCACTATTGAGAAAATTCGACCGGTTTGTTCACCAAGAGTCTAGCTGCTGCTATCATGACTCCACTCAGTGTTATGCTGGATCTGCATGAATGGTGAGCAAGATTGTGCCAGCAAAAGGGCCTGTGAAAAGAATTATAGCGAAACTGCAGCTCTTCTGGAATGGTCGACGTGATTAGACGGAAACAACGAATATCCCTGTCGCTTTTGGCGCCAGCAGCGCTCGTCATTTGACACAGCACCTACCTCGGGTATCTGATGGGAAGCTTTTGAGCAGATGCACATCTCACCTTCTTCAACAGGAACATGCTCTTCCCTATCCTTCCTCCTTTGCGAGATTGCATGAGTACACTGATACACGGCTTGCTTATGACATCCACAAGGTCATATGGCACATGCTCCATAGACCACTAGCTGCCACTCCATATTGGCATTTAATAGTAGGAGGTATGAGCCACCACGTCACCACGCTCTCTCTAAAAACATTTTTGATGATGTGTTGCAGCTTGAGACTATGTGAATTCGTATCCGAATGTTAGATCCTAGCTTTAGAGATGGAGCTCCTCGGGCATTTGATGCAGTGGTCATCTGCGCCGACTTGACCATTTTTGACATGTGCACGACATGTAGTAGAAAGGGCAGGTATGGAACGATACTACACATCAAGCGCTTAGGGCCGGCTACAGGTACTGCAGATCGGAACAGTGTACCTATTGCCCGTTGTATGGCCACTGCCATATGTCGCAAATTGCGCCTGTAGCACTAATTGTTTTATCCTTTATCAAGTTCGCACGCCCATCTCTACGGTGCGCAACTTCTACCCCCTTTCCTTGCATGGGATCACTGTTTACCTTACGTACTTAAGTGGTTAAACTGCACCTTGTTCCACTGTTCACAAGGCAAAAAGGCGTACCTCACAAACCGTAACTGGATTGGCTCTAACCTATGTTATCACGATCACTGTGGTAATGTACACAACCCATATTTCTCTTACATTTACATGCATGAAGAATAGGATGTAAGAAGTGGAACAAGGAGGGAAATGGATCTGGCGTATTGGAAATACGAGATGAACATGCTTCACAGCCTGCACTCAAAACGCATGGTTGTGGCTTGTTCAAGTCGTTCCGACGATTTTATGAGACTCATTTCATGGAGTTTCAGGCAACTCTATTGAATGCCAAATCTGAGCTGAGACTTGAATGCCATTGGAGAAGCATTGAAAGGGGCGAGGAGAACCTGGCAGACATGGTAGAAAGGGGAGAACCTGATTGTCAAGACCTCATGGTTTACACCAAATGGATACAACATAGCTAGGCGTCCCTCATGCCCTTCCCTCTTGCGTCCATTTCAACATGCAGTAGAATTGCTGTGTGCTTTTACTAAAGCTGAGTCTGTATCAGCTCTATCTTGTGAAACTTGATTAGAGCTAAGTCTGTGTCAAGCCACATAAAACTCGAAACTCACATCTACTACAGCACAAGATTCCACATCATGGCGAACTCCTACTCATCTCTAAAATTTACGTACAGGCTATCAAGGAGAAGTTGTAGCGCAAATTCTGGCAATCCAGCCTGCATGATGTTAAGGGGGCAAGACTTCGCTCAAACTCTCTGAGCGTCACAAGCGCAATGGCGCGTAAATGCGGACTCCGCTCTGTACACTCCATGTGTCGATCCCAGTGGTCCATGTGTCTAGCTCTACACAACCTTAAAATTGAATTTTTGGGATCTGGACTCTTGACAGCCTGGAGTAGTTTGAAAACACAAATGGACGCATGCGCTGTTCAAGGTTCCGGCTTTAATGGTCAGGCATCCTGCGTGCCAAAACGAAACCAAAGCACGCTCATCATGAGCGTAAGAAAAGCATTGATGAACTGAGCATGATGATTCTTTTGCTCTGGTGCGGGCTGCGTAACAAACTCAGCTCTCGGTTGTAGCCAGATACTCGGTTCAAGATCAATGATGTCAAACCTCGTGACGCTGCCAAGGCTGGAGATCAGAGCATCAACAATTCGGCGGGACTTCAAGTAGCCATATATAGCAATGAACGTCAACTGAGCCCCAATGCTCAGTATCTTGTTGGCCCCACGCTTCAGCCATTCGCTCCTGACCAACGACACGCTCATCAATGTCGAGTAGGCGGAGAAAGGAATCCAGATGAATCTTGTCTATGCTTGCGAAATCAGCTGGCCCGAGTCCACTCTCCTGGAGGATAGTCACCCCGGAGTTATTGATTGCCGCAATGAACCCGTAATGAGCTTCACGTTCAACCCTGGGCATTCGAGGTATTGAGAGGCCAGCTCGTCACGAGTATCCACTTGGATACCCTTCTACGCGCGTTTGTGCGATGCAGACTGTTGACAAGCCTACTGAATGAGTACTTCAATGAGATGGGTTGGTTGCACACTCAAAACCGACGAGGAGATGTATTGTTGGGCCCGGGACAAGTGCACGGAGCAAGCGATGGCTCGCAGGTACACTTATCGAACGCAAACTTCTCAGGTTGCGCTAGAATCAGCGAGCTGTTACAGTCTGCAAGGCCCTATCATATTGGGAAGCATTTACTACTGAACTCCATGAGTACATTAAATTATGTTGGTATCCCAGTGCGAGGTACGAGGCACTTCCCTAAGCAGTTCCCCCTTGATTGCAATTTGTGCTTCACATCGTACTTCGTGGCGTTGGATCTTCGCTTGCAGGACAGAAACCGTGAAATGATGCATAAGGATATCGGTCTTCTTCAAATGTTTGTGCGTGAGGCAGGTGCTAAACAGCGCACCCACGCCACCACCCATTGTGTAGCCGATTTTCAAGACAACAGGGCTCAAATGCACCAGTCCAAGACGTTGCTTCGCATGCGATCAAGACGATTATCGAGTCTGTGATTGCGACAAGGCCGCAATGGACCAATGGGGGCAAGCAAGAGCCAAGCAGAAGCACGGTCGCACAGCTCGCAAGGTAGCTATCTCTGTACCTTTCCTCGTGGCTTTAGGGATGATTCGGAGGGAGAGTCTGCTGTGGAAGATACCCAATAGGATGGAGCTCCGGTCTTCACCTTCACGAGTCAGGTCAGAAGGCCGTCGCGCAGCCCTCTGGTGCGGCGGCCTCGACAGGTCCTCGTCATCGACAGAATGGCCTCCCATACGATGATAAGGGACTAGTTCTGGGTAATGGCTTCAAGCCGATCGAAGGAGCTCAGTATGAGCACATTGCTGGTGGCCGAAAAGCGTTAATCACTCACTATGGCGGAACCATGACAGTGATAGCCTTCAACCCCAGGCTCGTCAGTATGAAGGGACGAAGTAGGCCAGCGTCCTTGTTGCCCCACACCTAGGCAAGAACTTGATTTCTACCAGGTCTGTCACGACAAAACCAGGCTCCGCCGCCTTCTTATATGCGCACGTCACAGGCCAAGATGGCTCCGACCGGATGATACGCGTCGACATTGACGGACGTGCAGACTATCCTTCCGTTGATCTCCTCGATTGGCATGCTTGGACGGCAAATGCCCGAAGTTCGACTGATATGCGACGCCCAAAGACATCACATCACACTGGCAGCCAAAGTAGTCCAGTCGCTCAGCAGCAAAACAAAGCCACGTTTTGGTATAGAAGCCTAGCGCCCCCTTCCTCCGGACTGCTAAGCCGCATTACTCCGGCTGTTACGGTTCATCACATCACGGTGACAGCCAGCCAAGACCTTCCAGCCGCCTGTTGCAACTCCACCATAATCACGGTAACAGCTCAGTCCAGCCACCCCTCTCAAGACACTTCCGCCTGTTCATACACCGTGTCTACCGACCTTATCGGATCACTGCCTTCCTCCTCCTACATTTACAGTCAGATCATCGTCGATCACCACTGCTGCAGGGTGTCGACAAAGCCACTGGGCAGCAAGAATGAGGCTTTCCCATGAATCCACACCTGGCGGAAAATGTTGGCTTGTGAGCGACGTGAAGAGCTGCCGTGCCAAATCCACTGCGATCAAGGCGAACTGTGGTGGAATGACTTCCGCCTGTGGACCGCAGGCCTTGGCTTCAAGACCTCCGCAGGACCAACTGCTGTGTCGACTAGCAATCCATATCCTGAATGCACTAACCTCCATGTTGAGGCAGTTGCTCGCTGCCTACTTCATGATAGCCGCCTAGCAGAATGTTGGTGACCAGATATCATCTTAACTGCAGCGTATATGATCAATTGGAGGGCTAGCAGCAGAAGGAGTGCCCCAACACCTTTAGAAATATGACCTGGTAAGGCAACAGACCTCGCAAATTACTGCATATTCGATTGTCTTGCTTATGTGGTGCTGCGCGGTTCGACAAGAACTTCCTGGAACCGTGGCAGCGCATACGTCAGCAGAGGTCGGCGAAGTAGAAGTATCTGCGGAGTAAACCTCGGCTATCGCGACTCACCAGGCGGAAGTAAAGGGCCGAAAAGTGTCCCTTCCTGTACTCTAGCGTGGTGTGACCGCTCGCGACGCTGTCTTCGTTGAAGCCCGCAGGTACGCCGAACGTCTCGATTCGATGCTTCAGCGTGTCCGGGCTTCCACATTCTCTATGGAAGACGACTTCCATGGGCTTCTTGAGGAAGACTAATGGCACCACAGGTCTCCAGCATCTGCAACCCAAGAGGAAATGAGGCCACAGTTGCTTAGCTTCACTCACCATGCTAGCAACCACGATGATCCTTCAGCGCGAGGCGACTCTATTGACAGTAGCCTCGCAGAATACGGGCCGGTCGCCTCCACCATCACTCTCATACCATCGCTCTTGCGCGGAGAGCTATAGACCGACATCGGTCTTCTGGAAAAGTACAAAGGCCGACACTCGCGGCCCGGACATGAGCATGGTCAGCTCTGACGGAAATCGTGATGTAGGCGATGCAGATATTGGCAGTGAGACTCATGCGGAGGATGGTGCGTCTCCAATGCACAACGCAAATTCATCGGCTGACCCAATTGCCTTTCGGTCGGGATACACGACGTTCGCTACAGTCTGCATTGCTAAGGTCTCCGTGGTCTTCACTATTTCAGGTGGACTTGATAGGCCCAGACTTCCAATGCTATGAAAGAAGTGGTGTCGAAGTCCGATGTGCTTTGTTTAGTAGTGATTTCTTGGGTTTTGCGTGATGTTGCGAGTTCCGGAGCCATTAGAACAGAAAATAGGGACATATTCTGCAAAAAAAAACAGTTTCCGCATGATTTTGGCGGGTTGAGTGACTTTTGCTTTCAGAGAGCTTATAAAAGTTGCCCTCAAAACTTGCGGCTTTTTTCGGGATTTGACGGAATTGAAACTTTAGTCGAATCTCCAAGCAAAACTCATGATGGCAAGAGTTCCAAACATCAAAACGTTGGACTTTGAGAGGCTTGATTTTTCGAAATTCGCGCTCTCCTCTCCGCGTTTCTAATTATACAAAAGCCCTCATCATCATCAATATTTTTCATTGTTTGTCAGCAAGGATCTGAATAGCAGTGAGTCCGCAGTCAGTTGACCTTGCAGCAAGCGATCAGCGTGAATTGTGGAGGAAGGGGCTCTCAGCGCCCTCTAGCATGTACAGAAATGAATCGACTTCAGAGGTGGAGAGGGGGTAACATTACTTCCGCTTGGGAGAAGCCGTACACTCGGTCTGCGAAACTCGTGCAAGAGGCTCACCATAAATATCCTGACTTCTCAAAAGTCACCCAGAAATCGCTGTCCTTGTAGAGCTACATATAGACGCCGCAACATCCGAGACAACGAAATGAGTGTTGTATAATGCCCATTACATCGGCACCGAACCAGTGCGTCGGTTCCGCCTTCGGCCGTCTGCTCGGTGAATGTTTACATGCATCACATGAGTACATACAAACATCGCGTTTTCACACTTCTCTAGCTTTAGCGGTTCAGCACACATATCACGTCGCGTCGCGTTTTTAATGTTCCCCGGAATACTCCGCTTACATTATGACAAATCAGGAGTCAAGCGAAGTCGTAAAGCCCCTGAGTCCAACAACCTCACCCGAAACAAGCAATTCTTTAAGAGGTCGCTTCCCAGCATCTCAGCTTAGGATGCTGGCGAGTGACCTCTCGCCACAGGAACCTGTTCTTCCCCTTACATCTCACGCCCTCTTCGGCGCGTCTAGTTTGAATCCACGACCCTTCCGTGACATTCTTCTCGAGCGTGGTCAATCTTCCATCCACCGCCATAACGACCCTTCATTGACACCTTTGCCTAGGAAAAGGCAACGACGGCAGCGCGCGCTATCCAGACCTGCGCCTCCCTCTTCACATCTCTCCCTGTGCTGCTACCAGACTTGCTTGCAACATCATGAGCGGCCTTTCGCTACCGCCACAGACCCTTTTCCGATGCGAGGGAGTCCGTTTGGTTAAGCACGTGCCATCCGTACCTGCTCGAGTCAATGGCTCGACCCCAAAAGATTCCATCAATGCCTACGGAAGCACAGGCAGCCGTAACACGGCTTTGGCAGACTGGAGAGGGACGCTTTACCTCGATACGGTTCAGGACCCATTCACCCGCGATATCTCCACCCTCGTCCTCTCAATTGACCGAAGCGGAAAGGATGCAACGCAGGCCGCCAGCTATGGTGCTGCCCGTAGGTGCGTGCTGCCATTCAGGAGCTACAATGCGCAAGACGCAATCAATCGGTCTGAGGGGCACAAGCCGCAAGCGCTACGCGAGGTATTCCTAGGGCTCACCTATCCTACTCTTGGGGCGGTACATTCTTCATTCTGGTTCTATGAGGATGCAAGCGAACGAGGCGCAATGGAGCGAGCTGCTCTTGAAGGACAAGGGGCTGGCCGCAGAGCTGTCTGGACGTGCTTCGTCCCGGGGTGAGTACCACCCATCAAACCTGCTCTAGCACAGTTCCCTGACCTCAACTTTGACACGCCGTTCTCAGGACTTGGCAAGAATTCACACGGCTAAAAGATATCTTAGAGCACTTTCCGCAACAGTCGCTTACAAAAGCCAATGAACCCCGGGAGGTTGCGGTTTCGCATGAAGAGCAAGAACGCCTTTCCGATGTGCGCAAATCTCTCTTTTGGGACAATCTGATGCCAGATGCATCTCATCTAGACAACGCCCTACCATCCGATAGGGCAACGCATTCGCCTGATGGCATTAAAGCACCGAGCAGCTTGGCCGCAGCATGTGAAAATGCCATCAGTCGATCCGCAACGCTGAGGCGACAACTCGACCGGTCTCGGCTCTCAGCGTATCGCAACTCATTAATTGCAGTCGATAATGGCACGGGAGAGATTCTCGGGGTGGTCGCAACGGACGTTCATCTGCAAGGGAACGACGGGCTGCCTCTGACACCCAATTCAATTTCCTCTGAAGAAGGCGCAGAGGCTATCACTCCTGACAGAGAGCAGCCAGAGTGGACACCGACCAACATTCAAGCCCCCAGTTCCATCCTCCGCCCTGCTTCGAAATACAGCGACCCGGATGATGAACGTGTCAGGCCGCCATCTCGAGCAAGGTCCATACTGAAGGAAGAGACTTTCGCGCCACCGCCTTTGCCCATTAAAATGGGCGGAAACATTCGAGATAGCTTGTCTAGCGCGGCATTCTACACTGCTGCGGAATCTGCTTCGGAAGCCGATAGCGACTGGGGTCCCGGCGACGAAGACGCTGCTCCTCTCAGTGTGGATCAATTTGGCGTCGGGCCCCACCGGCCAGAGCTTCTGAGAGATCTGAACAATGTCGCAGGCGATGCTGCGTACGACAGCGACGCTAGTGGATCTACCGAAGGAGGGCCTGCAGTTCGGCTTTGGCGAAAAGCTCGCGGCAAGAATAAAAAAGGCCAGAAGAAGACACATGATGAAACAGTTGAACCAACACATTTTGCAGATGCAGAAAAGACGCCGCGCGCAAGCATCATTGAGGCAGCAACTCTATCAGTTGCTAACGATTCTCCAGTCCCCACTCCAGAACCGGAGCCTCTGAACCACCTGCTCAGCGCGGACGATAAGGTACGGGAAGGGCAGACACTGAGGAACCCACTTATCAGCTCTCCGGAACTTTCACTCGCAAGTTCCAAAGCTCGCAGAAAGATGCTTAGAACAGACGAGGTCCGCAGAGCAGAGGACAATGTGTGGACGGAGGCGCTATCTTCCGGAGCACTTCCTGTGGACGCTGCTTATACACACCTGCACTCTTCGCCACTGAAACCCTCAACAGACGACTCCCAGACTAGAATTTCGCGTGTGTTTCCGCGCAGCGAGCATGCCACAGACCTTCATGGAGGGACTGTGTTACTGGAATTCCTCGCTGATAGCAGGATAGGGGCGACGCTCATCTCAGGTCCGCAAGCAAGCACAGAAGTGTCATCAGGTGCACCAGCTAAGTCAGTCATTCCCATGCTGCCAATGCACATGCTCTGGTTCCTCGGCATTGCCAACGAAACAAATGTGCCAGCTAGCCAGCGGCCTACCGGCAGTTTTGTCTCCGTCCCAACTCTGGAGAACCTCAAAAATGTGGCGTTGAGCTTGCCTGAGAGGCTTGCAACGTCAGCATCGACAGGTTCCGCCGTATTTCTCACCACGTCCAGAGACTTATGGACTGGATTGGCCGGTTGGACCTTGTCCGCATCGAGCTGGGTCGTCGGCCAGCTCGGCAATACAGCCGCACCGCAGGGGCCGATCAAGCCTGCCGAACTGGAGGATGATGGCACGTTTGAGATACCCAAGTATGACCCCGACTCGTGGGGTGCAACACCGCGGCCAGTGTTTCGTCGGCGCAGGCCAACGCCATCCTTCCAGAATGGATACGATGTGGGACCTCAAGAAACGGCATCTTCAAAATACTCTATTTTGCATATTGACGGGCAGTATCACCCTCGCGACGTGTACTTTAGAGCCTAATACCTAGCAATATGATAGTCTGATACCCTTCGAACACATACTGAAAAGACATTCAAACGAATGGAGGGGCGATTTTCGCGAAGTCGCCATAGATCACATGTGCGTCAACGTAGTGCTCGTCTTCGCCCGAGCCGGTTTTAAGTAAGCCCGCTGACGGTATGCGCCCGACTCGCTGGAAACCAAGCTTGTCCCAAATTCTCATACTGGCTTCATTTGTTGCGTAGACCAGATTGAAGACCGACCCGCGATACCCTAAACGGGGCGCAACGTGAAGGAACGACCTCCCAGCAAGGCTGCCGATGCCGCGACCTCTAGAATTTGGCGGCACGACGAACCCAGCATTGCATAGGTGAGATGAGCGACCTGGGTAATTCGGCTGCAAAGAGGTACATCGTCAGCAACTCCTAAATTTGATGTGGCCGTTATCACAAACCTTGATGTAGTAGAAGCAGCCTATGCGCTCTGACGGCTCTGCTGACTCTAAAGGTCCCAAGCTTTTAAGATCAAATGGCGTCCCTTGCCTAGGATATTCAGCATTGGTCTCGGTGGAGTTGACAAAGATGCCAATGACAACATCTGGAACAGGATGCGTATGAGTTGGTTGCATTGTGATTTCATGCAGAGCTTCTAAAGCGTACCATATGCAAGGAAATAATTTCTGAACTCAATGTCGCTCATGGGACCACGTTGCGGACTGTGAAGGAGGGATGAATCGGACATGAATTGAGGTCCGGCTTCAAAGTGACACTTCCTGTGCATGACCTTACTAGGAACGTCCGTCCTCGAGCTCTCGTACAAAGATTGAGTGCAAGTATCCGACCCAATGTGGAGGGACTGAGGAGCCGTCTAAGTGAATAAAAGCGATCGCATTGTATGCGCCATTTTGCGCCTTCAACTGGAACAATTGTGCGCCTACGGGGGCCGAAGGCGCTGTAGGCCGAGCGAGGATACCGTAAGCTGACATGGGATAGCGAGAGGTAGCGACACTGCGGTTGATTGGAGCTCCTTTCTTGCGCCGCGTACACACAGCCCCAGATTCAAGGGGCAATAGTTACCGTAGATCGAACGAAGAGCATGCGAAGAGGGTGTTGAGTGAAAAGGATGGAGAGGGTGGTGGCAAGGTGGGTACTATGGATGTTGGATTGGGAGTATATGTATATCTAATGTCTGGTATCAGCGGGCAATGGCTCTCCACGCAAGGGTTCACAGCCTTTCCGAGTCTGAGCTTTCTCGTGGATGTGAGTCAGTCTGAAGTAGTGTGGCTCGTCTCTTGACAATTAGCCCGCCGCTTTTTCTAGTGTAGAAACCGTCCAATGTGTGCCTTGTAGTGCATGCATACGCACCCACGTGACTGCGAGAGATCCATTCATAGACACGTCAAGGATAAGATATACAGGCGCGAAGGGAATGAGGGTGCAGGGACCAGGGCAACTGTGGGGACTCAAGATGCAGGCGATATCCAGATAGGGCTGAATGACAAATACAATGGGGCACAGTCTTTGGCTTACGGTCTTATGGAGTGCGTCTGCCAGCAGACGGGTGAACGTTAAACCAGGTCTCAGAGAATGTCTGAAAAGGCTGCGCTGAGCGCAATGACCGTCGGCTCGATGAGAGAATTGGGAGAGAAAAGCGAAGCCGAAGGGATGACATTCAAAGTTCAAAATCTTGTCGCGGAACGACCTTGGTCTTCCGAGTATCCTGCTTCATTGTAGCCGACAACAGCGTCTTCTGACAGCGAGGTGCCGGCCAGGCTGCCTTGCTGTGGTCGATGGCCGTAGTTTGGCTCGGGGGTGTAGAGCGTGCGCATCATGTTGTTACTGCCGCTGGCCGCTTGGGAATCTGCAGGTGAGATGGCGCCAGCGCGAACGGCTGCATACTGCTTTAGGGCCTCATCTGGACTGGAAAAGTTAGCGGGTGGCGCCATGCCGGTCTGCGTGCTGGCGCCAGGTTGCTGGTCAGAGATGGCGGAAGCTGCAAACATGTCGACATGTCCCATTTGAGCGCCCTCCTGCCCCGACTGGATCAGCGAGACAGCAGGGTACTCGAGCACAGACCCCCGGAACTCTGATTCGGTGGCGTCCATGCCGAGCGGTGAAGGAACTCGCGCGCCAACAGGATCGTCGAGCTGCAGCGCACGGTTGGCATCAAGGCTACTGCGCATCTGATCGAGATGGTCGTTGTTGAGCGGTATCGGGCCTTGATGTTGCGTGGGGCTCATGGCCAGGTCGTCCAGGTCCTCCATGGCACCGTCGGCGTACGCATCGCTGTACATGCTCTCGTGGTGGACAGGGTCCACACGCGGAACGGCTGGGGTATTGGCGTTATAGAACGAGTGGCGCAGGCCGCTCTGGCCGATGCGTGAGAGAGATACGCTCGTCTTGTGACCATGCGAGTGGTCTTGGGACGATGGACCAACGCTGATGCGTGAAACGCGATGGCCGGCGGTCTCTTGCGCGAAGCTAATTCGGCTCTGTCGTCGCTCGCGCATGGTGTCGAACGACACGCCGCGCGCAGCAATATCGTTTGCTTGCATGGCAGCATCGCGGCCAGCCAAGCCGGCACCGTGGATGTCACCGGACGGCCGCTGCATGTACGATGCAGGCCGACTCCCGGGAACGGGACCCATGCTTCCATCTCCTCCAGCCATCCAGTCGATGGACACTCTGCTCATGCGCTGGTCCATCTTCTCGGCCCAGTTAGCGGTCTTGTTATTTCGGTTGATGTGGAGCTTTCGGATCCATAGAGCCAAGAGGACGCCGACAATAACCAGGGGACAGATAACGGCAGCAGCTTTGCCCCCTGGCGTAAGACCTCCGCTAGCGAAGAAGACGCTGATGACGCTTTCTGTCACGCCTTGCTTTGTTTGCAGCGCATCTTTGGGGGGGTTATGCCCCGGAGTAGGAGCAGTGTAGATAGCGTTCCAGTTAGGGCCAACGGGAGTGTTCGTGTCCCAGGGCTCGTTGCCAGACGGAACAATGTTTATGTAGAGCTTGGCATTTTGTGATATGTGAGGGTCCTTGACCCACCAACGAGGAGCGAGCTTGACTTGAGCGGACCCCTCCCTTGAAGGGAAGTTCCTCCAACCGTGGATGGGTAGCAGCGTGTTGGTGTCGGCGACGTTGTACAGATAGATGTCCAGGTTATCCGAAGGAAAGCAGGAAGGATCCCACTTGAGCGTCGTATATTCGGAGCTATCGACGTTATTGTCTGCTGAAGGGAAAGTATATCCTTTGGCTAGAAGGCAATCTGTTTTGCTGACTATATTAGGAAAGGGGCAAGTCGCCAAAAGAATAGTGTCAGAGAACGTGCTGCAAAGCTCGCAGCAAGGGGCGGTAAACCCACGCGACCTGCGAGTGAACTGCCGCAACGGTGCAGTGTCTTCTTTGGCAAGTGCCTTGCCGAAGCGCAAGTTGTTGAGAGAGAACGGCATGGTGCAGAGTAGGATGTTGAAGGGATTCGTTTTAGAGGGATAAGAGTGCCGAAGGACGAGGAAGCACCAGGCTGGAGGGATGGAGGGAATAGGGTGCTTGTGCCCGTGGCGGACCTTCGTGGTTTCCTGTCCAATGCTGAAGGCAAGGGTATCGATTAGGCGGGAAGAAGATACCGTATGCGGAACAGTAATATGCTGTACGGAGGGGGAGGCGTTGAGAAAAAAGGGAAGATGTTCGTTCAGGAGGAAGAGGGTGGAATCGAGGTCTGAAGCTGGTGGCCGAAGTGGGAAGTCATTCAATTGGGATAGGGATGTTTTTGCAGCGCGGCGAAGGCGGACACTGCACCACTCGCTCTTGCACCTTGCGGATGGAGTACCCCCGCTTGGGTCGGCGCTTTGTGCAGAGCGGAACAAACTAAAGTGCGGAGAGAGTGCTCTGATGCCTCCCCTGACCCCCCGCGTTTGGCGTCGGATCCACCCCTGGCTGCTGCGAACCTCGCCAAAGGGACTGGAGTAGTGTTGGGTGCAAAATAAAATGCTGAAGGGAACGCGTTCATGACAGTATTGTAGCATCATATATACACGCAACAGGTATCTATTACTTGTACAAGACTGCGTGATGATTACGCGTTGTGCCAGAAGAGATTTCGCAGGCTAGGGTTGACAACACGCGCAGAAGATGGTCAGTCGCCGAGACTTTTGATTGCTAACGGGGGCAACCGCGAGTACGGCGGGGTTAGCATGCTCACCTGTTCCACTTTTCTGCATTCACGTAGAGGTCTGTGAAAGATAGGGAGAGAAAGAGGGGCGTAAAGTTCAATGGGCCAGCATATCACAGGTCCGGTGAGCAGAGCGGCAGAAAGCATTGGAACGGATGAGCTCAGTCAGACGCTGGCCACACTCACAGTCCATGCTGTTCACCAGTCCATTCTGCAGCGATTGCCGTCGCTCCGCAAAATTCCACATCACCAACGCCCATGTGATCGCAGCAAAGTACTGGAAAACATTTTTGTCGGTCGGGATGGGCTTGTGCGCCGGCCAGTCCACATTGACCTTTTGTCGTGGTAGCAAGGACGACACGACGCGTGCCGTGCAGTACAGCACGATCTGAGCATTCCAAGCGTGTATAGAGGATAATAGCGAGAAATTGTCAGCCATAATGGCGCAAAGCTGAGGCGACTGATTGCGATCGCACCTGTTCATTTACGGCGTTCCGTTTCCCAAAGACGACCCAGCCTCCGATAAGACCGCCAAGGAATGAATCTATGCTCCGTGGCTTGCCTCCGTTTGTCCGTCTTTGAAGAATGGTAATGCCCTTGTAAATGGCGACAAACTTCATGAGGTTGGTCGCATGCTGCTTGGTCGCTTTGAAAACAAACCGTAAACGGTCCCGAGCCGACCCCCTCCCAAAAAGGATGGACATGACCAGCGCATGCGGGAATCGGATCTTGGTACCGTACACCAAGCCATTACGAGCACCCTACCAAGAGAGGAGCCGAGAGATTTTTTTCCGCAGTCCGCCAGTCACATTTCTGACAGTATCGCCTAGACTAGGTGCTCACCTTGAGGATTGTGAAGATATCATGGTACGCGGGGTCGAGCGCGAGCCGCGTCAGAGCGCCTTGAATGTCAGCCATATCGACGTGTCGCGGACGGGATGTCTTCTAGGACAAGGCCTGCTGCGAGCGGTCTATCTTTCTGTGTGCCGAACTGATGCGCTGGGACCCCTCATGCTTGACGGGAGGGTTGAACAAACCTGGTGTCTGGCGATGTCTAAAGCCTGGGATGTCATCACGCGTCAATCTGTTTTCCTGTGGTCCGCTGTGTCCGCCTACAGAGATAGTCTAGTGTCCCGCGTGCTGGCTCTTCCCCCGCGCCGGCCGCGACGGAACTCGGGGCCCAGATTTGTGCTTGTAGTACATATGTATACTCGCATAGCGAGGGACAACACCCTTCTCATCAGGCGCCACACCGCAGTCCTCGGCTTCATCACTACATGTATCACTCACGCCCCTCCAAGTCTCTCAACTGGATATTCGATCCCAAGGTACGCGTCCTGGCGCTCCCATGTGCAGGACATAAGGCGAGGCGTTTGACACCAAACCAGGGTATCCAAGGCGCAGTAGGTGCCTGTTGGAACCACCCCAGAACCTGCATTCGCCGTCATCTCGGCTGGGCAGCACACCGGGATGCCTCTTGAAAAGAGGCACGCAGCCAACCTTGAAGACATAACCCCAAGAGCTGGCACTGCCAACAAAACGACAGAAGTCGAACAAGCAGCAGAAGCATCAGTCGAAGAAGAAGAAGCTTCCTCGCCTGCCAACACTGAACCACTTCCGTTTGACGGGGAGTCCGGAGACGAGATGGATGCTTCAAGGAGCGCGCAGGACGAGCTCGATGCGGCCGCGACGCTCGCTTCGGTCCCCGCTGCGCTGAGTGAGGAGCCAAATACCGCCGAGAACGCTACTGGTATGACCGAATACGATGCAGCCTCCAAGCATTATGTACGCTCGGGTGGCGGGAGCGACCTCTCCTCCGATCTTTCCGACGAAGGAGAGGCGAACAGCGGCGATGACGACGAGCCAGAGGAGGAAGAAGATGAAGATGAGGAGGGAGAGGATGACGCCGGCGAAATCCCTGGCGAAGATGACGGCGATGACGAAGGCGAAGGTGACGGTGAAGATGAAGATCAAGACAGCGGCAGCGACGAAGAAAAGTCTGAAGACGATGCCTCCGAGCTCTCAGAGGACGAAGGAGCGGGGCAAGCGGCGGCAGTCACGATATCTGCGGAAGCAGCAGATGTCGCCACAGCGCTAGACGCGCTGGCTGGCATCGCAACGGCCACCCCTATGGTTTCTGCCATCGCTGATACCGGATCATCTAGCACCCACCACCTTCATTCTCGGAGAAAGTCGATCACTGCTTCCATGATCGACCCTGTCGCCCCGAGCGATGCGGGAGACCACGAGTCTGACGAGGAGTCCGACGTCGCAGATAGCCAGGACTTGACCACTGGTGATGTCTTGGCATCTGCAATTACTGGCAAGGCAACAATTTCCAAGCCGCACCCTCCTCCCGATCCAAACAGCGCCGGGTCCAAACTCAAGACCAGTTTGCTCGCCAACGCGACCGAGGACGATGATTTAGTGGGCGCATACCCGGCAGCTGACGGGGCAGAAGCGTCTTTAGCCGCCTCTGCGGCCACTTCCAGAGAGGGCTCGCCTTTCCAAGAGGCTGGTACGGCGCACGATGCGGTCGGGTTGGGGGCGAGTCTGACTGCTCAGCTTGCCAAGAGTGCAGCGCTTGCTGCAGACGCCGCCAAAGAAGATGACGCTGCAGTAGAAGATGCTGCAGCTGGCGAGGGTGCAGAAGGCGAGATGGCCGAAATGATAGTCAATACTGGCCAAGGCACGCCCGTGATCGAGCAAGCCGAAGCCGAAGATGGTTCGCGCAGCTGATGAGCGAGAGAAGTCCTATCAGGCTACGAGCTTACATGCATTCATTGCGCTTCATCCACAGAAACCACGACGGACGAGACTGCACTTCGGCGCCAAGAGGCCATGGATGCCCTCGCAAAGATCGAAATAGGCTTCGCCATGCTGCGCGATAAGCTCTACATGGAGAGAGTCGACGAGACGTGCAAAGAGACCGCCATGATCTTAGACGGAACGCACCCCGAGCTGGTGTATCTTTCCAACATCATCGAAGCACGGAGGCGTAAACGGCAGAAGCTTGCCGACACCTGGTTCGACCAGCAAGAGCAACAATTCAGTCGCGTAGCAAAAGCAGACGAGCAGGCCATTTGGAGCAATTGGCGGGTGAGTGGCTCGCCATTTATTTGCTGTTTGCCCGCGACGTTGAATGGCAAACTCATTTTTCCTTCACAAAAGGCGTCTATGGCGCAATTGCGACGCGACATGATGGACGATCTTAGTCGCAAGCGAAGAAAGCTTGACCGAGAGAAGCGCGCTTTAGATGCGCCCCGACCCCGTGAGTGCAGACGATTGGGAACATGATTGCCAACGTCTCGTGGCTAAGCTGACCGGCACCCTCGTCTTATTTGCAGCTCGACGGCATCACGTGTTTGAGACGGAGCTTGTGCGTAATCCAGAACGGATCACTCGTGGTGGCACAGCCACCAAGGCTGGGGACAGCTCCAAGAGCGCGAATGCACGAGAATCAGGCGCAGCTACCAGCTCCGGCAAGTCCAAGAAGCGACAAGGAACGCTACGCAAATCGGGATTAGAAGGAGAAGAAGAGCAAGTGGGGGAATACGTCGCGTTCCCTGACATACGCGGGCTCGAAGATGAAGCTTATCACGACCTCGAGGCGATGGGGTTTCGGCCGCCACAAGGGTTGATGCGGACTGGCTGATGCATTTGTCCTGGGCGTCTCATCGAGGCAGACTATCTTGTACTACCTAGTGCCAATTCGATTTGAGGTTAGTTCACAGTGATATTTCTACATGGCTGGCTCGTCCAGCTCTGGGTAGTGGCGAAAGAGGCCCATACTGTAGGATCTACGCCTATCGCTCTTCACATACGATGCAATTGGCTCTGTGTTGCCGATTTTCTCGTGAAGACCGAACACGTGTTTGCATTTGTTCTCTGCCTCGAGGCGGCTGAGCAAGTTGGGGTACGCGAAGCGGAGCCCGTCAACCACCTAAAATTGACAAGCAGTGACAATTTGCCGAAGTGCGTGAGCACTTCTACGGCAGTACGCAGTCAGAGCTTTATCACTCACCTGGAAAAGAGTGAGGTCCGCCGTAGTCATGGAAGATCCAAAGAGGTTGGCACCGCTGCCTGCCCTGTTCTCTGCGAGAACACTTTCAAAGTATCCGAAGAATTTCGGGAGGCGGACTTCTCTGAAGAACTTGGCGCGACGTTTGGATTCCTCTTGCTGCTCTTCGTACGTGAGCGATGAGGCGCTGCAAACGTAAGCGCGACGTATGGGCACAAGAAAGCGAGTGGCGTTTCTGCCAATATAGCGACCTCGGTATCGCTCACATAGGATGATGCACGTCATGGATCTCGTTAGAGAGGTCGAGAATGGTCACTGAAGGGAGGAATGCAAAGGGGGAGATCAGTGCGAATGTCACATCCCACCTCTTTGAAAGAGATCCCCACAGGTGAGCTGGTTCACGTGAGCGCGCGCGATGCTCTTCTCTTCTTCTGTCTAAGCATCTGCATCGCCCACAAGATCAAGCCGTGGAGCGAGATATGAAAGGATAGCTGGAATCTGAGAGATGAATCTGCTTGAATTCGTGGCCTCCTGTTTGACCTCCAGGATTGGAGGTGCAAAATGTTGAGGAAGTCCTGTCTTGTTGGATCTCATAACATGCTCTTGCAGTGCGTTGACGTTGGAGCTGTTGTCCGCGAATGGTACCTTCGCATATTCAAACGCGAGACGCACGTATTCGCCACGGCCAGGAATGGACGGCTGCACGGGTCCTCAACAAGTGCAAGTGGAAGAGTCGGACATCGCTGCTCCTCTGCATGATATGGATAACCCCTCTACGCACCCAATAGTGAAGAGTGTACGTTTTCATCGTGGGTATGAGTCGAGCTTAGGACTCCTTTTGTGAGTGCAGGAACGAGCAAGTTGGCAAAGAATTGCTGGGAGACACCGATCACAGCAGATGCACGTCGCACGCATTCCAGACTTGGAGATTATATATATGTCAAATAGTCCGTCTCTATTGACTATCGATCCATATGCTAGACGACAAACGCAGCCTCAAGTAGCTGTGACGATGATGTCCCCTCTCGATGCTGGCTCGTTCGGAGCGGAGCGGCGCTTATTGATACAACAAGATGTGTTAGTCAAGGGACAGGGTTATGTCATCACTTGGGCTTCTTTCGGCCGAGTGAACATCCGCCTCAACCTGATTTTTTTGCTCGTGCATAGGATTCGATCGTCGTCATCATGATTGGCAGCCTGGTGTCGATCCCCAAACAGGCTGTCCCCTCGCTCCTTCCTTCCTTCAAGGACGAAGCATCTCGTGGACAACTCGGACTCACAAGCTGCTCGAGAACACCGTTTCGAAACAATGAGCTTACAACGGGCTGCAAGTTCCATGGGGCGCCACGCCAACGTCTGCGTCCGACGCAGCGCTGCCCGAGTCCGTGCAGGACCAAGGATTGTCCGCCACTCGTCATCGTCAGCCAGAGCATCTAGCTCGGCATCTGCCTCATCATCAAGCTATGGATTTGCCATGGGTGCGATTGCTTCGCTCGCTGGGATAGCGTTGGCGAGCTGGACCTCTCCAAGGCTTGAGCTCGAAGGGCGCGCAGCATGGAATGACAGGCTGAAGCCGAAGAAGGTACCAACACCAGAAATTTCGGAGCAAGTCTCAGAGGGTGAGCATCACTCTCTGCATGGAAAGTTCTGCGAAAGAAGCGTCGGATGAACTGATGCTGCTGCTCACCATTTTTTCGATTGGCATGGAAAGGTTCCAAGGTTGAAAAGGCGATCGACGAGACCAATAGCGTTGAAAATGAGGTGGCAGACGAACAAGTGGACGGTCAGCAATCCGCATATGATCCCTCTACCGGCGAAATCAATTGGGATTGTCCATGCCTGGGGGGTATGGCCCATGGCCCATGCGGAGAAGAATTCAAAGCCGCCTTCAGCTGCTTTGTCTACTCGGAAGAGGAGCCCAAAGGGATCGACTGCGTCGAAAAATTCAAATCCATGCAGGAATGTTTCCGCAAGCACCCTGAAGTCTACGCGGAAGAGATCGAGGACGACGATCGAGCAGAGCAGGAGGCAGCGGCAGCTCACCACTCAGGCGAATCCTCTGAGCTGTCGGGCAGCTCAAGCAAGGAGTGAATCACAATTGTAACAATCACCATCTTATGGATCACCGCCACTCTTCCAACGGGCCCATGCGTAAACTTCCGCCGGAAGGGATTCGCTTGTGTGCTAACTTCATTAACGATATTTGGGCTTGCGGACGGTTTCGAGCAACAGGGTCGGTCTTGATGCACTAGATGAACCGCTCTGCCGGAGATACCCGAAACGGCCGATGATTGAGGGGTTGAGGCAAGTGAGGACCGGCTCATTATCGAGGACCACGAAACCATGCTTTCGCAAGAAGAATGTACCAGTAGACCGCTACCCCAGTTCCCTGAACGAATCAGGGCACCTCTTTGCAGCGTGAAGTGATGAAGTCGACAATCCGGTTTAACTTTCATTTGATGCCGATCGGGACATCCGGGCGGAACGTGAGAGATGTCAGACGAAAGATGCTCCACTCTCCTGGCGTATGAGAGAATTAGGATCTCATCCGCCAAACCAGCGTGCTCATTCTCTTGCACCGTACGTAAAGCACACACGGAGGTAATATGCATCACGCTGCTACACACGAGCGGGTACCAGACTGCGACTGTCGCCTTTTCGCAACTGGCTGGAATCGGAAATGCCACAATGGGCCTAAACGTCCGGCCGCAGAGAGACGTGGTGATACGCGTACCAAAGGTCATACAGAAGCTGGATGCCACGGTCACGACAGCACGCGGCTCGGGGAACACAGCTGCCAAGGGCAAGGAGCGCACCATTGATTTTGACACGGCTTCTCTCGAGGGCATGGAGCGTGTTGCGGAAGAGACGCAAGGAGGGGAAGAAGAGGAACGATTACCAGTTGGAGACCGATCGCCTTTCAAGGCAGACTTATCGAGTTTGCCCAGTGATCCCAGGCAAGCGAGTGCTATAAAGTCGTACGCGTCTGCTGCTGAGTGGAACTCGCTTTTAATATGGGCTAGAGCAAACAGAGGCCCGCAGTGGGATGCTGCGACAGGCTTGTGGGTCTTTTAATCTTGCATCGGCTAGAGTTCGCGCAGACCTGACTGAACCGCATCCATTCGCTCCATGCAGGTGGCACGTGGACAAAGGCAGTCAAGCATACTACTCGTTCTGTTCGAATCCGCGCCAATCGGAGGAAGCAGCCCAAGTGCAGAGCGGCGCAGCAGACGATGACGAGGATGACGATGCTGGCCCCCGAAGGCGGGCGACGCAGCGGGTGCAGGATCGTGATAGTAGCCCAATCCTTGGGCCAGGCAATTCCGTCCGGTCTGCGCGCGGACGACGTGGCTGAAAGCGACATCGTTACAACAACGAGCAAAGAGCTAGAGTACAGAAATGTGCCAGAACCATTGCAAAGAAAACACAAAGTATGCTACATGATGCTGCAGCCAGGTGCATTATCAGCCTCCTCACCTGCAGCAAGAAGTACAGCCGCGAACCGACCCAGTCGAGAAGTAGAAGAGTCCTCATCGTCCATGTTTATGCCATTATCGCCAACTGCAGCGCGCGCACGGATACCACGCCTGGCCTTCCCCTTGCGAATTGCCTGCGCTCTCGCATCGACCGCTTGCCAGCCCCAGAAGCTCTTCAGCGTCACACGGCTGCTGTCATGCTCGTGCAAAATTTGGGGGCCCGAATGTGGCCGCATATGTGCTCCATCATCGTACGCAAAATGGCGGTAGGCGAAGCCGACTTTTCCCGCTCGCGGTCGGACAGTATTGGAGGAGGCAAGCTCGATAGCCGTTGCCTTTGCGAAGCTGCGACAGTCGATCAGGCTGAGATACGCGTTGCAAGCCTGGCGGGCACGCACGCGCTGCGTGAATACCCTGGCGACGTCATCATCAGCACGCGTGTCATCAGCCTGCAGATGGACAAGGGATGGCGCTTTCTGAATGAACTCGTAGAGTGCATCTGCTGTAATGTTGATCGCATGTGAGATGATGAGATGGGTAAGGTTACTCTCGCCTTGGGGCGTCGCAGACAGCAGCGCATCCAAGACGCCATCACTGAGCTCAGTCGCGCCTTCCAGATCGAGGCGCGTCAAATACGGCGTGGACCCGAGCAGCGCGATCAGACCCGGGTTCTTGAGCGTCGGACCAAGGCCAGCAGCTTGGAATGTTTCGAGACGGGGCACGGCACCGGCCAGCAGAGCGCAGGTGCGATCGGTGATGCGCCGACAACCGGAGATGGAAAGCGCGCGTAGCGATGTGATTCGGCGATAACCTTCGAGCTGCTTGAACGGATCTTGCAGAGTGCGCTGCGACGGAACAAGTGTGAAGATGGCTGGTGGCACTTCTGGCTCATTGGGCGGCGTTGAAGAGGTGAGAAATGCCATGAATGCATCGTCATCAAGATCCTTGCAGTAGCTCAGATCTAAGACTTCCAGATAAGGTGTGCTGACTTTAAGAGTCGCCATTAGATCCTTGTTGACCCCGCGCAAAGCCGCGAGTTTGAGAATCCGCAGAGAAGGGGCTGAGCCAAGCAGAGTGGCGACAGCAGCGCTGCTGATGCCAGACTTGCCGCTGAGATCGACAGATTCGAGCCTGGCCGCAACGTGCGAGAGAGCACGCACGATGCCATCGGTCATACTCGGCACATTGCGTGCTGCAAATGAGCGCAAAGACGGACAGCATAGCACCGCGCGTATGAGTGCGTCTTCTGATAGATCTTGGCAACGTGAAATGTCGATGCTTCGCAGCGACGAGCCTGCGATCATTCCGCCAGGCGATGAAGATGCAGTAAACAGCTCTGCGCCGACTGATGCTTTGACGATCGCCAATATTACTTGAGATGGCAGATTGCTCATTCCAGCAAGATCGACGTGTTGTACAAAGCTGCCGAAGGAGGAGGCAAGGCGCATCATGTCTACAAACTGCATGCCTTCGAAGGCCGTCAAGTCGAGGTTCCGCCACAATTGCCCATCGAGCACAAGCGAAGCCCAGCCTCGAGAAACGCACGCAAGTTTGACCATCTGTCGCAATGCCACATGGTGCGCTTCTCCGCGAACACCCTGCGAGCGTTCGGCAGCATCGTGTGCAATGAATGCGGCCAGCTTCTGAAAAATGTACAGCTTGAGCTCGCGGTTTAAGAGTCTGTCGAAGTAGTTGCGCTGCAGCGGGGCGGGTGACTGCGACCGCGAACTTGAATGGCCAGGCTCGAGGATCGATCCGGATGCCTGAGTAGCAGACGTTGACGCTGCCAGCGGAGAGACATGTGGTTGCTGCTGCAAAAGCACTGGTCGGCGAACATGAAGCGCGCTCGCCATTCCTGCTACTCTGTTTCCCGCAGAAGAATCTTGGTTCATGCCGCCTGCTCCCGTAGAATCAGCCTGTGTGAGTTCGCTCGCAGACAGGCCCTCCACAGCCGGTGTATGCGCCGCTGAGATTGGTGTCGAAGCAGCATTCGCGGAAAATGACGATGGAGCAACGAAGCTCGAAAGACGCGATGCTCGTGGCCGTGAGGCACTCAGCAACGACGAGGTAGAGGGACTACGAGTTCCATCACCTTCTCCGCTACCGGTAACAGCCTTACGTTTTCCCCTACGCGAGAACGTCAAGTTGATCACCGACGAAATCCTCGAAGTCGGCAGTGACGATTGATGTTGCTCGTGCTCAATGTAAGCTGCGCCGCTAAGGCCACCGAACGCTGATGGACTACCACTTGTTTGAGGCCGAGACGGTCGCCCGGCCACTTGACGACTGCTCCAAATCTCCGGTGCTGAATCTGAGCGCACGCGATGGTGGGCAGGCGGGGCCATGCGATCACCCCGGCCAGGAGCTTGGAATCCGTGTGCATTGCCACCGATGTCTTCCTCCCCCTCATCGCGGTTGGCTGGAATCAGCTGAGCATGATTATTAGTTCTAGCGAAGACGACAGATGCAAGTGGTTGCTGCTGTTGTTGCGGAGCATGGTCACCCCAGATGCTGTTGCTGCGTGAAGAGGTGGAAACAGTGCGGATGCGCTTGACCGACTTGCTGTTGACCAGACGCTGCATCAAAGCTTTGCCGAATGAATCCTTGCGCGTATGCATATGTATTCTCGTGCTGTGGGCAGCGCCAGGGCTGCTGGCGCCGCTCGCCGCCATGATGGATTGCCGGCGTTCGAACGGGGTCGTAGCAGCGGGGGAGATACCTGGAACAGACGGCGTGGGAGCTGCCGAGTGCCATGCTGGTGAGCTTTGGCCACGTGTGGGGAAGGCAAATGCATGTATGTCATCGCTTGTTTGCGCGGGCATTGCTTGAGACAGATCATGATTTGACGGTGACTGCAGACTAGGACGAGTTGTAAGGGTAGGTATATGCGCCGCCATGTCATCGTCAAAAGAATGCCGTGCCCGGGCCTGCGTCGGTGCTTGAGTTTGCGCTCGCTGTGACTGCAGCTTCTCTGCGGACTGGTCAAGGGCAGAGTGATGTTCCGAAATGCTGCGCATCATCGGGGTCATCGACGATAGCTTGGCAAATGACTCTGGAAGATAAGGCGACATTGCGCTGGAGGAGAAACTCATGGGAGCCGTAGACACATGGCTGCTACCGGCACTGCTGTTGCCTGATATTGACGCATTCCAGGGGAAGAAGCTGCCAAGCTCCGGGTCCCTGACAGGCGAAGTATTGCAACGGTGGATCTGAGGCCGCACACTAGTCCGCGAGGATACACCGTTTAAGGCACTGCTGGAGCCTGGAGGAATGTTCTGCGGATGCGCTGGGGCCGACCTTTGGTCGACATTGGCTGTCACCATGCTTCCAAAACTTTCAGATGTTGTTGAAACATTCATCTTGGTTCTGCGTGTTTTTCGGTTACTACCGCGCGGTAACCTGTTGTAGCTCTGATGGCAAACAGAAAGTATCAAGAGCATTCATGAGCAGTTAGCCTCTCTGCCTGCCACACCCGCGCTTCAGAAGCGGCCAAGGAAACAGATGCCTACACGAACCTGCTAACACCCTGGCGTTATAGGAGCTGCAGTGTTGCATGGTTCAAAGCGAGACGGCGAGGAGCTTCATAGCGTCCGCCACGCATGCGCAAATCATTAAGGCTCTCGCTTGAGTTGCTGCCCGCGGTGCCTCGGGAGTGCAAGGCGGGATCCTTACATGCCTTCAAAGCCTGAGCCGCACAAGTGCGTTGGCATGAACGACGATCCGTCTCCTAGCGGCGTAAAATGCATTCACCGGGTGTCCTGCGTCGATGCGGTCTACTCGCGCCGACGTTCTGACCTCCACTCATCATCATATGCACGAGATAACTGGCTTGTCGCGTCGGGACTCTGTTTGTGATGCCCGTGCGCATGGGCATGATGGCACATCTTGCAATAGCCCCGCATGGATCCAACGCATCGCTTTTTTGAGACTCGGAACTCGGAACTCGCCTTCAAGTCAAGTATTAAGGAGCGCTAGAGAGATGATCAACTGCATCTGCTAACATATCGCTCACAATTTCACAGCGCAGGCATTCAAACAAAAGCTTACACCGTCCTCAAATGACGGGAAGAACGCTGGGCTGGGACATCACAAGCGGAGATCCGGGAGCGCGAATTCAAAGAAATTGGACCATCGAGTGCATAAGAACACGCGCCGCGATAAGCCTTTCAGTGAAGCAGCGTCTCAAGCGCGCGAGGGCGGTTAGCAGGGCGAAGGAGACTGCGTCACTTGTAGCTCGTCGAAGACGGATGCAATGTCAAAGCAACAAGCGGCCTCTTCGACGGCCATCCCTGGTGCCGGAACTAATGGCAGGCCGGTAGTTTTCCTCGACATCTCCATTGGTGATATCCCGGCTGGTAGGGTCACCATCGAGCTCTTTAGCGATGTCGCTCCTAAGTCAGTCACAAGCTTCGGATGAACACGATGGTCGTGGCAGTTACGGTACACAAGGAGAAATGCTGGATGCTGATTTTATGTTCTTATCGTTTATACAGGACTTCAGAGAATTTCAGGCAACTCTGCACCGGTGAACACAGGTGCGCCCTCTCCATGGCAGAGGTTATTGCACGTCGCCTCATTGACACCGATCTTCACTCTACCATACAGAGTAAACCATAAGCCAATGGGTTACAAAGGTTCCGTGTTCCACAGAGTTATCAAGGATTTCATGGCACAAGGCGGAGACTTTATCAATGGCGATGGAACGGGTAGTTTCAGCATCTATGGTGAAAAATTTGACGACGAGAATTTCCAGGAGAAGCACACAGGGCCTGGCTTGCTTAGCATGGTGCGAAACTTTCAGGGAGCAATTCCTTATAGTTTTAAATCGACTTTACTAACACACGTACGCATATGTTTAGGCCAATTCTGGATCCAATACGAACGGTTGCCAATTCTTCATCACATGTGCGCCGTGCGATTTCTTGGATGGCAAACACACCGTTTTCGGGCGTGTAATCGACGGCATGCTCACCGTTCGCAAGATCGAGAATGTCTCGACTGGGCAAAATAATAGACCCAGGCAGGCGGTGCGCGTTACGGGTGCGTCGAATTAGCGCGGGTGCTTCCCAAAAGAAAATGTGACTTGTCTTTGCTGACTGCGTTGCCTGTCTTGATCCCCCCCCTAACATTTTGGATCGCACTTTGGTAGAGTGTGGTGAAATGTAACATATAGAAAATGAACAATAAGCGCAAAGCAATGAGGAAATTCGGGTAAAGAACCTTTCCACCCATGCGAGTCTAACTGGACTTGCGCTTCGTGAGATTTGGATACATGCAAGTGCATCGGTGTTTGTGTAAAGTGTGTACATGCTCTCGACGCGCGTTGGCTCAGCAATTCCCGCCACCGCTCCAGCTCTGGTGCTGCCACGATAAGCCTTGATCCCGGCTTCCATAGCTACTCCCGCTTTCATCCCACCCTTGCTGCCCTGAGCCAACCATGTCCATCCCCATCCCCATCCCCATTCCTGGCATAACCATACCCATGGACGTGTCCATCATCGATGACCCACCGCCCATCATCATTGCTACCGGGTAAAAATGGAGGTTGCCATCAGTATGACCGACGTTGCAGAGCGCTGGAAAAGGGGTTGCATCAGGTACGCACATAGCATCATCATCATTTCCGGCGCCGACGGGTAATACTAGGGTTGGAATCGCATAGTCAGCGAGATTAATGAGTGGCCTTCGCACAATACGAATGCTCTATCAACTCACCCCATATGTGTTCTGGTACATCTTCGCTAGCCGATCTAGACCCTCCGCGCTCGTCGGGTCAAAGTTGGTGGGATCAAAGCTGCTCAGGTCGCCCACTGATGGATCCGGCTTAGGCTGCGCACCGGCACTGCCGCTCGCGCCCCCACTCTCACTCGCGCTGGCAGAACCCTCAGCGGCGGATCCGCCGACCACGTAGTCGCTGTATCGCGGAGGAGTCCGTGCCTTCGGCGCACTGCTGTGAACTCCACGGTCTGCGGCCGACCCATGAGATGTCTGCCTCATTCTCGCGGCATCAGGGCTCGCACTGCGGCGACGGCTAGCACCACTCGAAGGATGATCACGAGGCTGTCGCGCTGCAATGTCCCGACCAAATTCATCAAATTGAAGCGCCCTTGATGGCCCACCATCATGTGCGCTAGGATAAGCATTTGCTCTCTCCCTCTCCTGTTTTGTGCCACTCCAGCCGTTACCGCCACCAGATGTAGGCACTTCTCTTTCCTGTCTGTTCGCGCCATTCGTATATCGCGCCTGACCTCTGCCACCACCACGTCCGAAGGATGTGTGCGCACCTCGCGCCGAGCCGAAGGAAGCGTCCCACGCGGAAGATGTCTGGCTCTTCGCAGGCCATCCGGCAGGGCCGCTGAAATCTCTGTGGTGACTATCGAAAGGCGCACCATGAGGCGCATCCCAAGCCTCCGCTCTTTGAGGGACGCTGGGTACATTCGGAAAGGAACGTGAAGATTCTGCCTCGTGGCCACTACCAGGTATTGAGGAACCTGCGGCGCTGTGAGCTGCTAGCTGTGGAGGTACAAAGGACGAAGCAGTGCTGGTAGCCGACGTCCTGTCAAGAGGACGCAGCAGACAATATTGTTCGTATTTGTGTCAGCCTCTCCTCATTCAAGATACCGTGCATAGCAAGGGCTCACGCAGCAGGTTGATTAATTAAGCTGGACAGCGAAGTCAGAAGATCCTGCGCTGATTGTGTGGGAGTGGTACTAGCAACCTCGGAACCTGTTTGCTGGCTGAGGCTCGGTGTTCCGAGAAGAGCTGCAAGACTTGCTGGCAGTCCGCCGGCCGCTGCAGCGCTCGATACTGGTGGTTGCTGTGGCGCTTCGGCGCTCTGGGCACCGGATACCACTTTGGTGGTAAAATGTGATCGATGTATGCGGTATGCACAGTAGGCGGAGACGGCAATGCGGATAGAGATGAGAAGAGATTTATTTCAGTTCGCGTCCTAAGCGTCACATGATCCGGCGAGTGGGTAAAAGCGGTGACTGCAAGAAGCGCATGAAACCACTTCCGAGGGCCCTGCCCAGCTGCCTGTCGCAGACGAGGAACATTATGAAAAGCATGCTGACCTTTTGGGCTGGTTGGTTCTTGAGCAACGAGATCCCGAATCACTTGAAGAATGTCATCAGAAAAAGTACTGGCTTTGGTCCAGATATCGACAACCTTCTTGACCTTTTCCTGAATGATCAACAATTGAAGACAGTGAGCACGGCACTCCTTCGAAGTCAACAGGGGACTTCTCACCAAGTGAGAGTCCGAGACTTGATTCAGAGTCGTGAGCGTCATCTCCGCTGCTATCCCTTCAAGATTCTGAAGGCATGCTCGTGCTGCGCTGGAGTTTGCACCAGATATCGATGCTTCACCCTTGGCAGCTTTGCGGACATAGTCGTGAGCTTGTCTTGCTATCGCGTCAAAGATGTAAAAGGACGAAAGGGCGGATTTTGGCGTCGCTCTGAGATGTGCTTTGAGGATAGCGCCGGTCATGGGAAGGGGATCCTGAGCAGAATCCACAAGCAAATGCAGCAAAAAAAGTCATCACGGCGTCGCACGAAGCATGAAGGCGGTCGCGAGAGGGGTACTTACATTGTAGCACGCCTCAGAAAGCTTCTTGGCCTTGTCCACGGCAGAGCTGGAGAGTTTGCCTGTGGTGTTGATGTCGTCGAAGATTTTGACGAGAGCCTGTTGGCCATCGTAGGCGCTCATCAGCCGCTGATTCCCATCCCGACCGCTCGCATGTCACGATACTCACGTTGAGCTCCGTCATGGCGGCTCCTGTTCCAACCTCCTTGCTGACAGCCACTTGAACTGCAGGTACTGTCCCTGCCAGGCCGATGCCAGAGCACTTGCGATGAATCTGCGGGGGTCAACGTCGATGTGCCAAGAGCCCAAAGCGCCGATAATGTGAGAAACAATGGAGATGCGCAAAATCGCCTGCTTGCATTCACTTTATTGTAATTCTTTTTCCTTGTCTCACCTTTTTACTCCCTCTCCTTTTGGTTTCCATGCGTGAGGAGACGCGTACTGTTGCGACGACACAATTTAAGAAGAGCTCGCGCTCTTTCACAGCATTCGCGCGCTTGCCGTCACTTCACATTTGCACACTCCACCCCGGCACGCTGAAAGCTGCGCCTATCGTCCATCGCACACTTCACGTTCGCGACATGGAAGGCGTCGATACGGCGCTGCCGTTTGAGGAGCGTAAAAAGTCCATGGACAAAAGTCAAGCCGGCAAGCATTCATTCATCGATCTGAGGTTCCCTGCCGCTCATGCCCCTTGCTGCTGTGCACTGACCACATTCCCCCTTTTCCAACTTGCGTTTGGGAACACACAGGTGCAGAATGCCCTTTAGGTTGGTTGCTTCGAATGCTGATGAGCTCAAGTGCTCGCTCACCTTCCGCTGCTACATGTGCATTCCCCAGTACCGGATTCTCAGCAGAGTCGGCCGTCTAACTGCCCTTCCCGCGCACCCACAGCACCCGCCCGTCTTCACTCTTCCAGTGCGCTTGATCGGAGAAATGCGTATGGCCACTCCATGTCTGCTAAAATTGCTGCTGCACCGAACAGATGCTAACAATGGTGGCCCCAAACGCCGGCTTACTGCCGATGAAAAGGTTTTCTGGTCCGCTGGCACTCTGGACCAGAATCTTCCGTATGCTAGGTCCCTGTCGGCTTCTTCGACCAGAAGCGAAGCCTGCTCCCTTTTCTCTCGCTCGATGCCTGTGCCTGGTATGAATCTGCGACCAGCGCTTTGAATGAAGCTCTATCTGACAGGTTTCCCACACTGCTCAGCCTCCCCTACGCCTCCTGGAAATCAGCTCGCAAACAGCCAGACAGCTTTCTGTGTGGACCGCATTGAGCCGGTAGATGGTGCGACTATGCAGGTTGCAGCCTTGCGCTCTCGCGCAGCAGCTATCATCCAAGAAGCCACGAGCTTTCATATGGACTGCCTCGCGCTGCTCGCCCGTTTATCAGAGAGAAACGCCTGGCTCGAGGCGCGCAATGCAGAGCTTCAAACGACAAATGCCTTTGAAGCCCAAGCGAAATCACAGCAACAACAAAGCCAAATCCTTTAGAGTGCAATCTACGTAACCTGAAGAGGTACAGAGTTACTCTGCATGGATTTAGTGGGCCTTGCCGTTGACGGTGCCGTTCGAAAGAACATGATGGGGCTTGGGCTCCGACTCGACACGAATGAACAGCTTTGCATCTTTTCCCCCTCCCTCCCATCTTGCGCTGACTTTCCGCAAGTCTTCTACCACAAAATCAGCGCCATTCGCCCATTGCTTGGCGCCGTCATGTGTGGTCCGCAGGCCAATGACATGGGCGCCGGCGCGTTTGCCTGACACGACACCAGGCGGTGCATCCTCGACAACAATGCATCTTTTGGGGTTTGACCCTGTCAGCTCTGCCCCTCGCAGATATGGTTCTGGGTCCGGCTTGCCCTTTGACACAATATCTGCCGTCACGAACACTTCGGGCGGTGCGCTAGCCACCCCGGAAGCAGCAAATCCCTTTGATGCGTATGCTTTCGTCGCTGCAGGTGGCGTGAAACTTTCAGTCTTGACGCTGCTTGTCCTTTAGTTTCACTTCAAAACTTACCCGAAGTGACAATAGCCCAACCTGCTCGTCGTTCTGGATCTTTTTCACGGCCGGCGTTGATCTAAATGCCAAGTCCACGTCCATTAGAAGATTTTCAAAGAACGAGATGGATACTGTGCGCACCTGTGCGAGGAGTTCACGGGCACCAGGCAGTGAAATAATTTGCCCCGGACCGTTCGTCTGCTTTGCTTCGGCTGCCAGCTCTGCGATTCGGCCTTCGAATGCTTTCGTGCCGTCCGCTAGTTGATCCTCTGAAAGGCCGACTAAGTTGCGCAAGTTCTCGACGGTACGGCAGCCATGCGCTCGTGACATCTGTATAATCGTGAGGGTGAGCCTTCCAGTCTATTGAACCGAATACAAAGAACAATTCTCACCACGTAGTCAAAGTCAAGGTTGTACTTGTCGATCCACTGGCCAAGCATCAGTGGTCAATATCTACGGGTTGCGTTTGCTACAATGGAAGATGACGGTGTGCTACTTACTTCCTTCCATGTTCTGCAGCGGAAAATGGTCCATATGTGTATGAGCACGGTGTCGTATTCATCGGAGAGGCGCATAAGCACAATTCACTTACTGGTTCACAGCCGGACTGTACTCGTTTAAACGCAACGATCGTCGTCAGCTCGAACCTCGTTTCGACGCAGAACACAATACGTACGTGGAGTCGACTGCAGATCCGATGCAAATGCCGTTAGTTAGTTGGTCTTTTCCAGTCACATTGCACATCAAGCCACGTACTTAGCGTGCCGTCCATGTCGAACAAAACAGCGTCAACCTCGAGTTCTGTCGCCATGATGACGATGTTCAGATATTGGCACCGGAAGGACAGGCTTCGGAGACAATCAAGAACGAGGAAAAAATGGGCAGGACCTGCACGCTATTGATGGTGAAGGTTTGCAATCTTCTGTGGGTTGTGTTGCAGGATAGAGCTTTCCAAAATTCTCGACTGCAAGCTTGAAGACCCAAACAAAGTATGGATAACAGGTATGGTGTTATATCAATGGAGGAATGGGAATCGTGATGTGCGCACGTTTCTTTTCGACAAGAGATGCCCGGTACAACTTAACACAAGCGCGATTCATAATCGGTGCAAAAAGGCCCAAACCAACTTTGCTGGCTATTGCTCACAGAATCATGCCCATCATCCTCAGGCCTCTGATCAAACTCTCGACTCTCAAGAGGTCGGAAGGCTAACAGCAGCCTTGCGTCCATTCACGCTCGCCATGAGCAGCTAATCCCATTCGTGCAAAGTAGTAGTACAATAATAAGTTTTGAGAAAATGATGCAGATAGGTCGAAAGGATGTAAAAGGGAAATTAATTTCGAACTGAAGCGATCGGAGGGTAATTCGGACCTCGATCCAGATCGGGACTGCCGTACATTCGGGGCGCCTGTTGCTGCTGCTGGTGTTGCTGCGACTGTGGCTGTGGCTGGTGCGACTGGAGCGGTTGCTGGTGTTGCTGCGACTGTGGCTGTGGCTGGTGCGACTGGAGCAGCTGCTGGTGTTGCTGCGACTGCGACTGTGGCTGTGGCTGGTGCGACTGGAGCGGCTGTTGATGAGGGTGTGTATGAGGGTATTGCTGAGGCTGCATTCCACCGGAACCAAAGGGCTGGGGACCTGGCCGCATGAACGGCTGCTTGCTACCATTGTACTCGGCTCGTAGTCGATTTCCAGATGCTTTCTGCTGCAATGCATGCTTCTCGCATCGTTTGAGAATGTCCCGCGAAGTCATGTCTGACGACTGATGCATCAGCTCGCGGTCTTGCAGGACGACCTCGAGCTCTCGTGGCACCTGTCGGATAGCAGCAGGAGTCGCAGCATATATGAGTACAACTCTAGAAACGGCATCGAATCCAGACATGCCGCAACAACTCACTGTCCAGAAGCTGTCCTGATTCTCAAGAATGTTGAGGACTGCGCGGTTAGCGAGGAATGTCTCGTCTTTCGCTGGATTTGGGCCCTTCGAGTAGAGAATATTCGGTGCCAGCACCGTGGCCAAATTGGACAAGTCCATCTTGCTACCCGTCTCCTCGTCGATGTGCGAGAAAGACGCGACCCACTTGAGGAAGACAAACAAAATCTCCATCGTGTCGCGGTGCGCCTTGGGCAACAAGCAGGTGACCATGTGAAGAATACGCATGCGTTCCGACTCGGGCTCGAGCACTGCCGCACGCAAAGGAGAAGATACACAAGGCAGACCTGTCAGTATGTGTCAACAGTGGAGTAGGCGAACACAGCTCACTTTGTGAGGTGACGAATAGGCGGTGTAGTTTGAAGGTCATCAGAGGGTCGGGCAATTCACGAAGGAACTTCTTGAGGAGAGCTGCTAGTTGCACAGGATTGTCCTCGGACAAATTGACCTGTGAGCTGTCCCTGTCCAACGCCTCCGTCAGGTCCTTCAGTCGTCGAATATTGCCATTTTTCCTAAAGATGCCTTCGACTGAAACGTCTAGATGAGGGAAATGGATGGAACAATGTCAGCATGTAGAGTCAAGCACACTCCTTTTTGTCGAAAAGGCTTTGTGAGACGCACCCATTTGCTTCATGGTGGAGATGATGTCATCCACAAAAGACGGCACTCGGAGGTGGCTAGTACTAGCGCCTAGCGTGGAGTCGGCTCCACTGCGCTCGACGAGGATTTCCAGCGGGATGCCAAAAACGCCCTTCTTCTTGATCTCCTTCTTGTCCTTGCCGCCCTTGAAAAGCTTTCCCCAGAAGGTGTTCTTGCGCGTCTCAATGAACTCAATCAGGTCGTCGAGAGGAACGAGGTCCTTAAGCGCTGACTGTTGCAGAACCATGACAGCTATGTGCTTGACGATGAACAGTTCGAGGGCGGAGAGCTCGGCAAACGGCCTGCCATGATCGCTGGGGAGAGCACGATGCTGTTCGCGCGCCTGCTCGGCCTCGAGCAGCTGGGGGATATCCGCAAGCGTGATGCCATCTTCGCCCGTTCCGAGCCGGCGGCGCGGTATGTCGTCGCCCGAAACCTGGCGGATAGGCCCATCGTCGCGGATGCGCACGTCGGTGTTGTGGCGCGCAAACGCAGGTCGAATGGGGATGATTGACCCAAGTGCCTGGCCGCCACTGGCACCTCCCTTTTGCGGCGAGGGTCCGCGGGTGAAGCCAAGCTGGCTCGGGTCGTTATTCGGGTTGGGCGACACGTCGCGCGAAGAGAGCCGATGCGGTGCCACAGGAGGCCGTGGTGCCTCTCTGCCTTCGTATGAAGGGTCAGCTGCGCGCTGGGGCGATGGGCTGCGGTGAAAAGCGGCCTTGGGGATGCTGCTGCTAGTGTTGCTGCCGGGCTGCGAATTTTCAATGGGCGACATGGCCTGCGTGGCAGGCTGCCGGCCGGACGGGCTGCCAACGACGGTGGAGATGTGAGGCAGCTTCGCCTTCGTCGACAGTTTCCGATCGAGATTGACGGAGCGCATGCGCTTGATGTCCGATGAATCCCGCAGATCTTCGTCCGACGCGAGCTGCGCCGAATCAGTAATGGGCGGAGAGGGCGGCACAACGCCGCGCTTCTTGAGCAACGCATAGAGGCGGTTCAGAGCAACGCGTAGCAGGAAAGCGTATTGCTCCAGGCGCGTGACCGTCTCGATGCCGCGTCGTGCATCAGCTGGCGCGCAATGCAGGCAGTACGGTGTATGAGTCGTGCTGGGACGGGTGGCGCCGCCGGGCACAGTCGGGTCGTACGGCGTGCGCACCGAGTCAACGGTGAAATCCGACGGCGGCAAGGCAGGAGGGGCGCCCTCGATCGTCTGCGTCGAGGCGTTCTCCGGCGCCGTGCCGTTGAGGCTGCTGCTCGCGACGATCTTCTTTGGCGCCCAGCTGGTCGTTGGGCGTTGGCACTGCTTGCAGCGGAAGCAGCTCGAGTGCCAGCGCGAGTTGATGCCTAAGCGCAAACACTCCTCTTCGACCGTCTGGCCGCAGCCGATGCAGAGATCCGTGGCGACATCGCCACTCTCTGCCAAACGCGTGCTCATCGTCGTGCTCCGCGGGAGGCTGTGGTATCCATACGAGCCGATGAGGCCGCTGCCTCCGCTTGCTGCTGTAGCAGCTGCTTCTGCACCACCCTCAAGCTCTTGGTTCTTGATGAGCGCAACACCCTCTGCGCTCGCTGGGGATTCGCGGCTTCCCTCCTTGGCGAGTGTGGCGAGCTGGTCGAGGAAGGCGATGATGGCGGACGCGTTGCTGTGCTCGCGATCGAGCTTGAGCGCGCCAGACAGCGTGATGCGGATGAGAATCTTAAGGTAGTGCGCCATACCTGTGACAAGTGAGAGGAGCTCCTGCGTGATGCCCATCCTGCGCGCGCCGGTCTCCTGCGTGTGCGAGAGTAAGGAGAAGAAGTTGACGATTTTCTTGCAGAGCATGCGCGCTTCGCGGATGTGTGAGATCCCCTTGACATGAGCACGACGGAACTCGGCCTCCAGTGCATCGATCGCGGAGAAAAGGACTTCGACGTGGAGAATGAACTTTTCGGCCATCTTGACGCCGCCGAGGTAGCGACCGCTGCTGACGTCGCGCAGCATCTCGGAGATGCACGCGGCGCTGCTCTCCTCGAAGGCGGAGAGGACAGTCCAGATGCGGTAGACGCGCTCCTCCATCAGCTTCTGCTTCTGCTTTAACGTCACGGGCGTCTCCTTCTCCTCCAGCTCCAGTGCCTCGGCGGACGGCGTGGCATCGGCCGACGCTGACGTCGTCGGTGCCATGCCCGAATTGGACGGATTCGGCGTAGACGGATTCGCCGTCGGCTCCATTTGGATGTTTCCTTCTCGTGGGGTCATGCCAGTGGGGCATAGCTTGATGTTCCAGAACTGTAGAAGCAAGAGTTTGACCGGCGCGTTAGCAGCGCACGCGGGAAATCTTGCCACTTCATCCTTCTCTGAACGTACCTTGTGGATCATGTAACACTCCGGATGCCAATGCTCGTCGACATTGTTCCGATTGATTTCGACGAACTGCTTGAGAATAGCTGTCCTGCAGCCGGTGCAAGGGATGGCGAAGCGTGTCGAGTAGTGGAAGTGGCAGAAGACCTTGCCGTCGTGCTCGTAGTAGCTGTCCTGCGGCCCAAATACAGTCGGGCAGATGGAGCACGTGAAGTGCTCCACATGGAACTTCATGCCCAGCGCGGTGATGTAGCTGCCGCGCAGCGCGCCGCCGCACTTGGCGCACAACAGGTTAAGGCGCCGGAAGTAGTCCGTCTCGCATAGCGCAAAGAGTAACCCATTCTGCTCGCCGCTTGCGTCGATCATGTCGTCGGTCGCGGGGAAGAACTTACTCGCTACGACTTTCCCGCAGTCCTGATGCATTGAGTGGGCAGGAAGGGCAAGTGACGTCAATGGCCTGAGAGGGGACGGAAGGAGGGTGAGACAGGGGAAGTGGATGACTCACGCGGCACTTGAAGCAATCCAAGTGGTACACTGTTCCAAGCGCACGCACGAACTGTCCGCTCATCGGTTTCCCACATGCAGCACACGCCTGATCTCGTCGGCGTTCCTTCGTGGCTCCGCCAGCAGCCCCAGTGCACCTGACTTTCGAACCTCCATCCTGCGCAATTGCTTGGCTGCCGCTGCTGCTTGGGCCTACAGACTGATTTTCTGGTGTCGGCGCGAGGTGCAACGAATTAGCGAGCAAAGCAGCCGGATCGCGTCTGCCTGGATCTTCCGAAGTACGCGGCGAGGCAATCTGTTGCTGGAAGGAGAACGATGGATCGTCCATGTTTCCGGTGACGGCAAAGGCGCTGCTTCGTCGAGCAGGTGATCGTGTCGGCAGCGGCGGGCCACCGCCGGATGGTGCTACTGCTGCTGATGATGATGATGACGAGGACGAGCCTTGCTGCTGTTGTAGATCAGCACGCGACGTCCCCGTCCGATACCCATTCCAGCCTGCTGCGACCGCATCGCCATCCGCGCCTGCGGCAGGGCCTGCTGTCGGCCCCGAAGATCCTACCGCTCTTCCTGAGTCAGCGGCACCGCCTTGTACCTGCGCGCTACCCGCCAACGCCTGTATCTGCGCGTCGGAGCGTGGGACGTGCTCTCCACGGTAGCCAACCTGGAGCGGTGTGCCTGCCGATGACTGAGGCGAGGAGGAGGTGGGAGAAGCGTTGAAGGAGGAGGATGGACGCAAGCCCTGCCCTTGACCCTGCTGGCCTTGGCCGGGGTCGATGGATGCTCGGCGAGATGACATTGTGGAGGGGGCACCTGCTGGATGCTCTTGCGAAGAGGGATGAATGGCTGTGTGACGCCCTGTCGCACTGGAAAGGTGTGATTGGCTCTTTGAACTAGGTAAAGCGCCTCTATAGTCAACTGCTGCGGATGTTTGAAGTGTGTGACTCGTTTGTACTTGCTGCTGCAGCTGCGACTGATGGTGATGCTGGAGAAAGTCGCGGTTATAAAGGGCGTCATGCGACGATGACATGACACGACTAATTATTTCAGAGCTGCAGAGACGCCAACGATGGTCTCTGTACCCGGGAGGCCCCACCGTTGATAAGGTAGGTACCAGACACAGTCAGCCTCGTAGCTGGAGGGCTGACGAGGATGACAAGCAGAGCAAACCCTCCTTTCCGCCCTGCTACGCTGGATTTCCCTCCGGTTGCGGAGGCCCGATGGCACCCGAAGGATGATGACACTGTGTCGGGCCAATCGCCAACAAAGGTGGGAGAGAAGAGGGGAGGGGGCCGAGTGCGAAGCGGCCCGCTCGCTCCTCTTACAAGGGGAATGCGAAGAGCAGGTGGTGGTGATCAGGTTACCACTTAGGGCTGATGTTTCAAAGGCTGAAGATAGTGGTGGGGCACAGCTTCGGCAAAGCGATGGCTTCGGTGCCCGGTCTGCAAATAAGGCTGGGGTGGCCGAGCGAGGGGTGTTGAAGTTGTGTCGCCTATGGCCATAAAGCAGCCAGGTGGCTGGCCAGATGGATGGAAATGGCGAGTGGAGGCAAAACAATCGCGGAGGCACACTATGGTAGGGCGTAGGCCTTATTTGCCTGCCTGCTCATATGGGTGGATTGGCGGAGGAGTGTGTGAACGCAGGATGAGTGAGGAGGGCGGAGGAGCTGGAGGAGCGGGGGGCGAGCGACGGCCTCCCTCTCTCTCTCTTCACTCGACTCTTCGACGCTGCCCCAGCCACTTGATTCGATCAACCAACCGCGCACAATACGGGGGGAGGGGGTAAGTAGGAGGCGACGAAGATCCTTCTCCTTTGATATCGATACGCCGCAGGGAAGGCGGCCGACGTGGTGAAGTGCTTGAGGTCCGATGCGGTTTGTGTACGGTCCATGCACATACGACAACTGGCGTTGCTGCTGCATGCACTATGTAGACAAGTCACCGTAAATACACGCAAGCACTTCCTCTGACACGATGATCATCACCCACAGCGGCCAGGCGCGGGGAGGGCGGCGGGTAACAAAACTGCTGCAGTGCAGGTATGGAGGAAGGTGCGAGAAGCGCGCGCATGCTCCGCCGGGCTGAACACTAGACTGCTGCAGTGGCGTGACAACCGGGCATGCCACAGTGAGCTGAACGGTTGCAAGACTGCTGTGGTGGCGTGGTGCATGGGCGTGCTGGGTTGCCCCATCTCCAACCGCACCACCAACGCATACAACACAACACCACACCAACAAAACCAAGCAACCAGGCCACAAAATATACATGCGTAGTTGTCCGGCGTACAATGCATGTCGTACGCACTCATAAATGTATAGAAAGAAATGCATGACAAATAGTGGCCGGGCATGGCAGCGAGCGCATTGTGCGGCCTATTGCAGTTGAAGTGGCCTCGCGAGCGGGAGAACGGAGAGGTCTGACGGAGAGTTGTTCGTTGTACCTAATGCGACCTTCGGCGCTCACAGAAGACCAATCCTCAGAGGTACATAGGCACTCTATAAAGGTAGCAGTAATGGCTGAATTCATTCTAGTCTGAGGAGCATACGCGCGCATATACCGCAGTCGAGCCTGATTGATTAGAGGTGAGGGAGATGAGACACTGGTTGATATGCCGTTAGGCCTCATGCCGCCGCGGGGTTGAATGCATCGTCACGTGAGCCTTTCGGTCCTTCACAGCAACCAAGTGACTAATCGATGCAGTGCTTCCTTGTTGCTTGCTGCCAGGGTCGCGCGCGCGTCCCCTTTTTTGCGGAGCCGGCCGTAGGATCGGCTCGCTGGCTGCGAAAAGGCAAAGTTACCAGAATTAACGAACAAAGTGGGTTGAATGGTGAATTATAGTCGGTATGTCCCGCACTGTTATTTTATATTTCGGCAGGGTTTTCTCACGCGCCTCTCGCTGTGAACCTGATCGATCGATAATCGGTCGGCTTCTTTCCTTCACAGTCGCGGTCGCGTCGATTGGATGATTGATTGATGGATGATATCGATTTGCTCTTTTGTGCACTTGCATACTCCTTCTTGCTCTCCATGCTCACATATCCTTGAGAGGCACAGACAGAGATCATTTCCCCCAGTTTGAAGACGAAGGTGCACAGCGAAGCGGTCGAAAAGCGTGCACAGGGCGGGTTACCCAGGGGAACGAAAGAACGGAAGGTGCAGCTAGGAGCAACGCGCACAAAGCCACTTTGCGTCTCCCTCGCAAGTCGCCAGCAGCTATGTCGCACTTCCAGTCTCCGGGTACACAAGCCGGCGCAGGTCCAGGTGGAACTCCTGTTGCCTACAATCCATACCTTCGCCAAGCGGGACCAGTACCAGGCATGAGCGATGGACCTGGCACGCCGTACAGCGTCGCGTCGCCGCCCATCGTGCCTTCGATGATGCGACCCAGACCCAAAGATGGCAGCGAGTGTGAGTCGAGTGTTGTCCCTTCCTCTGTTCCCAGTCCCAGCAATTTCCACGGCCGCTCCTGGAAGGTTGAGCAGCACAGTGCTAAGCGTATCCTACCCTACTGCGGCAACCCGATGAAAATAGTATGCTACCTCGACCGCGGGCCTTCCAACCGCTTGACCCTTTCCCTTAAGTCCGGAATCGGCTCGCAGGTGGACTGGGCGCTGAACCGTCTGATCAACGTATCTTTCGAGTACCCCGACTCGATCGCGCTTGAGCAGTTCCCAGGACTGGCAGATGCACTGGTCCAGCTGCCGCGCCGCGTCTGCCACGCCATGCATGGCGAACCAGCGCACATGTGGGACCCGCGTTTCTTCGAGCAGTCCCACTATGATGCGCTGCTCAGCTTCGACGGAGGGCGTCACCTTCAGCAGCAGCAGCCTCCACGCAAGCGCGCCCGCATGCAGCATCTGCAGGGCACGGAGACGGGAGGGAGGCTCAGCAGCCTCGTCTCGCTCGCAGGCACGACAGGCGACGCGATCGACGAAGTACCGCCTTCGCTGTCCGCATTCGACCCAGCGCACGACCCTGAGCATGCAGCGCTGATGCGGCGCGCAGTCGAAGCTGCGCTCATTTTGCGTAACCTGAACGTCTCCAAGGATCTATGGGAGCGCAACTCGCGTAGCCTGCTTGCCGTCAAGGGATTCGCGACCCTCATCAAGGACATTCTCGAGCTTCCAGACATCATCCTCACTGTTCCATCATCGAGCGTTCCGAGCGCCGGGAAGAGAGTGCAAGTGAAAGTGGGCGCACTGCAAGAGGAGCTGGAAGGGTGGCTGGAGCTGGAAGGGATCAACGAGCTGAGACTCTACTTTCTCGACCTATTGGAGTGCATCGCGTCCAAAATCATTGTCACGCGTCGTGCGCCATTTGAAGTCTCCGCTTCTGGAGAGCTCATCGATCTTGCCGGCACCGAGGCCTATTCGGACACACAGCCGAATGGGCGGCCCGCCAAGCCGGGCAATGGCATCTTCCTGCGTCTGTTGCACTTTGCGAACCACTCACGCGATCGTGCGCTGCTTCTCGGCTCGTTGCGCTGCCTTGGAGTGATCGCAGCGAACGAGCGCAACGAAGCTGCCTTCGTCGAGCTCGAGACAACCGAGGGTAACCTGTCGCCTGGCCTGCTGAGACGATGCGTGGAGCTGCTGTGCGTAACGTACGACAACGATCTGCTCGAAGCGGCATTAGAGCTGCTCTATCAGCTCGTAAGCGTCGGCAACAACGGCCTCCGACTCGCTTGTCGCTCCATCACCAACGTCACCACGGCAGCAATCGATGCCGCACGCATGTCGGCTTCTGCAATGACGTCTGCTTCCACGTCGGCATCTGCTATGCCGGCAACGGGCGCTACCGGGACCAACGCCACCAGCAACCATGCATCCACCGCATCCGGCGTCTCGGCCATCGTGCGCCTACTCGTGCGCGACCTGTCGATCAATAAGACCGTCTGGGAGCGCGACCATGCACTGGCATCCAACTCGCAGGCATGGGCACGCGAAGTACCAAGCCGGCTGCGTGCCGACGCGCTGGCCAAGATCGCAGCCGCCGAGCAGAGGCACCGCGCCAAGGCGCGTAGGAGCAGACTCACCGCCGAGGAGAGCATCGCGGAAAAGAGGCTTACGGCGAGAGAGAGGCAGCGATTGATGGGCATGAAGGAGCCGGAGAGGAGTGTGGAGTGGTGAGTGTATGCCGACTATCGCTTCGGGATTATGCGTATTACTACATGCACATTTCACTGATCTTTGGGCGCGCTTTCCTCCAGGATGAAGATGGTTTTCGAAGCCGAAGATGGGGGTGAAGTCACGCAGATCGAATTCTGGAACGCTTACAAGGAGGAGATGGCGACGCTCATCGAGCTCGGCGAGGTGCCCATGCAGCCGGCGGGGGACCTGATCCGGCAAGTCTCGCAAGTCTTCCCGAAGTCGCAAGCGATGGTCCTGCCGCCCGTCGGCGGCATGTCACAGCGTTTCGTCATACGAGGTGTCGAGGTGCGCGATCGCAGCAGACGCACGGAGACCAACTGCAAGTGGACCACATGCCGCGCACCAGAGACGACGAGCATCGCCGCGGCGAACGCGCATGCGGTTGCGCATGCCAAGCTCGCGACCGACGGCCGGTGTCGCTGGTTGAGTTGCACGCACGTCGAGTCGCGGCGCACGATTGGGACGGGGGCAGAGCAGCAGCAGCAGCGTCGGGCGCTTGTCGAGCATGTGCAGACGCACCTCCGGACGCCGCCGCCCAAAGAAGATGTAAACGAGAGCGAAAGTGCCCCTCGACAACAGAAACGACGCCTGCCCCCAGCGCACGAAGTGGTGGCTCACGATGACGACGGCGTCCCCGTACTGGATGCGCCGCTGACGCTACCTCGCCCAGCGCGAAGCGGCATCGAAGTCGAAGCGGTGGTGATGCGCAACGGAGCACGTGTGCTACGCGGCAAAGACGGCGCGCTGGACATGGCCGGCGCGCACGTACGGCCGATCGCGAACCTCCGCCCTGTGCAGCCGGATCGACGCACGCTGGACGAGCCCGGCGTGCTCACATTTACTGTCGCACGAACACCTATGGACCCTCAGGCCGCCGCTGTCGGCACAGGAAGCGCGGCAGCGGCTGCGCTCGTGCTGCGCTCATTGGCACGCACCGCTGCCACGACGCTCGATCGCGCGGGCGTGCGGTCGAGCAAGGGCAATAGCATTAATGGCAGCGAGGATGGCAAGGGCGACGCCAGCGGTGAAGAAGGGGACCCCAGTCAGAAAGACGGCGCCAGAGGCGCGGGTGATGAGCGCTTCGGTTTGCCTATTCCGCCGACGGACGCCGAGGTCGGCAATCAGGCTGCCGCGGCCGGTTCCGCTGAGGCAAGCATGCAGCGGCGCGAGAATGGGGTGGCAGCGGGAGGCGTAGCGGCTGACAACAGGGGACCCGGCGACGGCGCAGGTGAGCGGCACGCGGCGAAAAGCGCAGCTGCTTCCACTGAAGATCATTCTGGCGCAGGCGAAGGCTCGGGCACCGGCATGATGGTCGGCGTGGGCGGCGCAGAGAGCAGGATCGGGCCCGTGGAGGACTGGGCGGTGCAAGCTGCGCTGCGGCTGATCGACGCACTGGTCGCCGTCGAGGACGATCTGGTGTTTAGCTCGGCGGAGAACGATGTGCTGTGCAAGACGATCAACGACACATTGCTCGAACTGCGGCCCGAGCGCGTGCCGAGCGTTCTTTCGCGGCCGTCGATGCAAGAGGATCAGCAGCAGCACGATGGTCAACTCGGTCAGCAGGGTGGTGCTCAGCAGATGGAGATTGATCCAGCGATGTAGAGTAGCAGAAGCATTTCTACTCCATTCCCGCTTATCATTCGATAAGAAAGGGGACGACAAGCTTGGCATTGTGGAAACACCTAGAGGCATGTACCAATCATTTGATCAAGGGCGTGCTTACACTGTGCTCTGCTCTGCCACGCCAGCGTCGCTATACAAAGAAATCTCCTGCGACAACAAGACCTCTCTCCACTCGAGGGTCCTTGGCCATACTCTGATTTGCTACTTGGTTGCATTCCACGGCGTGTGCTGCATGCATGCACCCAGGATCCAGGAGCATTGTTCGAAAGAGAAGGACGAGTTGCCCTTGCGTGTTCTCTTTGTATGTAGTAGAACGACGAAAGCGCAAAGGTGAAGCAACGGTAACAACCCTAAAACGACCAAGCGGTGAACCCACGGCATGGAGGACAGCGAGAGGAGACAAGAGTCGCGCGCTATATCTCTCTCTCTCCCATAACCCTAACCTTCCAACCTTTTTTTTATCTCACCAAACGAAATTTCTCGCCAGGCCAACGTCCCGACCAGAGATCCAAGTATGGTTCCGCCCTCCTAGACCCACTTTGCCTAGACTATGGGTGCGATGCGCCAGCCGGGCACAATGCCAGTGTCGGACTCGATCACATCACTCGTCAGTCAGGAAGGACTAACCAACACATCGAACCATTTGATTCCGACACATCTTCTCTTACCACAAGTCACCCCGTCCTTCGCACCCTGTCGCGTCCCCCCGTCACCCTCTTGGCCACCATCTACCTTCGTTTCTCCTTTCCCTTGCCTATCTTGAATCACCAGGTCGCTGCTGCTTTCTGCTGCATTCCCATAGCGGCTCTTTCTCTCTCGCTCGCCTCTGCTCGTGACGAACACTTTGCCGACCGCACGCACACTCGCCACTCCCTTTGCAACCATGTCGACCCAACAACGACCAGCCAACGTCGGCATTAAGGCCATGGAAGTTTACTTCCCCAAACGTGTCAGTCGTACCCTCGCGCTCGCAAGCAAGCACCTGACTCCCCTGCTGAACCATTCCATTTCTGTTTCTCCTGCTCCTGCTTCTTGTTGACATTGGGATGATAGTGCATCTCGGAAGATGAGCTCGAAGACTTTGACGGCGCACCCAAGGGAAAGTACACCATCGGCTTTGGTCAGAAGTACATGGCCTGCACCGACGACCGCGAAGACATCAACTCTTTCCTCTTGACAGGTGCGTTTCCGTCGAGCCTTTCGCGCGCCTGGCATGCTGGAAAGCTTGACCTTATCTTACCCTCCTCCTTCTACCATTTTCAGTGGTCGCAAACCTGATGGAAAAATACGACATTGACCCTAAGTCGATCGGCCGCCTTGACGTGGGCACCGAGACGATCATCGACAAGTCAAAATCCGTCAAGACAGTCCTGATGGACCTCTTTGCCCCGCATGGCAACACGGACATCGAAGGTCTGGACAGCAAGAACGCCTGCTACGGCGGCACCGCCGCCCTTTTCAATGCCGTTAACTGGGTCGAGTCGTCCAGCTGGGACGGGCGCGATGCGATCGTTGTCATGGGCGATATTGCCATCTACGCTGAAGGCAGCGCACGGCCCGTCGGCGGCGCGGGCGCCGTCGCGCTGCTCATCGGCCCGGACGCACCGATCGTCATGGAGCCGGTGCACGGCACGCACATGGTCAACACGTGGGACTTCTACAAGCCCAACCTCTCCTCCGAGTACCCCGAGGTCGACGGCCCAGAGACTCTGCAGACCTACTTGGGATGCCTCGACAAGGCCTACGACGCCTACCGCGCCAAGGCCGCCAAGGCGAAGTTGGCCGCCGCCGGTCTTACCAACGGCCACGCAACCGCAGCCCCCACATCCCAGGTCAAGGTGGACGACTTTGACTACACGATCTTCCACTCTCCGTACAGCAAGCTGGTGCAGAAGGGGTACGGGCGTCTGCACTACAACGACTACCTGTCCGACCCGGAGAACGAAAAGTTCGCGTCGATCCCGCCAACCTTCAAGGACCTGGACCGCAAGTCGACGATCACCAACAAGGAGGTGGAGAAGGCGTTTGGCGCATATGCCAAAGCGTCGCTCGACGCCAAGCTCGAGCCGTCGATGGACACGGTCCGCCGCTGCGGTAACATGTACACGGCCTCGCTGTACGGCGGCCTGCTGTCGCTGCTGAACAACATTCCCAGCGCACAGCTGCAGGGCAAGCGCATCCTGCTGTACAGCTTTGGCTCGGGCTCCGCCGCATCGTTCTTTTCGCTCGCCGTGCGCGGCGACGTGGCGCACATTGCGCAGAAGAGCGCGCTGCAGCAGCGCCTCACGAGCATGCAGGTCGTCCCGTGCGAGCAGTATGTCGAGTGCCTCAAGACGCGCGAGGCGACGCACAACGCCGTCAACTACGACCCGCAGGGCTCGCTCGACAACCTCTGGCCCGGATCGTTCTATCTCGACAAGGTCGACCACATGTACCGCCGCACGTACAAAAGGACGCCCAAGGCTTGAGAAAGTGAGGGCTGGGCAGCGCATGCCCCCACCTCGCCCCCGCCTTTTACTGCTTTCTATTATCATTGGTGTTACACGTAGACTGGCTGGCTAGCTGACTTGCTTGTTGCGCGATCTATTGGGAGAAATGATATCTATCATTTTATGTGTGCATCGACCAGACTGCCCGCGAGTGGCATGGCATGACGCAGTGCAGACGGGACAGGACGATAGACGCACACTTTTGCTGTTGTTTCGAGATCGAAGCGAATGTAGAATCGTACAATAGCATCATGGGCATATCGCTGCAGTACAGGGAGTTGTGATGCCCACATGCCCCATTCGTTTTGCGAGAGGGTCCCGGAACAATCCTTACTCGACCACCTCCTCGGTAGTCTCCTCGAGAACTGTCAGCAGGGTGAGGGGGAATGATCAGCGACCAATCGTCTGTTGTGTGATGTCAGCATTATGCGAGTCACTCACCCTCTTCGATCCATTCCTGTGACTCCTCCACGTGCTGTTGTTGCAGCTGCTCGTGCACCGTGACGACAGGCTCGAGACCAGCGTCGACGCGGCGCTCGTTGAGCTCCGCGAGGTTGGCCTGTCGCCACGCCTTCCATTCGTCGAGCTTGCGCTGGTAAAGCTCGCGATGCTGCAGCGCCGCGTTGCTCTCCTCCGCCGCGTCCTCCTCCTCGAACTGCTTACCGATCTCACGCACGTTGCGCCGCACGGCCTTCTGCTGCTCCTTGCTCAGCAGCGTGCGCGGGCGCGGACGCCAGAGGATCTGCTTGAAGCGCTCCAGCACGTGCTTCTGCAGCTCGTTGCCGCGCCAGTCCCAGATGGCGTAGCCGTTCTCCATCTGGCGCAGGTGAGAGGCATGGGCAAAGGAGGAGTTGAGCGTCTGCGACGAAGAAAAAAGAAAGAAAAGAGCCGACGAGCCAAGTACTCACGGTGTGCCTCCACACAGACGCGCTCGTGATGACGTAGCGGCCGCTCGGGTCCCACTCTAGATCGGTGATGCCGTAGTGCTCGCCTGCGCCGATCTGCTTCACCTCCTCCGCCGGGTCGTTGGCCGGCTGGCCCTGGCGCTGCTCATAGCCGAGGTCGACGTCGTACCACTCCAAGTCGAACTTCTGGCTTGAGCCCATCGTTGCGACGACGAGGTGCCGGCCCTTGGGCGACCAGTAGAGTGTGTTGGACGTCTTGTTGTCTAGCACCTTGAGCGAGCGGAAATCGCCCTTCTTGGTGTCGTAGTAGTACAAGTTGATCTGCGTCTTGATCGTGATGCCCGGCGCAGCAGCACCCAGGTTAGGGTCGTTGGAGGAGATGAGCGCAAAGTGCGAGCCCTGCGGTTCCCATGCGAAGGCCGTCACGGGATCTGACCGGTGTAGATTTCAAGAAGACTCGTCAGCTCGGCGGTGCAAGTAGATTGGAATGCATGCGACCAAAGCCAACCTACCCTTCAGTTCAATGACCTCAACCGGCAAGTTCTTCTCCCTCATCTTGAACAACTCGAGGTTGCAGAACATGCTCTTCTTGGTCTTAGTGTGGCGGTCGACCTTGACGCAGAGGTAATCTCCTTGCGGATGCCAGTGCAGCTTGCAATCCGAGACGTTGAAGAGGTTCTTGGTGCGGAGAATCTCTCTTGTCGGGATGCTCATCACGGACACTCTCGCCGGCTGGTTGGCCACCTCGGGGACCCAAAAGACAAGCATGTTATCCTTTGGCTTCTTGACGGCCACCTTGCCCTCCTTGGCCTCTTTGACGGCATTCTCATAAGCCTCGATCGCGTCCTTGTCCTTGTCGCCGAGCGGGCACCATTCAAAGTCGACGACGCCCTCGATCTCGATCGACTTCTTCTCCAGCAAGCCCATCGTCGGCAGCTGAAATACGGAGATCTTCTTACCGGGAACGATGCGCGCGCAGTACATGTCATCGCCGCTCCATTTGAGGAAGGGCCAGGTGAACCCTTTTGCACCGGACCCGCCAGCGTTCGAGCCTTCATCCGGCGAGACGGGGAACGTGCGCAGCAGGTGGCCTGTCCCAACGTCCCAAACGGCGACGCGGTTGCCTTCATCCTGTGGTGCGAAGTACTGCGGACCTTGCGGCATGTTCTCGGGCACGACAATCGGCTGTGGAGACCAAGTAACGATGTACTTTTCGTTGGGCGAGAAGTCAATCAGGCGGACACCGGGGTGGGCAAAGCGCTGATAGAGCGAAAAGGCGGGCCCGCCCCACAGGGTGACGCCCTGGATACGGAACGTGGCGAGGAGGGTTCCAAGAGGTGACCACGAGACGTAGCTCTCTGTCCATCGCTCACGCTTTTGGATCTCTTGGGGCGAGCCGGTGCGCTGGTGCCAGTGAACGCTGACGCTCTCGTTTTGGCACATAACGAGCTGGTCGCGACCGCGTGAGTCGGCGAGCCAGCTGCGCAGGTGTTCCTTCTCCTTGAATGCCTCGATGGCCGGCTCCGAGTATGTCTCGTCAAGGTTGGCGAGCTTCTCGATGTCAGTGAAGCGGTTCACGAAGAACCGGTGCTTCTTGTCGAATGGGTACTGGTCCATAAGCTTAATGGCAGTGGTCGCGTCCTGGGCAGAGTTCATTTCGATGAACATGTACCTGAAAGAGGCTCAACATGATTTCTTCAGCTGGAGAAGGTTAAGGATAGATGAAAAACTATACAGCACTCACCCCTTGCTCTTGCCGTCATCGTCGTAGGGAAGCTGCATCGACGCAATGTTAACATCCAAGCCTGCATACTGCTTAAACCGCTTGGCGACTGTCTCGAGCAGCTTCGCCTCGCGGTCCTTGCCAACGGAGGGCACGCCGTCGATTACGATGACATCGTCGAGGGTCTCGTGTACGTCGACGGCATACTTGGCTTCGATGTCAGAGTAGTCAATCTCGAGGTCCTCGAATTGGTCCTCGAGCGTCGCGTTGCTGGTCGTTGCTGCTGACCCGTTCATCTTAGCGGCTGCTGTTGCTGCCTCGTTTGGTGATCCTCCCCAGCCGCCGTTTCAGAAAGCGTCCTCCTGTTGCTTTGGAACTCTGGCGTGCTTTCGTCTGCGATGCTTGTCAAACGCCTGGCGAGAAAACTTGGAGCTCAACCAATGGCAGGCAAAGAGGTCTGTTGCCAAGGTAGATTGAGAAGGAAGAGATGAGGATAGGTGGAAGCTCTCGCCTGCAGAGCGCTCGGAACTCGGAACTCGGAACACAGGCACCACGCTTGACTAGGGCTCTTCCTCTGGAAAGGGAAAATTATTTTCTCGCCCACTTGGAAAAAAATTGGGCATCAGAGCACAGTATGCGTGTCGCATCGCATCCCAGGACAGGCAGGAAACACCAATACATTGATGGAGTACATACATCATCCTGTACGAAGGGAGGAGCAATTGTTATTCTACACGTTGCTTGCTGCAGGAGGAGGTCACAAATCTCGACGTGACCGACGGTTGACGATCAGTTCTTGCACACCCCGCAAAGATGGGTCGCAAGACGGAGAAAAAGACGGCTAAAGGTCGTCTCGACAAGTTCTATTGGCTCGCCAAAGAGCAAGGGTACCGGTCGCGTGCCGCCTTCAAGCTGGTACAGCTCAACAAAAAGTACTCCTTCCTCGAAAAGGCACGATGCTGCATCGACCTGTGTGCTGCGCCCGGTGGTTGGCTCCAGGTGGCCAGCAAGCACATGCCGCAGGGTAGTCTCATCGTCGGTGTCGATCTCGTCCCGATCAAGCCCATCCCGCGCTGTGTCACATTTGCAGAAGACATCAACAGCTACAAGTGCAGGGACCAGCTTCGACAAGAGCTCAAGGACTGGAAGGCTGACGTGTAAGCAGAGACGATCCGTATTTGTTTGCTGTTGTGCGAAGCAACTGAACTGGATGCGTCTCAATGCCTTTCAGCGTATTGCACGATGGAGCCCCAAATGTCGGTACCGCCTGGATCCAAGATGCCTACACGCAGAACGAGCTTGTGCTGCAGTCTCTCAAGCTTGCCGTCGAGTTTCTCACGCCATCCGGCTGCTTTGTCACTAAGGTCTTCCGTTCCAAAGATTACAACTCGCTTTTGTGGGTATTCAATCAGCTCTTCACCAAAGTTGAAGCAACCAAGCCTCCCAGTAGTCGTAACGTTTCGGCAGAAATTTTCGTCGTCTGCCAAGGGTTCAAGGCGCCAAAACGTATCGACCCCAAGTTTCTCAATCCGAAATACGTGTTTAAGGATCTGAACCCAGTGAGCACCACCAGCATCAGCGGGGCCGTGGACGATGCGGTCAAGGAGGGCGCAAATCCGGCCGCCGCAGCTGCATCGTCATCCGCCAACCTAGCAACCACGTCCAAGATGCTCGCTTCTACCGCCAGACTAGCTCACAATGCCCAAGCAAACGTATTCGAGCCAGAGAAGCGCAAGCGCAAGAGGGAGGGATACGATGAGGGCGACTACACACTCTTCAAGACCATTCCCGCGCGACAATTCATCGAGAGCAGCGATGCTGTCGGTATGCTCGGCACGTTCAACAAGATCACTTTCCCGAGTTCGAAGGATGCTGCAATCTCAAACATAGACAGAGCGATACTCAACAATGAGGCGACTACCGCAGATATTCGGGTCAACTGCGAGGATCTGCGCGTTCTCGGCAAGAAGGACTTTAAGAACCTGCTGAAATGGCGTCTGACGTTACGAGAGGAGCTTGGCCTCGAGCTGTCGTCGAAAGCCGCCAAGGCTGTGGAGACTAGCGCCGCAGCGGATGCGACTGCTGAGGGAGAGAGTGCAGAGGTAGCCCATGTGGATGAGGTGGACGAGGAGGAGCTGATCGATTCAGAGCTTCAACGCCTGAACGAGGAGCGGCTTAAACGGCAGCGCAAGGATCGGAGAAGGAAGAATGAGATCCGCAAAAAGGAGACGCTCAAGCTGCAGCTAAAGATGGGCACCCCGATGGACATTGGCATGGAGATGGACGATCAGGCGCTCGATGGCGGGCACGAATTCTTCGACCTCGGCGAGGCAGAAGGCCGGCGCGGTACGGACCGCAACAAGCGTCTCGCCGCTGCATACCTGGTCGATGCAGCATCCAATGAAGACGAAGAGGATATGTCCACAACCCTCTCGGCCGGCGGCAGCTCCTCGCAGCAAGATGTCTTCGCCGATGCTGGTGACGGCAAGAACGATGACGAGGACGAAGACGAAGACGAAGACGAAGACGAAGAAGAGGAGGAGCAGAGACTGGCTCGACTAGAATGCGAGCTTGACTCGATGTACGATCGCTACAAGACCGATCTGCAGGAGCGCGACGCCAAGTTCCGCACAAGCGAGGCGCGGCGCAAAGCGGGCAACTTTTCCAAGGATGACGAGGAGTGGTACGGCATCAAGGAGAACAGCGACGGTGAGAAGGACGACGAGCATAACTCCGGTGATGAGAACGAGAGCAGCGAAGAGGAGGGTGGGTACGACAAGGTCATGCAGCGCAAGGAGATCGAGGAGACGTACGATACCGAGGATGAGGAGGACGATGAGGACGAACGCGAAGCTGCCGCTGCCAAGGCGCGAGTTGCTAGGCGCAGGAATGGCACCAAGCGCACCAGATTCGAAGCACCATATGATCAGGACGACGGTGAGGAGGTTGCCACTGGCTCGCTCGTCACCGACCTGGAAGGCTTCAAGGCAAAGAAGGAAAGGCTCAGTCGCGAGGCTAGCATTTGGTTCGACAATAGAATCTTCAAGGAACTCAACCAGTTTGACCAAGAGGAGGATGAGGAAGAGGAGGAAGATGTAGACGAGGAGAGTGATGAGCCATCGGAAGAGGAGAACGACAGCGGAAGCTACAGCGAGGACTCGGAAAGCGAAGCTGAAGAGGGCGACGATGGAGAAGATGAAGACGACTTTGAGATCGTGCCACAAGAGCCGGATGCTGACTTTGGCGACCGCGAATGGGCGTTTGAGGATGACGACGAGGACGCTGCGAAACGCGAAAGGGTGGCTCGGCTTGGTCTCACGACTGCCGAGGCTGTGACAATGGCTCAGGCGCTGGTCAACCGGCAGGCGACCAAGGCGTCGCTACTCGACGATGGGTTCAACAAGCACAACTTTGTCGACAAGGACGGCCTCCCGACGTGGTTCTTGGACGACGAGGCCAAATTCTACAAGTCCAACGTGCCGATTACCAAGGAGGCTGTTGCGGCTCTGCGCGCGCGGCAGCGCGCGCTGGATGCGCGCCCGATCAAGAAGATCGCGGAGGCCAAGGCGCGCAAGAAGTACAAGGCCGCGCAGCGCCTGGACAAGGCGCGCAGGAAGGCCGAGGACGTCATGGCCGAGGACGACGAGCTGAACCAGAAGGAGAAGGCGGACAACATCGAGAAGATATTGCGCAAGGGTGCAAAGGTGCAAAAGAGGAAAGAGGTCAAGGTGGTCGTGGCCAGAGGCGCCAACAGGGGTCTCAAGGGTCGGCCGAAGGGCACAAAGGGTCGGTACAGGATGGTCGACAGTCGTGGCAAGAAAGAGTTGCGTGCGGAGAGTGAGTTTGCTTCCGAGGTTATATTACCCTTGATCGGTGCTAAAACGAAGTATTTTCGATGTCTCGCAGAGCGCCGCGACAAAGCTGCTGGCAAGAAGGTATCGAGCTCGAGCAATCGCAGACGAACGCCAAACGGTTACTCGAAGCGATAGCGGTTCCACCCCGCATATTGTCTCCCCTCACATCACATCTGTACCATACACTACGAGCAAGGGGTCTGCGCTCCGTTTCGTTCAGTTACTACGTAGCCAGCAGCATCTTGGCAGCGTGCACGTCCTTGCAAACGCGAGGCATGCAGACGAGCCTCGCCTCGTCACCATACTCTAGAATGCAAGCGATCTGAATGCAGCGTTCTCACCGACTTCTGTGTCGCATCACCCATGCCGCCGAGAAACGAGGCGGATGGTCTGGGTCATGCGCGGACCTGCATTACCTCGGCGGCAGGCCGCTTGAGGAAGTGGTAGGCTGTAAGTGCCCTCCATAGCAGGTTGCCATGGCTGCAAGACCACGTTTCGGCGGACATTCAACGAGTATCTATGGGCGTTTGTCGGAGTTTGACACTTATCAGCAGCAGCGAGAATGGCGTCTGAATATAGGCCTAGGCATTGCGGCACCGCCAGACGTAGGCATGTATTTGATTCCCAGCGCTGGAATCTGACTTGAGAATCTGCCCAAAGCCTCATTAGATGGTCGCAGCCGCAAGTCTGAACTCCTTCTCGTACACGTCGTCGACGTCTGGGGCTTCCAGACCGGCCAGGACCGATCCTAAGGAAGTCGGGGCGATCAGCAAGCTGGGCGCTCCCTGGAGCAGACTCGTCGACGTGACGCCAGAATCGACTGGCGCCTGGGACCGGTGCTTCTGACTTTCAGTTGAAGATTCCCAGCGTTGCTCGGGTCCCAGACAGGCGCTGCATATGCATAAGATGCGCTAGAGTGATGGAGACGGGATAAGACAGTATATGCTTCATTGGAGTGCCGATGAGATGAGAGCGACGCGACGAGACCAAAGACGCGACGGGATGCGACATCATTGTATATAAATGGTTAAAAACCGCCTCTCCCTAATTTGGTCCTACCCAGCACATCTCGTCATGTGCCAACTCTTCCTTCACACGCCTCAACTATCTCGCTCGCCTACAGAATCTGGCCTTTCGATCCTCCTCTACCAGAATATCCACTTTGTTTTGCCTCTTTCACTGCCCGTCTGCCCGCAATTTCCGTCCAAACTCGCGCCAACCAGTTGTGTTTCAGGGTACCTGTTCACCGTGCTCATTCTGGATCCACCTTTGCCATGGCTCTGATTTTGGCGCCGTTCGATAGATCTTCTCCATTCTCTATCACCAGCTCTCTTCACTTCATCCAAATTTTCTCCAACGCGGCCGCAATTTCTTGTTTCTCATCTTCCGTCAGGTCTGCTTCGCACGCTTCGCCCTCGACTCTTTTGCTGGATCGGCCTGCTCCTCCCTGCAACCTCTCTTCTGCTGGGTGCCCTGCTGTCACCGTATGGGCGCTTCCTCATTCGGTTCTCCGCCCTTCCCGACTTCACACCGTTCGAAATTGCGTTTGCGTATGGCTTTCCTCGCCTCCTCTTCGATCAAAGCACTGTCGCTTCGAAGTCGCGTAATTTTCGACGGCGATTTCCACGGGCATGGCAACCTGCCCAAGCCTCCTGTTACCCGCTCCCTGCAACAACAGGAAGCACAATAGTGCATCGCATGTTCGAACACGAAGACTTGCGCCATGCCAACCTTGGGCCCTTCACTTGGCATTTTCTTTTTGCGCGGGTTGACACTTTTGCACTTCGAACGATCTTCATGCCGAAGGTGACTGTGTGACGGACGCCAGCACCTTGATCATTTTCCCCGCTATCTTCCACCGAGAGTTTTGCTACTGTTTCAAAGTATATCGATTGAGAGGACTCAACGAACCTGGCACGGGGACATGGCCGTCCGTCTTTGTTCGTTACCGCCACATGCAATCGCCTTATTGATGCGATTTTCCCGCGGCAAGTCTTGACTGAGCGAAAGGCAGAGGGTCAGTCACAGGTTGTACCACGTGTAGTGGATACCAAGGAGCACGTTCTCCTGCCGGACCCAAACCAAAAATTGCACCTTCAACATGAGACGAGAATCTTTTTTGCAGTGAACGAGGGCCACAGGGGCCAAACTGTTCTGCGAGGTTGGATGCGTTTTCGACACTTAGTTCAACCGTACGCTTTTTACGATAGCACGATGTGCTCGGCCTCTATTGCTATACACCAGCTCTCTTGGTCTACATGATAAACCAGAGGAGTTGGGACATTGGTGACGCGGGAGCTGGCCTCTTTGAACGGCGGTAAGACCATGCCGGAAGAAATGAGAGTCACTTTTGCATCGATCAGTGGTGACATGCGCCGAATCACTTTCTTTGGCGGCCCAGATATTCTACTTACATCCGCCATTCATGGAACATTCCATAGGCTTGAAATTGAGCGCCACTCGCCCCGAAAGCATTCCAGGTCAATTCGAAGTTAGGGACTGGATATCCATCAGCACTCGAAGCTCCGCCTGGCGGAGGCAATGCTTGCAACTACGAATAGGCAACTAAGGAGGATCAGGGGAGGTTCTTTCGCTGTGGCAAGTTTCATGTAGGGGCAGACATTCACGATCACGTTGTTCATCTGTGGGGGACGGCGCTGAAAGAATATGACACCTTGAAGTTGAGTGATTGCAACGCACTCGGCAACCAGAAGAGGTGCTCAAACCAGAGTGGATATGTTTCATGGGCTACGTTGATCGTGCACATGTAGGCTCAACAACCAAAGGCATGCGCGCAATTCCATCGTGCATATTGTGAGAAAGCAGAGGCAGAAGCTGGAGCTGAATGTGGCGACGATAGCGTAGACAACGCTGCCGCCCTGCGAACAATGGAAACAATGTTAACAAGAAACCATTCTGACAGCATGAAGCCGTCCACGTATCAATCATCAGATGTTTGTGTCTTGAGACTTCATGCCTTTCTGTTGCCATGGATCGTTGCGCTGTGGCTGGCCTCCGCTTACATGTCGCCACCGCATCTTCCCCGTGATTCCGATGGCAAATCCGGGGAAATTCGCAGGTTTGTGTTCCGTCCCACGCCACCGAAAACTTCAATACTGGTCCCAATCCAACCAAACCGAACGGGTTCTAGTT